CGAATTTCATTTAAAATGTCAATCAATTCCAAAATCAAATAGTTCAGTTTTGGTGTGTTGTTTTCTTAGTTTCTATGCACACAAATTTCATTACCAGAGCGATCTTCAAATCACTTAACAGCCATACCACCTTTCCCTCGCCAGATGTCGTGGGACTAACAACAAGATGAACGTGTAGAAACTTGGCTCAGACGCCGTGCGATACTTTACTTTACGGTAGTTATCTGTCTGACTTATCTACTAAACGTGCTCTAAACAAGAACTCAGACTGCATTGAAGACTGCCTTTTCACCACGGACCCCACCCGGCGACTCAAGAAGACAAATACCTACACATTTATACCAGTCGGCAGTCGGGTTTGCTAACTTACCACAGGGAAGAATTGAAACATGTTGGCCACCGGGGAACAGAGCAAAATCGTGATTAGTCTGAGACTGCGGGAAAGGGCTGGGGGGAAGGAGGGGGGGCAAAAAAAAAGGGGGGGGGGGACAGCTTTTGTTTCTGTCTTTTTCTATTTTAACTGAAACACTACACCATCATTTTATCTAGATGATAGAAACATTTTCAAAAACAAGACTAAATAATTGTGGTAGCTTGCGATTATGGTTAATTTCCGTTATTAACAAAACGATAGAGGAGGAAAACAACGAAGGAACACTCCGCACATAGCACACTAAAACATAACATACTAAACATAGCATACTAAACATAGCATACTAAACATAGCATACTAAACATAGCACACAACACTTAGCACACTAAACAAAACATACTAAACATAGCACACAACACATAGCACACTAAACATAGCATACTAAACATAGCACACTAAAACATAGCATACTAAACATAGCATACTAAACATAGCATACTAAACATAGCACACAACACTTAGCACACTAAACAAAACATACTAAACATAGCACACAACACATAGCACACTAAACAAAACATACTAAGCATAGCACACAACACATAGCACACTAAACATAGCATACTAAACATAGCACACTAAACATAGCATACTAAAACATAGCATACTAAACATAGCATACTAAACATAGCACACAACACTTAGCACACTAAACAAAACATACTAAACATAGCACACAACACATAGCACACTAAACAAAACATACTAAGCATAGCACACAACACATAGCACACTAAACATAGCATACTAAACATAGCACACTAAACATAGCATACTAAAACATAGCATACTAAACATAGCATACTAAACATAGCACACAACACTTAGCACACTAAACAAAACATACTAAACATAGCACACAACACATAGCACACTAAACAAAACATACTAAGCATAGCACACAACACATAGCACACTAAACATAGCATACTAAACATAGCACACAACACATAGTACACTAAACATAGAACACAACTTTTGACAACGCCAAGGGTAAACGACACATGACCTCAGGGTTTCTGACGATTACTTTTGAGTTCGCCTCACTAAATATTTTTAACTATTTCACGGTGTAAATCCTTTTTGTGACATCTCCACCGTTTCACACCCCAGAAATCTCTTTAACATTACAGGAAAAATAATTTTTTTGAACTCTTCGAGGTGTAGTCTAATTGCCAGGTGGTCTCTCATTTTATTTGCCATGAACAGATAGGCTAGTGTGTAGTTGATGGGTTTGTGACTCAGGTTGTTTTACACTGTATACATTCAATGACTTAGCTAGAGTTTGATCCACCTGGTCCGTTATTTGAGTTGGGCGCCCCTTCCCGAAATAAAAACCGTATGCTTCGACCCGAGGTGTATGAATGGAGGTTGAGCGGATCGCCACCCACCCTGGAGGTTGATAAACATTTGTTTCGTCCTAAATTAGATGGACTGATGCCCCCCTTCCCCTTAAATATAAGACCCACGTTTCAGGTTGACAAGTCAGTTCATCGACTATTCGTCTGTCGATCAAATGTCTGTCGACCAAATGTCTGTCGATGAAACGTATGTCGATCAAACGTATGTCGATCAAACGTATGTCGACCAAACGTATGTCGACCAAACGTATGTCGATCAAATGTCTGTCGACCAAATGTCTGTCGACCAAACGTCTGTCGATCGTTTATAGGGTCGATAAACGTTGATGTGATCACAAAGTTTGATTCCTCGAAACACTGGTCAAATATTTGAGACTGTGTTCACGTGATATACTTTCCATCCAATATTTTTATCCATCAACCTCCATCACTTCATTGTCCGAGCAATCTTATATCCACTTGAGATTATTAAAACAATCCTGAGTGAATCCACAGTGTATTTTTTTCCCCCACTCAGCTAGTGCGTACAATTCAAGGGATGCCACTGCCGATTTTATTAAACTTAGTGAGCCATGTTAATTTAAGAAGTTCGACAGAAGTTGTCTCCCTGTGGGATTTTTACCTTGAAGCTTAAAAAGTATTTCTAATAACTAAACATACTATTAGAGTAATCAGTTGGTCAACGATATCACGAGGACTAGTTTTTTAAGATTTTTTTTTGTAGTTACAAGACTTACAATACTAGAAGACGATTGTCTGAAAGATTTAGCGCACTTCGTCTTCTGTATTGTCCAATATGATGAGAAAATTTAATGAATAGTTTCGAATCTGGATCAGCGACACCCACTTGTTAGCCATGCCCGGATTGGCTTCAAAAAAAGAGAGGGGGTTTTGCACAAATGCAATATTCGCACTCCGGTTAATTATGCGAAAAAAACATTTGAATATCAATGACAGATTTATCTAGTTGACCAGTTTCCGTCGGGCGGAGACCGAGCACTGTGAGGTCAAAGCTCAGCATCACTGCTCGGTGGTGTTACATGGGATCTTGCCTCTTTGCGGCGTGACGGACCAGTAGGGAGGTTTCCTCCTGAAGCTAAAAGATCCCCGCCAAACGCATGACTTCCAACGCAACGGAAGTTGCACGCTAACATGATTGCGTGTCGCCGATAATGGATACGAGGCTTGGGTGGAAGCATAACCCTTGTCGAAGATCAAAAACATGCGGTCCTGAGAAAGCCGCTCCTAGGTGACCGTTTCGTCCCGAATTAGTCCCGTCCGAACTGCTCCCTGGACGGTGGGGGGGGGGAGGTAACGCAACACCTTCCCCCCGGAGAGGAAGCAAAGCTGTTCCGACCAATAGACCGTACAACTCCCTGGACAGTAGGAGGAGGTTACGCTCGAGACCTCCCCCGTAGAGGAAGCAAAGCTGCTCACCACTTCAAAACGTACAACTTCCTGTGCGGTGGGGAGAGGTAACGCAACACCTTTTCCAGGAGAGGAAGCAAAGCCGTTCAACCCAACGTCCCGGCCGAATGACTCAATGGGCAAGTGGGGAGGCAACGCAAAGTCTCCTCCTCAATGAGTGGAAGCTATCTGCTCAAACCCACTACTCGTGACCGTGTTCCATGGCCGGAGTCCTTAGGGACTACTAGGCCATCTTCCATGGCCGGGGTCCTAAGAGATTGAATTTCGACCCCAAAGAGCATTGAACTTTATCAGTTGACCAGTTTAAAAATGCTTTCGACGAGGCGAACAGGGAAACGCTCTGGGACGCGACTGAAACGTACGGAGTGAAAGAACAGGTCGACATTATCAGGACGCTCTACACAAGTAGTTTAATGGATGTGCGTAGACCCAATGGACTTATCCAGTGGACTTGCCCAGTGGATCCACGTGAAATCAGGAGTCAGACAGCGCAGCGTTCTATCGCCATTGCTGCTCATCAATCACGTGGTGAAAATAAGAAAGTAAGACAATTTGAATCACCAGGCACCCGGCCAACTGCTATTTGCAGATGCCACTGCATCCTAAACGACAACAAGGAATGCAGAGTCTTGTTGATAGCCTGAAACGTATCAACTGAAAGTTTTATGGGATGAAAATCAATACAGATAAAACAGTGGTCATGAACCTCCAGCAGACAAAAATTGACATAAATATCAGTGGTCACCTGCTTCGACCACGCCAAGAATTTAATTATAGGTAGTTTTGTTGAGCACGGAAAATTGAAAAAAACATGAAACTAGAGGTCAGAGGTCAAACGTAGTCAGCTATCAAATAGCCCCGCTACAAAGAAACCCAAGAATAAAGATGGAGGCCAAGGTCAGACTAATTAACCGTGTCTTTATTCCAAGCCTTAATGACCAATGTCCGACTTGGGCTCTGAATCAAACTCTCGACAGACAAACTTTTCACCTGCGTGACGAGATGTTTAAGGCGAGCAGCTGGTAAAACGAGAATGGACCACATTCGGAACCAGGAAATAAGACAAATGGTTGGTGCCATATCAATCAGACTACATGACCCAACAAACAAGTAATTGTTTTGGCCACCTGGTCTGAATGTCCGTCAATCAGCCTGCATTGCAGACCCACAAGTACAATAACGGGCACTCAGTACAAGAGCAGGCACCCCGGTATCAGTGTCAGATGAAGACCATGCTGGCGGTGTATGATACTCGTTAAGGACACTCTTAAATCCTCAACAAGAACCTCTAACAGGCCATGAACCTCCAGTAGGCAGGCCATGAACCTCAAGCAGGCCATGAACCTCCAGCAGGCCATGAACCTCCAGCAGGCCATGAACCTCCAGCAGGCCATGAGCCTACAGCAGGCCATGAACCTCCAGCAGGCAGGCCATGAACCTCTAGCAGGCCATGAACCTCCAGCAGGCCATGAACCTCCAGCAGGCCATTAACCTCTAACAGGCCATGAACCTCCAAACAGGCCATGAACCTCCAAACAGGCCATGAACCTCCAAACAGGCCATGAACCTCCAAAAGGCAGGCCAAAAACCTCCAGAAGGCTATGACCCTCCAGCAGGCCATGAACCTCCAGCGGGTCTCACACCTTCCGGCACATCACCAACTTTACCTCTACGCAACACCGACACCTGGTCTATATGAGGATATGTTTAAAGTATAAATATATTGAAAATACAGCAGATATGTGAATATTCACCAATTATGTTTGTGAATGACAGATGCAAGAGTTTATTGACAATGTATGACAATCATAAAATCATGTTTTAAATTAATTTTATTATCAAAAGTACACATTGGATCTTGAAAGACACACACACCATTTAAGTGTTTGTTTGACACACTTTAAAGTCTGCACAGAGTTATATCTATAGAATCTTCTAAGTGCACGTCCAGTTTGATTTTACATAAATATTTTACACACATGGTACAGTACATGGCACACTATATGGTACAGAATATGGTGTGTATATGGTACGGTACATGGCACAGTATATGTTACAGTAAATGGTGTGTATATGGTACAGACACATTTGTTTAAATTTAAAATTATCTTTAATAATGTTAAGAGAGATCATGAGAAGGAAATCAAATGGTATACCATAAATAGCATAGGCCAAAACGTGCCAAAGTGTCCTCGTTTTATAGCCAGTTTAATTGTTTCTATAGTATAGTAGTTACTATCCTAGTGTCTCATTTTTATTTTACTTAGTTTACATGTTTTTAATAATTGTAAAGCGCTTAGAGCTTTAAGGTAAGCTCTATATAAAAAAATGCCTAAATAAATAAATATAAAATATATTTCACTTCAAATAAAGTTACCTTGTCAGGTATGAGTGTTCTAAAAAGTATTTGTTTTAAAATGTTGGCTCAATATGCTAAAATATTTTTTAAATTAATCATAAGGTAGAGATTTCATGGAATTTTAATTGTGGCAAATAAGAGAGAGAGGCAATGATGAAATCATTTTAGATTGGGATCTGATTTTTCAAAAAATATGAAGATTGTTATTTAACTAAAATTAGACTATTAATACTATTATACTTTTCTCCCGTGATGTAAATAATTTAAAAGTGTTCGGGACTCATGAGGGTAACAAAAATATCAAGAGCCGTTAATGAATCGATCAACTCATTCACTTTTGTCATGTGTACACAATTATCTCATTGAATTCTAATGAATCAGCTAGTAACAGAAACTCATAAAATACTCCAGAGAACTCAAAACAACATTAACATCATCATCTTAAGGCAAGCTTAAGTTATTTGTTTTGAAGCGACCTGTGGCGCTTGACGCTTGTCCTTGGTTGTATTTTCTCATCAATGAGTGGCATCCCCAGGATCTGTCTGATTCTGTTGGGCACGTAAGGGTTAGAGTTGCAGTGGCCTTGTCTGTTGGGCTTGTCTGACTCTCTATAAACGTGTATGTGGACGTTTGAAAGAAGCTCCCTCTCTATGTTACACCAGACCTGAGGAGATGAGAATATCATCAGGACTTACTGTAATACCTTATAAATAAGTAATTTTTTAAAAGTCCCTTCATGTAACAGTAACAACCATTTTAACTTAAAGTATTTAAGTTTTCTGTCTCGGGTTGATCCTGTATTATAGGCCAAAACATGCCAAAGTGTCCTCGTTTTATAGCCAGTTTAATTGTTTCTATAGTATAGTAGTTACTATCCTAGTGTCTCATTTTTTATTTTACTTAGTTTACATGTTTTTAATAATTGTAAAGCGCTTAGAGCTTTAAGGTAAGCGCTATATAAAAAATGCCTAAATAAATAAATAAATAAATTTAACAGTGGACCCTAACATTCAAAAACTTCAAGTTCAAGCAGCAATGCTACAACTGTTAGTTAAATTGAGCTGATGCCACAATTAGAAATTTTAAAATATTGTATAAACCTGTAGAAAAGTATGCATGTATGGTGATCACTGTAAATTAGGCAAAAGTCATTTCACTGAAATGTATTTCTACAATGAAATAGTTCTTTCACATATCCTCAATTCATAGATCAGCATGTATCACCCCAATAGAAGTATTTACACACAATACAGTCCCTTACTGCCAAACAGATCAGTATGTTACCTCCTCGCCCAGGACCTTCTCCAAACATGAAGAGAGTTTTTTGTCAGGAAGGAAAGTATTTCCTTTAGCAAAGACAACACATCCTTGGTATTTGCCAAGTAAAAGGATCTGAATTTTTTCTGCCAAAAGAGGAAAGCCAAGCACGCCAGGACATTCCAGAATAAAATTGATCAGTTGACTGAAGCCCTCCCCTCTTTCTTTGTGTGTTATCAGTAGGTAGCCTGTCACGTGAATAAGAACAGAAGTATATTTATATTGATAGGCATTTATACAATGAACAAAACAAAAATTATTGTAGATATATATTTTTAACTGGCATTTACAAAAAAATATCAAGTAGCTTATATTTAATTAAGGTTGATAAAATGCTGTAGTATTGTATTATCCTGGTGTTTTTACTGACAAAATGTTCTCTAATCTCACCCATACATGTCCAAAGCATCTCTATTCTCACCAGAAGTGACCATAATTGACTATTCTCACCAATAAATGCCCATAGTGTCTCTGCTTTGAGCATGCTGAGGTTTCCTATTTCCCAAGCTGCTTTTTCTATCATCTTTTTGATGACAGCTTCCTTTCTTTCATCAAGATTGGCTTTGATTTGGCACAGATAGTTGTAACTGTTCCCTGCAGAAATATGTACCCTTTTCAAGATATACTGCATTGCTTCTAGAATATTATTGTAGCCAATATAGCCCTTCATTATACGTTCATAACTGCTATCTTTAAGCATCTAAATCTAAAACTTTGGTAAGAACTTATATTTTATTTAGACATGTCATTTTAGACTAATTTTTTATCCACTAAATAATCCACTAACCGGTGCATGTCAAGTCCAAAAGTTCTCCTGAAAGAGTAGCCTCCCTTGCTTGACTGTTGCTTGAATATGACACAGCCTGACACAACATTGCTCGCAGTAGCTATAAAATGTGTAGATTGAAACATATGTTTCAAAATAAAATAATAAAGTGTAAACAAATATTTAAACGTCCTTTATTTTCCCCAACTTCAAGCAATGACAAGTTTAACATCGCAATAATAAACTTAGCTACTCAAATAGTTATTTCTTCAGCAAATTAATTTCAAATAAAATAGTCATACTAAGTTTTACAGACAGGATGAATCTCCTGCTTAATATGCTCAAAGCAACCGATCCATTTGTAACGTTTGAAACCATTTGTATAATTTTCCCGTTTTGCTATTTGAATTAGATTTCTTCCTTCAGATAAATTAAATTTACCTCTATATGATAACCTCTAAATCAGGGGTCAGGGAACTTTTTAGCCTTTACCTGAAAATATTTTCCTCCTTTTTCCCTGATTTGAAAGGAAGACAATCATGGACTATTTAAATTCAAAATGGTTTATTGAATCTATTTACATGGAGAATACAAATTAATAGAATCCTCATTATGGAACAAAAGGATATCTTTGGAGAACAATTTTTCATTTTTTTTAAATATCATAACATAAAAATTGGGGGTTTTTGTTATCAGGACAATTTGGATATTGTCTGGCGATTGAATAATTGATTGATATGCTTTGTTTTTAAGTTTATGACAGTGGAAAATCCTTGTTCGCAAAAGTAGGTTGTTGCAAAAGGCAGCAATATTTTGACAGCCTCCTCGTGATCAACTTTGAAAACCTTTGCAGATCTTGATGTTTTGACCATAAGCAGTAGCGTTCTTAGGGTGGTGCTGTGGTTGCTGACTGCGCCGGGTCCCACCCACACAGGGCATTGACGCGAAATGGAAAATAGTTAAATTGACAGAATTCAAGCAAGTTTGTTTCATAACAAATTTTAATCTATGTAACTTGTATGAACAGGGTGCCACCAGGGTAGAGTGCCACCAGGGTAGGGTGCCACCAGGGTAGGGTGACTCCAGGGTAGGGTACCACCGGAGCAGAATGCCATAAGAGATGGGTACCAACAGAGCGGTCAGACTCAGAGAAGGTCCATAAGGTTGACTTTGACAATATGTTTTTGCCACACTGGGTGACACCAACCCTAGTGAAATCAATGATTATAAGAAAAAATAGGAGACTAGTCCAAAATGACATGTACAAGACAAGCAGTGCAGTCATGCAAACCAAGGAGCCATTAGTACACACAACATATTGGGTGTGTTTCTCTATCACAGTGGCCAGAAGCAATGCTGGCACAAAAAAATGTCTTTTCACAAAGGTAATTTACCCCGACCCTGCTCTATATGATTACCTCTATGTGATTGCCAGGGATGGCCAATGCACTCATTAAACTTGGTATTGTAAAGATTTGCTGAGTTTGATGCTTTCGGGAATTACTTTGACTTTCTGCTTCAGAAAATTGTTCTTGTTCATCTTTCATGGGCAGGTAACCTTCCCCCCTGGGTCTGCCTGGGTCATCATTGTTTTCTTCTGCTGAGTTGGTGGTGCCTGTTTCTTCAATTGATCCGGCATCTTCACATCTTTGTTGGAAAGCTGTAACAAGGATTGAGAATACATCAGTGTAAGAGATGATTGTTTAAAAACTGAATTCAAATAAATATATTTAAAGCTTACCATGAAAATGTAAATACCAATATTATCAACTAAGCATTATTAAGTTGTTGAATTGATAATCAACTGACGTGTATGACCTCTGATTTTTATTATTTATTTTTTTCTTTACTTCAGATAATTTACTACATGACTTTATCCAAGCTAATGATACCTTTTATTTTGCTAACAAAATCAGACATTGAACTTTTGACTCCTTGTATCCAGTGATCAGGAGGTAATCCTCCATTGGTAGCAATCTCTTCCTGGGTGTGGTCATGAGTGACCCAGTATTGAAGGAAGCCAAAGAATCCAGGAATGTGTGAAATGTGAGGATAACAATGTTGGCCTATTTGGTGCAGCAGCTGAGGAAACAAAGATAAATTATTTGACCTCTCAAATTATATTTATTTTATTTATCAAGCCATGGAATCAATACCTTGTTGATATACTTTTTTTATAATATAATAATTGATTATGTTCCAACTGCTGCAAATTAAGATTTTTTTGTTTTTGGAGCATTTATTAATAAAGTTTCTGATGAGACAGTAAGGATTTACTGCAAAGAGCTCATAAAGAGACTTAACTTTCTTAACAATGATGATGCACATATAATTGAAACATATAAGACAAAAACCCTTCTTTGAAAGTAATTAATTCAAAAAGATCATTTACCTTAGCAATGACTGATAGAATGGAAGAGTTCACAGCAGTGGTGTCAAAATGTGTGGACAGACGAGTTTCCTTTTGTGTTAAGCCTATTTTTTTATAATTTGTTTAAAGTAAGTTAGAAACACTAACATAAGCTTTGTGTTAAATAAAAAAAAATTAAACTTTTTGAAGTTTTTTGTGTCATGAAAAATAAATTAATATAAGTAATGTAATTATTGTAAGAGAAATGTTAGTAATGTAATTATTATAAGAGAAATGTAAGTAATGTAAGTGGAAAAAAAATTTTTTTTTCATTACCAAAACTAAAAAATAGACAATACTTTTGAAAGGTTATTCAAAGAATTAACTGGTGATTGAATAGATTTTTTTATTTTTTAAACACTGGATGTTCAAATAAGAGTTACTCACCTGCCTGACATGAAGGAACTTCAACAACTTTCCCAAGGGAAATATTTCCCTTCTGAACATCAGTGGTGGATTTTATTGGCAGTCCTGTTCTTTCTTTGACCAAATCCACCCATTTTTTCACAACTTTTTTGGCTTCTGCAACCTTTTCCGAGCGATTTTTATTCTGGAGCACAGAAAAATAGTATTATTTAATCTTTTTTTTTAATCCAGCTTTTCCATATGTTTTGCATATAGCTGTAAAAAAGGAACTTAATTGGTCCTTACTTTGACAAAGCCACATTTTGCCTGTGCCCAGAGCTCCATTGCCTTGTCAACTTTAGCTGAATGATTAACTCTAACATCAGGGGCTGCAGCTCCTGTGCTGGGGTCATACACTGGTATTACTAATTTGTCTGCCTCTCCATATTGTAAAGAACACAGTTTTCCCAATTGCAATATTGTATTCTCATCGCTAGTTTGGTATTCAACAGTGTGGCCATCTGTCATCATGAGACAATAATTTTACATTAAATAAATAACCTAAACAAGTCCTACACAACCCATATAATAAGGTGCTAAACTGACTGTGACTGAATAATTTCAATGTCAAAACTATATTATCAAATTTTTGTACGTTTGTTTGAACCAAGTCTCAGTAAAAGTGTATTTTTTTTAATTTTCATTTGTAGGTCATCAAGGTCAAGAATAAAAGCTGTTTATTCAAGCTTAACATATATTTGATAAGGGATTGATTTAACAACATACAGGAATTACATTATTAATTGTCTATAATTTATATAATGCAAAGTCATCAAGTCAACTTTTCTAGCACCACTAATAAAAGTAACATACAATAATTAACAAATTAGAAGGAAAAAGATGCCATTTAAGGAAAAACTCTTACTTGGGGTTTGTTGTCCATGTAAGATCAAATTGTGAAGACTTGTTACAACATTATCATTGCCATGGAGTTCAGAGGTAAAACCAGATGCCCTCCTCAGGATTTCAGTAAGAAATGCTGTCCACAACTTTGAATTATTTAAATTATATGTTCTATCTCCTGGAGTAAAAATAGAATTATACAATTGTCAAATGTCCTAGTCAAATTATGAAAAAAGAAAATTCAACCTAATAATAAACACAAAAAAATTATATAATTCTTTTGAAACATGTAAGAAGTTGAATTTTTATTATTACCATCTGTATATCCAAGAAGATCTCTTGAAACTAATACAGGTAGTGATGCAATGTAGCCTATCAATGTATACAAGTTTGGTATTTCATTCCGAAACCTGCCCATTGGACTTTGCAAAAAGTTGCTGACAATCTCTTTTATCTTCTGGGTAAGATTAAAGTCCTCCATCAATGCTATACAATATTGTTAAAGAAGCACATTAATAAACAAATAAATTATATTTATAATCTGAAAGTGTAGCAAAAAATTTTCCAAAAATGTATTACCTTGTGTCTAGGTTTTAATAATACATACAGATCATTTCCATGATAACTAGATGTTTAAATCCTTTTTAAAAAAAAAATTTTTGTGTTTTTGATGCATTATATTAGTCTAACATATTTATTTTCAGATACAGAGATTATTTTTTCTAATTTTCCTAAAAAAGTATTAAAGATATTTAGATTAATATATTCAAGCCTACCCTGGCAGGTTCTTTGAAAAGCTAAAATAAGTTTCAGCTGATTTTCTCCTGCCTGACTCTCAAACAACTGACCAATCATGCAGCCTAATGTCATAAACATCACATTCAACTGGTTCTCTGAGTAGCCTAGGGGATCAAGTGTACAAAGATAACCTAGCGCTGGGCGCAAAGAGCTCTGCAAGAGAAATATATTCCTTTGCAACCATCTTCCACGGTTGTTGAACATAACTTTAATTAGTAAAGCATATTAAATTTATTTTATTTTCTCCTCTTCCCAAAGAATTTATGAATTCACAAAGGCCATAAATAAAGAGGTTTTCATTCTACTTCTAAGTCTACATAGATTAATATAAAAAAATGTATATTCTGAATAATCAAAAGTACATGCTCTTCTTTTCTTTTGAAAAATAAATGCTTTGAAATTCAATCCTTACTCCAGCTGAAAACTTCAACCATTCAAAATGTTTTTTTATATTTTATTTATCATTTTTACTTTTAATACATGCTGTGTGGCTGAGCTGTCTAAACTAAGTCAATCGAAAGCTTGTGGACTGGAGTTCAATCCCTAGCAAAAGCCTAGACAAGTAAAAACATCAAACCAGGTGATGTAGTAGGTGGTATGACTTTGACACAATGTTAATTCCATGTAGGGAACCAGCTTATACTCCCAAAGAAAAATCCCAGATTTTGTGATTTTGTCCTGCTAAGGTTACATCAGAATGTGACCAATGGATACCAAAAAACCTAGCTTTTAAAACATATAAGAACTTCATTAATTATTTGAATAGCTCAAACATTTTATTGAGCAGTTTACCTTTACTCTTTCCCAGTGAGCAGGACAAATGTACAATGGCAACCAGGCATTGATTGGTTCCCTACTAGCACCAAAAGTGGCAAATGGTAGTTCAAGTTCAAACCCACTGCAAAAAGAGAATCCTCCATGTGCTGAAAGGTGGCTGTCAAGGTTAATTTTAAACTCCAATGCATCCATCACTGAAGATCTGCTAACTAGATTTCCACTTATGCTGTGTATACGAATCTATTAAATAAAGGATAATATTCTTTTTTTAAAGACGCATTAAAAATTTTAATTTATTAGATTGCCTGTTCATTATTTAGTTTATAACTTGCTTTTTACACTGAAAATATACATGTCTAAATATGCAACTAACTGACTTTTTCATAGTAAGTACTGTTGCCTATGTATTTAAATATGTTTAGTCTTTCTTCTTTTCTCCACTCTATCATTTAATCATAATGAAAATTGAATTTGAAACACATTTATTTGACTCACTGAAGTAGGGTCATCCAAAGCAAATTCAGGTCTAGTCACAGCAAGACCAATACCCATGGCATTTTCTAAATCATTACAGTCCAATAAAATATCTTTGACATTAGACATTGATAAAATGCAGTGATAAAATCCTAAGGCGTCCTCTGACAGTTGACCTAGTGCGGCCTCTGTTCCAACTATGGCTTTCTGGGAATCTGATTTTATCTTATTAAAGTTGTTTGCAGCTCTCCTGTCCATTAACCTCTGACGCCTTGATTTGCTGAACTGAAAATATTTGAATTAAATAAATAATTAAGAAATGCTTTTATTTATCATTTTTAATGAAATTCAAAGCCTCGAATATGCTGGATCAACAGATAGACTTATTATATTTGGCCACTTTAAGTTAGAGAATTAAATCATATATAAATTCCATCAAGTTGACACACATGATGTGCATCATATTTACCTGTACTTCATATTTCAAGTCATGGGCCCGTGCCAGCAAAGAAACACTTTGGGTTTCTCCTCTGATATACTGAGCCAACATAGCATATAGTTTGTTTACCTGTAGATGATAAATATTTTATTTTTTAAACAGTTGATATGATACATATTCAGGCTTAAAACTGAAATAAAAATAATTTACTAACACAATTAAAGATAACCTTGTACTATGTATATATTAATGTTAAATTATTTTAGAATTCTATTAAAATATTTTTAATGGTTTTTGTCGACAATTTACCTTGCCCTGAATTTCTCTAATGTGATCCATAATTTTTGCCCTGGTGTCTTTGTTATAACCTGCCTTGAAAATCGCTACACTGGAGATTTTTGACTGCAGGTCATCAAGATTACTTTTCAACTTTACGACATCTAAAAAACGTAATGAAAAATATAAAGATATTCTTGAAGCTATCAATTAATTGAAATGGTTCTACTGGCTTTTGAGCTACTCATAGAATAATCATTTAGCCACTGCACTTAAAAAGAATAATGGTTTTAATTACTCTTCATTTTGGCATTCTCAAAGTTGACATGAAATAAGAACCAAAATTATTTATAATTTTTTTTTTTTTCAAACACAATAATCTAGCCATATAATGAATGCTTTTTTAAAATAAATGTATACATACCATTACCAGCAGTTATTGCTGCAACAAACTCTGTTGTCAATATGTCACTATTTCTTGACATTATGGAAAGTTCCCATAATGCTAACTGACCAACATCTGTTATTACATCATAATTCATCTTTCTGACTTGACAGGGTATTTGTAAAGTGAACTTTATTTTATTCTAGGAAAAATAGAATAAAGTCTATTAAATTAAAAAGCAAAATGTCTATTTAAAAACAGTTATCATTTCCAATTACGTGGTATTTAATTTATATTTTTACAATGTTCACTTTTTAATATTTAATATTTATATTAAAACAGTTGAATTTTCATACCTTAGTGACAACAAGCAAAATACCAAGAGAAATCTGAGGCAAGATGTTGGAATCATTTATACAAACCCAACATTCACCAGCAGCAATGAGTTCTGTTGTGAGAAACATAATTTATGCCAATGAAATACTTAAAATAGTGTATTCCTAAAATATCATAAATAGCAGGAAAACTCTAAACTAGCTAAGCTAAGGAGTTTTCCACTGAATTTTTTCTTAGTAAATGGATTGCAAAATAAGTAGCCTACTCCATATTGTGTTTCAAAGTTTTTTCATTGTATAAGTGTTAATATACCTGATGTGCTATCTTCCTGCTCTATAAAGCTGATACAGCCTTCTATTGTTCCTGAATGGCCTCCCAAATTAATAAGAGAATCTTTGGGGTTCATTAGATTCACTTCAATTTTGATAGGCTTACCTCCACTGTCAAAAAAAAAAAATTATAATTGTAATAAAAATGTGTTTTGTTAATCTAATTGTTTAATTACATTAAAAAACCCATCAAATTTCACTAATTAATTTTCAGAAAAGTGATTTAAAATAATTGCATGTTGTTGTTCTATTAGGTTTAAGTAATCCTTACTTGAGACAAAGAAGTAAAAAATATATGAACCCAATGCTATTTATTTTTAATTTGTTAATGGTTTTTTTTTAGTTTATGATTATTATTTTTTATTTTTAACAAAAAAAATTTTTTTTTAATAACTATTTTTATAAATCTTACAAAAAAATGTGGTACAATACAACAAAGTGCTGCAAAGAAAAGCAATATATATAGTATATGGAGTGACCAGAATAAACCCTTATAAACTAATTCTAAATGATAATAGTTATATCCCGCTAGACATTCAACCAGAGTTAAATGAATTTAATATTGAAACATTTTTTTTAATAATTTCTCTCAAATGCAATCATCATCACAATATTTTTAAAACTAACCTAATACTGACATAATCAAATAGTTCTTCAAGTTTCTCTCTCAAAGCCTCTGGCCCATCTGCTGGCTCACAGTATCTGTAAAGACCTTGTACGGAGCCAGCATTGGAGATTTTGGTCAAGAAATGCAGGTCATGATCTTTGGGAAACAGGGAAACAGAAAGTTTAACACTTTTAAAATTGTGTATAGAGCGAATCTAAAAAAATTGAGTTCTGAAATATCTCATATATGATATTTATAAGAAAGGATACTATTTATTTCTATCTTTTATTTCTATTCCCAAGAACCTAGTAAAAGATAAATGGTAAGTGATTAAAATCTGGTTGTTGTTGTTTTTGAAATTATTTTACAAATTTTGCCTTTAGCATCAAAATCTTGAATTGATATAAACCTGTGGAAAATCCCACAGCATGAACTGTAACTTGATGTGTTAGGCTTTTCAAAGATTTCGCCCATTTCTTAGCATACTCATTAGCTTTGCTTTGGTTTGAGACAGTGTCTACACCATCTGTCATAAATAATATCACTGTTGAACCAAATCCATCATCTGCAAAGAAAAAAAAAAAATTTAAATATTTAAATATTTTCAGAAATAATTTTTTTAGTATTATGTATAAGATTAGTTATTATTTCATTTTGACAAGAAATTGATGCTTTTAAATTACCATGTTTTATATATATATATATATATATATATATATATATATATATATGTATATATATCTATATAATAAAATATAAAAGATGAACTAACTTGAATGTCATGCTGATATATGTAAGCCCTATTTCATTAAAATGTTTACTTACTCCTTCGTTTACCAATAGAAACATCAGATTATTTTATTTTTAAAAAAAATTGATTTTTTTAAATTATTATGTTTTATATATATATATATATATATATATATATATATATATATATGTATATATATCTATATAATAAAATTTAAAAGATGAACTAACTTGAATGTCATGCTGATATATGTAAGCCCTATTTCATTAAAATGTTTACTTACTCCTTCGTTTACCAATAGAAGCATCAGCTTCATCAAATGCAGCTTTAAAGTTGGTTGAGCCATCAGCTTTAAGGTTAGATATTGTTTCCTTGTAATTTGATGGTGTAAAAGAAATAGTTTCTGCTTTCTCCGCATACAAAATAATGTCTATGACTTTGTAAGGATCGTTCAAACACTGACTCACTATCTCCTCTAACGCATTTTTCACCTATAAATGTTTGAGAAAACATAATATATTAGTAATAGTGATAATGATTGATTTCAAAGCAGAATTGCTATGTTTTTCCTTGTGTTATTTTTTGTTCTGTTTTTGGGAGGAGGGTGTGTTTGTTGTCTAGTTGTTAAATGTTGTTTTTCTGCTTAAGTGCATGTATGAATATTTTTATGGTTCACAATACAAAAAAATCACCTAACTTAATTTTTCTTTATTTTGAAGGGTGGCTTTTTTTGGCCAACTGCAAAGTTTTGGGGTTTTTTTTTTTGGAAACAGAAATCTTGTCCCACCCCTGCGGCACTTACTCTAGCTTTGCCACTGGTTACATCCACCTGCCATTAAAATCTAAGACTGACCTGATTGAAGGGGTTCCCTGACATGGAACCACTCTTGTCAACAACAAGAATAATGTGGATCTTTTCATCTTGTTTGTGATTTAACACTTGATCAAAATCTATATTTAAATCTTCAGTTATGTTTCCATGAAAGATTAACAGCTGTTCAGAATATATTTGTTCTGTTTCTGAAATAGAGGAAATGTTCAAGGCTTGTAATATAGGCCATTGTCTAAAACTGAAGTGAATGTTAAAATTCAGAGATCCTTTACACATAGAAGCACTATAATAAGTTTAATGTAGCTGTCATGCACTGTAATAAATTTGTTTTCTTCGCATACCGGTACCAGCTTTTAAAACAATAAATGTGCATGAACTCCTACGCATTGAATACTGAGCTCAATATGAACTTACAATAAATACTAGGCTTTTTGGCATTGATAGACAACTTCTTAATTAGTCAGAGTTCCTTATGAATGTCCTCTCTATAACAGGGGGTCACCAAACTACAATCCGTGCCGTCAGTTCATCATGCCCGCCGGCGGAGGTACGTGATATCATCAATGTTTGGTTTCGATTTCTGCATCAAGTCTAGAGCATTGCTTTGAAATGTTCATCGAACGAAATTGACTGATGAACATTCAAAGCAATTCTTTGGACTGGATGCATAAATCCAAATCAAACATGGATGATATCTTGAAGACAAAAGGCCAGTTTTATAAATCTCAGTACCTTTTTTTTTTTTTTTGCTGCTTATAGTTTGTGAGATGAATATGTGCGCACTAGCTCTGATGTAGCTATCTTTTTGCTAACGTCGCCTTCACTGATAACATTTTAGTACATAAATCTGTTTGTTGTCTTTGGTTGTTGTTGTTTTTTTTTTTTTTTTTTTTTTTTAAAACATGGATGATATCTTGAAGACAAAAGGCCAGTTTTATAAATCTCAGTACCTTTTTTTTTTTTGCTGCTTATAGTTTGTGAGATGAATATGTGCGCACTAGCTCTGATGTAGCTATCTTTTTGCTAACGTCGCCTTCACTGATAACATTTTAGTACATAAATCTGTTGGTTGTCTTTGGTTGTTGTTGTTTTTTTTTTTGTTGTTTTTTTTTGTGCATTTCACGGCACTCACCCATGTTTAACATGGAACACTAAACTTAGTTGTTCATCTTTTCCCCCGGAGCTTTCGTTCTGGCGTGCAAGTATTGTACAGAATGATTATACGGCCGGCGCTCGTTATTTTGTCAGCTATCAGGCCCACTGTGAAAACAGTTTAGTGACAACTGGTCTAAAGGATGTGACTTTAAAGGAAATATCATTTTATGAATGGGCAGTTTGCTAAAATGTGAGGAGCGTCTAAACCAAATCAGCTGAAACCAATAGTGAAAACTTAGATCAATTTCTCTCTCATCTGGTGTTAGAGATGTGGAAACTAGATAAATATCTCTCTAATCTCGTGGTAGAGATGTGAAAACTAGATCAATATCTCTTTAATCTGGTGATAGAGATGTGGAAACTAGATCAATATCTCTCTAATCTGGTGGTAGAGATGTGAAAACTAGATCAATATCTCTTTAATCTGGTGATAGAGATGTGGAAACTAGATAAATATCTCTCTAATCTCGTGGTAGAGATGTGAAAACTAGATCAATATCTCTTTAATCTGGTGATAGAGATGTGGAAACTAGATCAATATCTCTCTAATCTCGTGGTAGAGATGTGAAAACTAGATCAATATCTCTTTAATCTGGTGATAGAGATGTGGAAACTAGATAAATATCTCTCTAATCTCGTGGTAGAGATGTGAAAACTAGATCAATATCTCTTTAATCTGGTGATAGAGATGTGGAAACTAGATCAATATCTCTCTAATCTCGTGGTAGAGATGTGAAAACTAGATCAATATCTCTTTAATCTGGTGATAGAGATGTGGAAACTAGATAAATATCTCTCTAATCTCGTGGTAGAGATGTGAAAACTAGATCAATATCTCTTTAATCTGGTGATAGAGATGTGGAAACTAGATCAATATCTCTCTAATCTCGTGGTAGAGATGTGAAAACTAGATCAATATCTCTTTAATCTGGTGATAGAGATGTGGAAACTAGATAAATATCTCTCTAATCTCGTGGTAGAGATGTGAAAACTAGATCAATATCTCTTTAATCTGGTGATAGAGATGTGGAAACTAGATCAATATCTCTCTAATCTCGTGGTAGAGATGTGAAAACTAGATCAATATCTCTTTAATCTGGTGATAGAGATGTGGAAACTAGATAAATATCTCTCTAATCTCGTGGTAGAGATGTGAAAACTAGATCAATATCTCTTTAATCTGGTGATAGAGATGTGGAAACTAGATCAATATCTCTCTAATCTCGTGGTAGAGATGTGAAAACTAGATCAATATCTCTTTAATCTGGTGATAGAGATGTGGAAACTAGATAAATATCTCTCTAATCTCGTGGTAGAGATGTGAAAACTAGATCAATATCTCTTTAATCTGGTGATAGAGATGTGGAAACTAGATCAATATCTCTCTAATCTCGTGGTAGAGATGTGAAAACTAGATCAATATCTCTTTAATCTGGTGATAGAGATGTGGAAACTAGATAAATATCTCTCTAATCTCGTGGTAGAGATGTGAAAACTAGATCAATATCTCTTTAATCTGGTGATAGAGATGTGGAAACTAGATCAATATCTCTCTAATCTCGTGGTAGAGATGTGAAAACTAGATCAATATCTCTTTAATCTGGTGATAGAGATGTGGAAACTAGATAAATATCTCTCTAATCTCGTGGTAGAGATGTGAAAACTAGATCAATATCTCTTTAATCTGGTGATAGAGATGTGGAAACTAGATAAATATCTCTCTAATCTCGTGGTAGAGATGTGAAAACTAGATCAATATCTCTTTAATCTGGTGATAGAGATGTGGAAACTAGATAAATATCTCTCTAATCTCGTGGTAGAGATGTGAAAACTAGATCAATATCTCTTTAATCTGGTGATAGAGATGTGGAAACTAGATAAATATCTCTCTAATCTCGTGGTAGAGATGTGAAAACTAGATCAATATCTCTTTAATCTGGTGATAGAGATGTGGAAACTAGATAAATATCTCTCTAATGTCGTGGTAGAGATGTGAAAACTAGATCAATATCTCTTTAATCTGGTGATAGAGATGTGGAAACTAGATCAATATCTCTCTAATCTGGTGGTAGAGATGTGGAAACAAGATAAATATCTCTCTAATCTCGTGGTAGAGATGTGGAAACTAGATCAATATCTCTTTAATCTGGTGATAGAGATGTGGAAACTAGATAAATATCTCTCTAATCTGGTGATAGAGATGTGGAAACTAGATCAATATCTCTCTAATCTGGTGGTAGAGATGTGAAAACTAGATCAATATCTCTTTAATCTGGTGATAGAGATGTGGAAACTAGATAAATATCTCTCTAATCTCGTGGTAGAGATGTGAAAACTAGATCAATATCTCTTTAATCTGGTGATAGAGATGTGGAAACTAGATCAATATCTCTCTAATCTGGTGGTAGAGATGTGAAAACTAGATCAATATCTCTTTAATCTGGTGATAGAGATGTGGAAACTAGATAAATATCTCTCTAATCTCGTGGTAGAGATGTGAAAACTAGATCAATATCTCTTTAATCTGGTGATAGAGATGTGGAAACTAGATCAATATCTCTCTAATCTGGTGGTAGAGATGTGAAAACTAGATCAATATCTCTTTAATCTGGTGATAGAGATGTGGAAACTAGATAAATATCTCTCTAATCTCGTGGTAGAGATGTGAAAACTAGATCAATATCTCTTTAATCTGGTGATAGAGATGTGGAAACTAGATCAATATCTCTCTAATCTGGTGGTAGAGATGTGAAAACTAGATCAATATCTCTTTAATCTGGTGATAGAGATGTGGAAACTAGATAAATATCTCTCTAATCTCGTGGTAGAGATGTGAAAACTAGATCAATATCTCTTTAATCTGGTGATAGAGATGTGGAAACTAGATCAATATCTCTCTAATCTGGTGGTAGAGATGTGAAAACTAGATCAATATCTCTTTAATCTGGTGATAGAGATGTGGAAACTAGATAAATATCTCTCTAATCTCGTGGTAGAGATGTGAAAACTAGATCAATATCTCTTTAATCTGGTGATAGAGATGTGGAAACTAGATCAATATCTCTCTAATCTGGTGGTAGAGATGTGAAAACTAGATCAATATCTCTTTAATCTGGTGATAGAGATGTGGAAACTAGATAAATATCTCTCTAATCTCGTGGTAGAGATGTGAAAACTAGATCAATATCTCTTTAATCTGGTGATAGAGATGTGGAAACTAGATCAATATCTCTCTAATCTCGTGGTAGAGATGTGAAAACTAGATCAATATCTCTTTAATCTGGTGATAGAGATGTGGAAACTAGATAAATATCTCTCTAATCTCGTGGTAGAGATGTGAAAACTAGATCAATATCTCTTTAATCTGGTGATAGAGATGTGGAAACTAGATAAATATCTCTCTAATCTCGTGGTAGAGATGTGAAAACTAGATCAATATCTCTTTAATCTGGTGATAGAGATGTGGAAACTAGATAAATATCTCTCTAATCTCGTGGTAGAGATGTGAAAACTAGATCAATATCTCTTTAATCTGGTGATAGAGATGTGGAAACTAGATCAATATCTCTCTAATCTGGTGGTAGAGATGTGAAAACTAGATCAATATCTCTTTAATCTGGTGATAGAGATGTGGAAACTAGATAAATATCTCTCTAATCTCCTGGTAGAGATGTGAAAACTAGATCAATATCTCTTTAATCTGGTGATAGAGATGTGGAAACTAGATAAATATCTCTCTAATCTGGTGGTAGAGATGTGAAAACTAGATCAATATCTCTTTAATCTGGTGATAGAGATGTGGAAACTAGATCAATATCTCTCTAATCTGGTGGTAGAGATGTGAAAACTAGATCAATATCTCTTTAATCTGGTGATAGAGATGTGGAAACTAGATCAATATCTCTCTAATCTGGTGGTAGAGATGTGAAAACTAGATCAATATCTCTTTAATCTGGTGATAGAGATGTGGAAACTAGATCAATATCTCTCTAATCTGGTGGTAGAGATGTGGAAACTAGATAAATATCTCTCTAATCTCGTGGTAGAGATGTGAAAACTAGATCAATATCTCTTTAATCTGGTGATAGAGATGTGGTAACTAGATCAATATCTCTCTAATCTGGTGATAGAGATGTGGAAACTAGATAAATATCTCTCTAATCTCGTGGTAGAGATGTGAAAACTAGATCAATATCTCTTTAATCTGGTGATAGAGATGTGGAAACTAGATCAATATCTCTCTAATCTGGTGGTAGAGATGTGAAAACTAGATCAATATCTCTTTAATCTGGTGATAGAGATGTGGTAACTAGATCAATATCTCTCTAATCTGGTGATAGAGATGTGGAAACTAGATAAATATCTCTCTAATCTCGTGGTAGAGATGTGAAAACTAGATCAATATCTCTTTAATCTGGTGATAGAGATGTGGAAACTAGATAAATATCTCTCTAATCTCGTGGTAGAGATGTGAAAACTAGATCAATATCTCTTTAATCTGGTGATAGAGATGTGGAAACTAGATCAATATCTCTCTAATCTGGTGGTAGAGATGTGAAAACTAGATCAATATCTCTTTAATCTGGTGATAGAGATGTGGAAACTAGATCAATATCTCTCTAATCTGGTGATAGAGATGTGAGCAGGTCACTCCCAAGAACACAAAACGGCATGTTCAATAGGCCTGATAAGCTGTATAAAACCCGTGATCTCACTTGCAGAGACTACAAGATCACATTAACTTTGAACCAACTTCTTATCACACTGAATTGGCGTAGGAAGAGTGGGGGTGGGGGCGGTCTGGACCTAACATTTCTCTTTATCTGGAGGGGTGGCATTTTCGGCCAACTGCAGAGTTTTAACGTGGAAAGGGGGCGACAAAGATCTTCGCCCCCCCCCCTTTTCCGGGCTGGACTAACAATAGCTATACCACTGATCATGGCTGCCACATGTAATTTCGGATTTGCTCTCATTTTTTAAATTTTTTCATTAAAATGGTGTATCCTTGAACAAAATTGAGAGCTGTACAACAAAATACCGCTAATAGTGACCTCCCATGAACAAAAAAGTTATGTCACTTTTGAGTAGGACGTGGCGATTTTTAATTATGTCACGTATTGAAATTCAATGACCATTTAAAATCTGTGGTCATTGTTTTAAATCTGCTTATTTCGTTTTTATCTCATTTTCTTAGGTGGAGTTTCAATACGCACATTTCATAGGTTATTGAGATGTTGCCATTTTGTTAAGCTGATCAACGACCCCAACAACGAGTTATATTCATTTCTAACTGGCCATATTTGGAGGATTTAAATCTGAATAATTCTTATAACCATAACTAGGATATTCTACGCTAGAATTTGCCAGTCCCAGTGTTTATGAATAACTACAATCAGGTCATTTAACGCTAGAACTTGCCAGTGTTTATAAATTAAGTTTTAAATTCATTCAGATAGATAAAGTATATTATGTGATAAACACCAAGCTCTATTATCAATGAAATGTGAATGAGAAAGTCAATAATTTGTCTGAAGTGACAGATTAATTTTTAAACAAACCGAAATTGAAACCAGAGCCGTTTTAGGGGTTTGGGGACCCTAAGCATGGAGCGTAGGTTGGGGGGCCCCGGAAGGGGGGTCCGGGGGGTGGAGCTCCCTCGAGCTGAGGAGAAATGAGCCTCAAAATGACAGTCCTGCCGCCACCGATCCACGATGTGTAATGGTTTAACCAGACTAACCGATCGCTATTTATACTTTCCCATTCCCACGGCCAAGCCCCCGATTTCCTGTCTGCCACCCCCAAAGCTCCCCCTGCTGCTTCCCTTCCCCTGTCTCCGAATTCAACTCAGAATGATAAATTTCAGGATGAGGAAGGTAACGTGAGTGAGACAGACGGCTGCATAGTCAGCGTATGCATAAGAACTGGCCTGTTAAAACAAGGGCGTATTTCAAACGAGCCGGGACGTAATTCAAACTGTCCGGGGTAGCGTGGCCAATCCAGGACAATACTGGTAACCCTTTGAATACATAAACACAAAGGTAGATATTCTAATGTCCTATGTTACATCTTTCTATAAAGTTCAATTAAAAAATAAAGAAACTCATCTTACCTGTTTGTTTCACTCCTCGTATGGTAACATCCACTGGTAGAGCAGTTTTTAGAAGCTCCTCCTGAAGTGCACTTATTTCTTTGGGCACTCTCATGTCATTGTCCACGGACCTGCCCATCATCTCTTGCGTCTTTTTGAACAATCGTGGCATTTTAGCTTATCACATTTGCCTCCAGTTTCAAAGTACACGAAGAATAGCTGAATGGCCTCCCTATGTCATCAGAACTATGTTGTTATAGTAAATATGTATATTACAGTATATCATGTAGGCCTACTTTTTTTTTTTTTAAAGTAACGTGTGCCTGTCTGATCGCATAGGGCCTACAAGAGACAACACACTACCGTAAGAATATCATACATTAAGCCCAATAATTTAACACAGCGTGAAAGTGGGCTAAATTTTGCTTGGAGTTATGTTACATTGATAAAATGATCTATAAATAGATCACGGTTAACGTGTGTCAGTCTTAGCACTCTTGGTATCAATCAATAATTAACGTAAAAATCTTATGACTCAAAGGCGTCATCAGATAATTTAAGTAGTTAGCCGATTTGTTAAATTTAGTAGATTTCCTGGAAGAATGTGTAAGTCTACTACTAGTTTAATTAGTGTATGGTGTTGTCAAATATTAAAACGTTTAAATTGATATCATACTAAGTTTAAGGGATCAGAGAAACTCTCAGAAACAATTAAATGTTTTCTATTTTTATAAACGTGTTTACTTCCCCTAGTAATGTTGATTGGCATTCTTGATGCAACGCCATGGCAACGACTGCCTGGCCACCAGGGCTGCCACTCACTTTTTTCAAATTTCCCAAGATTTGGTGAACAAATTTCCCAAGATTTCCCAAGATCATACAAATATATAAGAGTTTTTTTTTTAAAGGGGGTTTTCTATGTAATTAATGTAATAATAGATTGAATCAATGCCCCTGAAAAACATGGTGTATTAAATGACTGAAATTTATTGAAAAAGACATTTAAAACATGTTTATCACATTAAAAAAAAAAAAAATTGTTTTTAAAAAAATAATTTATAATCCAAAATATCAATACCCACTGGAGTTAGGCTACTAAATATTACCTCCGAATTCTCTGATAAAAATATAATCTACAATACATGTGTAATAGAAGTCACTTGGAAAAAAAAAGCATACAAGGCTAATCAACACAGAATTCCTTTTACAAAGGCAAAAGTTTCTTCATCAAAAAATGATTTTTTATTATTGTAAATCTGTTGATTACAAGTGGGGTTTGCAAAGCAATTAAGCAAAATTTATTAATAATAATTGTAGTTAAAATGGATTGATATTACGATGAAAACAATAAGTGTTTTATTTTTTCTTGTAAAATTTACATTATAACGATTTTTTCACCAAAAAAAAAAAAATTTTAAAGGAATTGTTCATTTATAATCCTACAACGTAGGCCTATACTGCCTATACTATTAATATCTTAGTTACCCGTGTTTCAATCCACAAATATTTTTTCTAATTGATGAAAATTAGGCTGGATTTTTTACAGATGCATTATATTTTGAACACATTGTAGAAGTAATTGAAATAATAAAATTCTACTATGGCATGGATTCTTGATTGAACACTATCGTTCACTCTTTGGCTTGTACTGTTTTTCGTATGGTTGCTAATGTCTAAGAGCATAATGATAAAGTTTCCGAGCCTACCCCCCCCCCCCTTTAATAAACATTCAAAACCTGGATGTAATTTGTAAATCTTCAATTTTTTTTTTAAAGAGAAAATTGAATTTTTTTTAAAAATTATTAACTTTTTAATAATTCACAATATTAACTTTAAAATCAGAAGAGTTTTTATTTATTTTATGAGTGGATTTAAAAATTAAAACCAGAAAAGAAAATGAAAACAATTAATTTTTTGCCTTGTTACTTTAAAAATTATTTTGCTTTATTTTTAATTTATTTTTTATCAGATATTGTTGCGTTTTTTTCGAAAAATATAACAAAATGTTCCCCCCAGTTAAGATTTCCCAAGGTTTTGCATGATTTTCAAAATTATTCCCCAGATCCCAAGGGGGGTCGTGAATTCCCAAGACCTTGGGAAATTTCCCAAGGTGTGGTAGCCCTGCTGGCCACACAGGAGAAATGTTGTTGCAATAACGATCACATACCATCACCTGTCACTAAGTTCCGCTTTCTGATCCACGGGGGCGGATCGACCTATCGGGCAACCGGCTACGAAAACAATTATTGAGTAAATACAAGTTTTTAACAATTCAACAACGTTGTAATATTTCACAATTCTTTTTCGAATTATTAACAGTCATTTCCTCTTTGAAGATGGGTTCAAACAATAGGAGGATGATTGAAAAGAAAATCGAGAACTTAATAACGTTTCACAAGAGTTCCAAGTTGTAAATAGAGCTGAGCAAAGTTCGACCCGACGGACGAATGTCCTGTTAAGTGTTGTATGAAGAACATGAGGATTTGGAGGTTGAGGCCGTCGTTGCCGTCTGTGCTTTCTGGTGTAAATAGAAGTCGATCAATAATCATTAATGATTAAAAATCAAGGACACCAATAATCAATTCATCACCCGGCCGCTGTGTCAAAATTACTACGCACTCAGTTACCATAAATAACAGGACCAGAAAAGTAGGGCCAAGTTACGCATGTTGAGAAGTGAGTGTTTGTAGTCCACCGAGAAAGTACGGATAAATCATTATGCAGATACTGAGATTGTAAATAACTAAATAACAATTTTGTGATGAGACTCTTCGATGGTTAAACTTACTTTATGTAATTGAAGGGTTCGTGAGACCGCGGTGCAGGTATTTAGAAGGACCTGCTTGGCCATTTAAATATCAGCTTTGAAAACGCTGTAGAAGTAGAAGACGAAGACATGGGTAATCATGTTGACCAATGCGTTGGACGGTGGGCAGGGGTCACTGGACAAATTATTGTATGTTCCACTATGACTCTGCCTGCCGCCAAAATATCCATCTGCGACACCCCCCCCCCACACACACACACACACACATACTCACGACGCTCCCCTTAACCCCACCAGTGGAGTAGGAAGGGGTGAGGAGAGGGGCGTACACGGCACTCTTACTTTATATTGAGGGGAAGTAATGCAGTCTTTTCCAAGGAAGGGGTGCAGCAAAACGCTTGGCACTAACCCTATCTACGTTACTGACCCCCCACTCCCCCCAAACCCCTAAAAATACTTATAGGCCCTATATTAAATTATTCTTCCACTACCCTCCAATAAATACATTAAAATCCCGTAGCATAATATTTAATTAGATTGCCAGTTTTACGACCATTATTTACTTCCGTAATATTTCAAGAACACACTTTAGGAAAATTATTTTTATGATTAAGCGATTATAAATAGAAATGCAATATTCTATTATATAGATTAGTAATCCCATGAGTAAGCAACTATGTTTGGAAACACATCCCCCACAACCCCATTGACACGGTTCGGTAAAAAAAAATGACACAGTTCAGTGACGATTAAACAGCAATAGACGGGATGCTCAATGTTGTGAAGGGTGGCGTGGGTGGTTGGACTTGCTATTGCGCAGAATTTCACAATCATGTTTGTTAGGGATATGTGAAAATGTTTATTCTCGCTACAAAATACATACCTGCAAAGCAGAGGAACGAGTGTGTTCCACAGACTCAAAAAAAATGTCTCATTTATTCGTTCCTTATTTTCAATGGGTTAAGTGATCTAGAAGAGGGGACAGGCCCTGTGTTTCTGACAGGCCCTGCGTTTCTGACAGCCCCTGTGTTTCTGACAGGCCCTGTGTTTGTGACATGCGTTTCTGACAGGCCTTGTGTTTCTGACATGCCCTGTGTTTGTGACAGGCCCTGTGTTTCTGACGTGCGTTTCTGACATGCCCTGTGTTTCTGACAGGCCCTGTTTTTTCTATCATTTGACTAAAACGTGGAAAAAGTGGTGGAAGGTGTCAAAATGACAGTCAAAATAATTTCAATTGTACGCAGTAACTGTCCATAATTAGCTGTCACTTAAAACCTTTCAACTATGTCAAATCAACAAGTTGGAATTTACAGTGATGATTCTTTTAATGCTGTTTCTGATGTGCTGAAATAAACTAGCCAAGAAAGATTTGTGAGTGGGGACATACACACCACCTACAAGCAGGTCAATATCAACCAAATGACCTAAATCTAAGAGGCATTCAATCACAAGTTGTCTTCACTTTCACTGGAGAAGCTGTCCACAAGATGTTTTCTTTTCTGAAAAAAGGCAGACATTGAAGACCCAAGAGACCACTTGAATCGCTCAACTTCATGTCAATCATGTTTTGTAATGTCACAAACAGTCTCTGTATAGTTGTCCCTTCTATCATTAGAGTGGATGAAATGCACACAATCAAATATGTGGGGAAAGACATGTATTCTTACAGCCATGGGCGCCCGCGGGGGGGGGGGGGCAAAGGGGGCACTTGCCCCCCCTGGATTGATTGGATAAAAATTTTTAGACAAAAATAGACAAAAAATGTATTAAAGAAAAGAGAAAATAAAGAGAAAGTAACTAAGCTGATGTCCTGTCTGTTCGTTCACCATAAGGGGAAAGACATGTATTCTTACAGCCAGGGGGGCCCGCGGGGGGGGGGGGCAAAGGGGGCACTTGCCCCCCCTGGATTGATTGGATAAAAATTTTTAGACAAAAATAGACAAAAAATGTATTAAAGTAAAGAGAAAATAAAGAGAAAGTAACTAAGCTGATGTCCTGTCTGTTCGTTCACCATACTAATACACTACAGTAAATTCAAACTACTTTAAAACATTACTAAAAAATTTTTGCCCCCCCTTAGGATGTTAATCAATTTTTTTGCCCCCCCCCCAGACAGTTTTCTGCGGGCACCCATGCTTACAACACAAAAACTCAGTTTTTAAACATAAAAATAACTTGCAACTACTGGGGCATTATTCAGTCATATATAAAACAATTACAAACTATTTTACACCAGTAAGAGCAGTTTAATATAGAAAATACAGAAAATTAATTTCAATATAACAAATTTTGTAATAAACTTATTTGTGTATGAAACTTGTAAAATTAAAGCATTTTTAATAAAGAATACCAAAATTCAAAATTAAATTTAAAAAAAACTATTGTAAATTATGTTTCTGTAAAGTTATTTTGTATTGCTTTTAATTTTTAAGTCCAGTTCAAATATTATGAGCTCATGCATTTAATTAGGGTATTTCAATTTTGCACTGTGTCTTGGTTGAGACTGCAGCAAAGTGATCAAAGGCAAACCTGAAAATTTATAGATGTGAGCAGATGACAAGTGATGGAAAGCCAATGCGGTAGGCTAAACAAGATGACAGTCAACTGATATGGCATATGAGGTCTATGACAGTCGACTGATAGGCTTATGACAAATATGACAATTGACTGATATGGCTTATGATGAATATGACAGTCAACTGCTTTGGCATATGAGGAATATGACAGTTGACTGATAACCAGTACGGTATGCTAAACATATAACACTCAGTCAATATGACATGGGACCAAATGACAGTTAAATGTCTCACATGACATATCACTGATATGACAAATGACCGGTATGACAAATGACTGACATAACAGATAACCAATATTTACAATCAACTTTTATGACAGGTCTAGCAACCCATGATCAATCAAGAAACACAAAAATGCATCACATGGCTGCCAGTGTTATGACTGCCAGTGTTATGACTGCCAGTGTTATGGCTGCCAGTGTTATGAATGCCAGTGTTATGACTGCCAGTGTTATGACTGCCAGTGTTATGACTTGCAATGAATCTACAATGTTCAAGAGCCAAACAATTTTTTAACATTATTTATTACATTATTTTAGTGCATAATGGAGCAGCCCCAAAGACCAGTTTAAAGACACTAACAAATAGTTGCAGACAACAGCAATTACCCCTTGTTAATTTTTCCTTTCAGTTAATAATTCTATTTAAATAATCCTTTAAATGTTGTTTTTTTAATATTGTAACGCATAGATATATTCTGATTTAAAAAGTGGTAAAAATAATTTGTTACATTTTAATCCTTATTGTAAATATAGGTAAATAAATCCAGAAAAAGATTGAAATGATGCAGTTATTTATTGGCAGAACAGCTTATGTCAAGGTTGAAAACAAACAAGTTATTTTTATAGGGTTCTAAAAAGAGGAATAACTTATCAACCAAAAATAAAGTATCCAACACCAATAACAGAGAAAACTGGACTTACCGGTTACAAAATAGTTTTTTTTTTCTCTTGAAGTAATAACTTAATCAAAGACTATTTAGAAAAAGCTCAAAATATTTTACCTTTCATATAAAAGTTTGCCACTTTGTAAATTCTGTCCAATAATATCATAACCTTTAAATTGATTTTATGCATATTTGATCAATGTTAAAACTCAAGAAATGAATGAAAGCAACAGATGTAAATTGAATATGCAACTATTATAATTTTATAAACTGAGAGTATATACTTTAAGGGATGTAAACATGAAAAATCAATTAGCAACATCACTTTGTTTGTATAACCAATGAAACAAAGTGTACATCACTGCAGTATCCAATGTTTAATACATTGCCGTTAAAATACAAAATAGAAATAATTTCTCTTTCAAATATGTCAGTTAAGTATAGATTAGTTAAGCTTTGGAATTTCAAATCAAAGACTTTGGATAATAGGATTCTGATAATATGAAATTTTCAAAACTCAAAAATGTTTTTTAATGTATGCACCGATATGTCGGCACTGAGCACAGTTTTAAAAGAAACATTTTGTAAATTTGAAATTCTCAACATTTGGAGATCAATGTCTAAAGTGAATAAGCTTTAAGTATTTGTTTTTAGTTAAACTAGAAATTTAAATAACTGAACCTAATGAATAAATGAGATTGAAAAGAAAGAGCATTAATGTGTAAATAGTAAAAATTGACATGAGTTTTACGAGAAGAAAAACAAAATTAAATAAATATTAATGGAAATAAAGGTTTCTAAAATCTATATGAATGGACCTAAATAAATATCCACATACAGTAGAGCAGCCAAAAATAATGACAGCGACAAGAAATACACTTAGCTCATATAAATTAATCAATTTTAAAGCCCTTCATTATTTTTTAGCTTAAAAAAAATTAACTATAACAATATTTATTTTAAAGGTAAATTATGTATATATATATATTTATGGTTTTTTGTGCATGCCTTAGATCAGAAATTCTTAAACTCAATTTTTAAAGCTAATTTGAGGTTCAAAATTTATTTTTGAAATGTATTTTAATCTGCATGAAGTCCATTATTTGAAAAGGATATTTTGGTGTGCTAATATGAAAATGTTTTCATCACAACATAATCAGATTTTCCAAAATGTCATTACATAATATAAATTGCAACTTACGGCTTTAAAGTTTGAATAAACACTTCCATCGTGAATTTAAGAAATTGTAAAATGAGATGAAAAATACATGTTAAAACATTTTTTTCTCAAAGTTTCTAATGTAAAAAATAAAGGGCCAAAAAAATGTCCCCTTAAACATGCATTATCGAAATTTCATAGAAATGAAAGCCCTTATTGGATTAATGGTCAGTGCTACATCTGAACAGTGTTTTCAGGAATCCAATTTCCCATCATCCATGAAGCAGAAGCTTTTCCACCTGCTTTGAGAGGTGTTTATCAGTTATATTGACTGTGCTGTCATTCACTGGATTTAGTTTGTCATATCTGGAATAAATGAAACATAAAGTTATGAATTATATCAGCTGGTTGAGTGGTTTTCACAGAGAAAAGAATATGTAACATAAATTCATGATATTTTTGTGAACAGTAGTTCAAAACAAGAGCTGGGAAATATTTGTGGCAACAAATTTACCAATATATAAAATATATTGAATGTTTTGTGTTGCTGCCTGTGCACAATTCACAGGAATCTCCTGCCCACTCAAAAAAAAAAAACCTCCAAAAACAATATAATGACCAATGATTTGTGAATCATTAAAAAAATTCATGGCTACAAACCTGTTTTAAAAAATATATAGAACTGGTTACACCACTAAAAAAAAAATTCCTCTTTAGAAAACATACCTGCCTCTGCCCCTTTTAGAAAACATACCTGGCTTTATCACATGCTTAAATTATATTTAATATTTAAAACATTAAGAAATGTGCCACATGCATTTTTGAATCACATTCCTTTATAAATATACTTACACAAAGAAGAATCGTGTGCAAACAAATTCACTGTTTTCACAAGTCCATATTTCCTTATTGTGTCTGTGAAGGCTTGGGCAGTTGATCACTTGAAAAGCAAAATAAAAAATTTTAAGTTTATACTTATTTAATATTCATTACATTGATTGTTGTGTCAACACAGCTGTGACAGACACAGCTCACGACATCCTCTGTAAACATCGACCAACCCGAAAACCATGGGTGACAGCTGACATACTTGATCTGTGTGATAAACGGAGGCAGTTAAAGAAAACAAAAATGGTAAATACAGAGCGGGCCATTAAATATAGGACAGTTAATCAAGCCATCAAAAAAGGTATGAAAAGCACAAAGAAGAACTGGATTGAAAAGTAATGCTACGACATTGAAAACTGCTTGAAGAAAAACAATAGCAAAAAAGCTTACCAGTTGGTGAAAGAACTAACCATTGCAAAACAAGGGCTAGTTTTACCATACAGGATAAAAATGGTAAATGTTTGACCAAAGAAAATGATATCATCAAACGATGGACTGAATACTGTTCAGAGCTTTATAATGAAAGTATAAAGATAAACCCAGAGATCCTTAATGTCCCTCCAGCAACAGACAATGATAACAACCCTATTCTCCGCGCAGAAGTAGAAGCAGCAGTCCAGGCACTCCAAACAGGAAAGGCCGCAGGAGTGGATAATATCCCTGCCGAGTTGATGAAACAAGGAGGAGAAGCAATGATAAGTGCCCTATTCAATATTTGTAACAAAATATGGCTTACAGGAGAATGGCCCAAACCATGGACCCAATCACTCATCGTCACCATCCCCAAAAAAGGTAACCTACAGCTATGCCAAAACTATCGCACAATTAGCCTAATAAGCCATCCAAGCAAGGTTATGATGAAGATCATATTGAACCGACTAAAACCATATGCCAACAGAATCATTGCTGAAGAACAGGCGGGCTTCAGGCAAGGACGGGGCCCTGCTTAGAAGATCCTAAACCTCCGAATACTATGTGACAAATATGCTCAACACCAACAAAATCTATACCACGTCTTTGTTGACTTCAAGAAAGCATTTGACAGGGTTTGGCATGCTGCTTTATGGGCCACCATGAGGCACTACAACATCAACACAAACCTAACCAGCATGATATGCAACCTCTATGATAAGGCCACCAGTGCAGTCTTCCTCAACAACAACATCGGAGAATGGTTCAAGACCACGGTTGGAGTACGACAAGGCTGCCTGCTCTCCCCCACCCTATTCAACATCTTCCTAGAGAGAATTATGTCAGATGCTCTGGAAGCGCATGAAGGGACAGTCAGCATTGGTGGCAGAACAATCACCAACCTATGCTTTGTGGACGACATAGATGTGCTGGCTGGGAACGAAGAAGAGCTAGCCGACCTGGTAAAGCGTCTCGAGAAGACCTCGTCGTCCTACGGCATGCATCAGTGCCGAAAAGACAAAACTGATGACAAATAATACCGCAGGCATCACCACTGAAATTAAGGTCGGGGAGACTGTCGACTGCTTCAAATACCTAGGAGCAATAGTCTCAAAAGAAGGCTCCAAGCCCGAACTGTTGTCTAGGATTGCGCAGACTACAACAGCACTAAAAAAAGCTCAAGAAAATATGGAATGACAAAAATATAGCCCCCAGCACCAAAATCAGGCTGATGCGCTCATTAGTCCTCTCAATTTTCCTGTATGCCTGCGAATCCTGGACATTAACAGCCGATCTTGAAAGGAAAATAAAGGCGATGAAGATGAGATGCTTCAGAAGCATTTTTGGCATCTACTGTAAGGACCATATCTCCAATGATACAGTGAAAGAAAGGGTTCGTCAGGCAATTGGGGAGTACGATGACCTACTGGTGACTGTGAAAAAACGCAAATTACAATGGTACGGCCACGTAACAAGGAAACATGGGCTTGCCAAAGAAATATTGCAGGGCACCACAAGACGAGGAAAAGAAGAAGAGGAAGACAAAGAAAAAGGTGGGAGGAAACATCAAAGAGTGGACCTAAGCTCTGTGCCCAGTACCTTGGTGAAAATGTGCACTGGTCTGAAGAGGTTGTTGAATTGCTGGCAAATGACGAGGATATAAACATGAGTTTCATCCTAAAATAATTTGTTGAATGTTTATGTTTGCACTAAGACTCCCTGAAAGTGAGTTGATGCAACGGCGAATCTTTGAGATATCAGCTTTAATCGACACTTTAGATTTTAATTTTGGCCAAAAAAAACTTGCGGCACTGGTTTCTAGATATACCGTATTCCTGGAAAACTATGATGACATTCTGCTAATGTTGAGGATCAGTATTGTAACTGAAGGTTTGTGCTTGCAGAAAATATGAAATGTGGATTGTGTCAAGGTGTTAGAATCACTGAGAATCACTGAGCATCTGTTTGTGCCAGGCGAACTATAAGTGTGCCGGTATACCGTAGGGATAAAAAGGGAAAGGGGGTAGTTTGGTAGTGTGTGCAGGTGGTCAGTTGGTCATTAGAGCATGGAGAGCGAGTGGGGTAGTATCAGCGTTACAGTATTGTTAGTTGGTGTTGTTAGAAATAGTAATAGTAGTAAATAGTAGTGTTCTGATCCAAGTAGTATGTGTGGTTCTTAGGCTAAACTAGTTAGCAGAACCCACAGTACTCATGGGAGGATACTTAGATTAGATTGTAGTAGATTATATAATAAACGCTTAGAATTAATAACTCAAAGAACGCTTGTGTCCAGTGTTTGTGTACTGGTGTTTAGTGAGTGTGTGTTAGTAAATGATCATACCCCTTAGACAACGAAGCCACACGAACGTATTCGTGACAGATTGATGCAGACTTTCTACAAGATAGTTCGATTTGTAATAAATGAGGAGCAATTTGACGACATTGCCATTTGTTGGATATTTGAACTACATTTCTTTCATCGAGCTTCGATAAGGAACATGGATTAAGAAATAGGCTGGAAGAGTTATATTTAGACATGCTTATGAGGATTAAATTGTATCAGAATGATGGACATCAAATCAACTTGACCATGTGTATAAAAGATGGATATCGTTGAAAGATGCCAGAGTACCTCCAGAAATGAGTCAATCAAATGACAAGCGGCCATTAGTAGTGGGTGTGTTGGAATTTAGTTTCTTGACCCAAAGACGGGATAAATAATAGACATATTTATAGCTTTGATGGAACTATTGTGACATTTCTGATTATAATTATTTAATTATAGTTCCTTTATTTATTTATATAAAATTTTTTGCATTTTTGTAATTTCCGTGTGTGTGTGTATTTGTGGGCTGTTAAATTTTGCACATAAAAAATTGATGCTGTAAAACTTTGCACACAACTGTATGATTTTGGACACAGATCAGAAAACCTTAGAGGGAACACTGCCTGCCAACACAGTGAATCCTTAAAAATAGCATAAACTCTAGTGACCAAATAAAATGTGCTGCTATTTATAGGTTCAGTCAGATAGATGATCATGCACAATAATAAAGAAGAGAATATATGCACATTGAAATGAAATAGACATTAGAAATCAATAAGAAAGTGCATTCATTTACATGTATGTGTATTAACCACAAAACTCAAATGAAACTAAAAAAGATTTTACAGTGCTTAACTCAGTACATTTACATCAACGTGTACATGTTAAGTATTTGAGAAGTGTGTTATCAGCATGTACGTGTACAGTATTTGACAGGTCTGTTATCAACATGTACATGCACAGTATTTGAAAAGTCTGTTAGGAACATCTAAACATGAAATATTTGCACATGTGAACAGTGGCTAATTTGATCGTCTTGCTTTTAATATGCATTGGTAAATTTCCCACGAGTCCCACAATTCAATCACAACCCTCAGTGTTATGTAGTACACTTTTCCCATGCTTTAACTTTGTTTCACTGCACATTAGATCCCTAGCAGACGGTAGCATTTGTTGTGGGCGTGGCCTATTCGTTTGATGTATCTTGTTTACTACAGGCTTCCAATTAAACATGGTTAGTAGGTCTACTAGTATCTTGTGTAAGGTTCTCGATTGAATTAGAAAAGTAAGGGCGTTTCTAGACGCGTTGGTAGACCCACATATATAAGGGATTGACAGGCACAGAGAGAGACAGATTCAGATAGATATGTGTTACTTTACGAGACGTGTATTAGTCTTTGTGTTCTTATATATGTGTTTATTCGCATTTCGTCATTGTTCATTATAAATTGGCAAATTGTACTAACTGTGTACCGGTACAGATCTACCATACACTGTAAGTTGATCATTTGTAATTATATTTCTTTTGTTTTATAATTGTATTATTACTAAATTAAATTTGATTATTCTAACTGGTACTGTCTTCGGTGTCGTATTTTTGTTATTGTATTTCTCTATGGTATCGTCCTTTGTTAGGCACTGTTTGAACGAGCCATAACATAAAACAAGAGATTAATTTCTCACAATAGAAGTCAGTGCGTAACACTCAGTCTTGTGTCCACATGGCAACAAGCCGCACCACCCTGACTTAGAAAAGCACAGCAGGGTAACAGACTGATCAGCAAAGTAAAATAGTTAACACACCCAGTGCATAAGGGAATTCAGCACCACAATTTATCCACACAGAAACCTTTGCAAATTTTGGCGCATGACAGAATCTGCTATCCGTGACAGTTGAGAGTAAGAACATTTGCCACGGGGTGTGCCATTTTGAGGTTCGCTATTCACAATTTTCATTGTGCTTGTATGATGCAGAAAAATTCCAAGAGTTTTCTTAAAGTTGTAACTGTAGGGCTTCATAGTTTTCAGAACAGAAAATTTTCTCCCTTTTTTTATCAAACGTTTTTGCTGCATATTCAAAGTCAAAGGTATATTGTGGGGATTTCTTTCATGTCAACAAGTATAGATGCTGACAATCCATTCTGTCTTGTGGTAATGTTCTCATTTGTTGGCTTGCTCCAAAGAAATTACTTTCATGGATATAACAAGGTGTGTCGTTGGATATTTTGATATAATTATCAAACTACCTTACTAAATACTTAAGGATATGCTAACTTGACATCAAACCATTAACTCAAACAAAAATGTATTTTTAAAATTGTTCAACATTTCCACTTGCTAATTAATGTGCATTCTTCAACTCCATCATTCCTGTACTGGTGTATGAGTGTCTCATGATTTTATGTTTAGTCACACATGTTTTTTAATTCATTTATTTCAAGCGGTTGAAGTTTGCCTTGATTTGTGTTGTCTACTTCTAGTTAAACTTGTTTCATGCATTTTGTATTGTTTATCTTCTTGGTTTGGATTTTATATACATTCACCTTTCTTCAGTTTTTGAGGGGGAGTATTTTAATGTAATCTTAATATTAATATCTACTTATCTTCACTATTTAAATGTATAGTAATCTTAATATTAATATCTACTTATCTTCACTATTTAAATGTATAGTAATCTTAATATTAATATCCACTTATCTCCACTATTTGTTCAGTTGCTTGGAAAAGATCTACGAAGAGGCACCACGACATGATATTAAAATAGTGATTGGAGACTTCACTGCCAAAATAGGAAAAGAAAAGGTGTTCATGCCAACTATTGGAAAGGAAAGTCTGCACGAAGAATCCAATGACAATGGGATCCGACTCATAGACTTCGCGGTAGGAAAAGGGATGTCAGTTAGCAGCACCAAGTTTCCGCACAAAAATATACATAAAGCTATGTGGAACTCACCAGATGGAATCACCCGCAATCAAATCGATCACGTTTTAATAGATTGAAGACATGGATCAGATATATTAGATGTGAGAAGCCTTAGAGGAGCAGATGAAGACTGGGACCATCTACTTGTAAGGGTGAAATATAAACAGAGAATAAGCTTAATTCACAATGGTCGTAATCAAAGAGAGAAACGATACGATTACCAAAAGCTGCCCAAAGACCCATTAACTGCAAAAGCTTACCAGAATGAAGTAGAAGCACAATTAGAAGCATCGCACGAGGAAATAAACGGGGAAAACAACATAAATGATCAGTGGGATAGGATAAAAAATGCCATTAAAAGATCAGCAGAAAAAGTAGTGGGATTTCAGCAAGCCAACAATAGAGTAGGCTGGTACGACAATGAATGCAGAGAGACTGTGGAAGAAAGAAACAAAGCACGAATGATCATGTTACAAAGGGAAACCAGAAAGACAACACAAGCATACAAGGAAGCCAGAAGGAAAGCAACAAAAATGTGTAGGAAGAAAAAGAGGGAATGGGAAAAGGATAAACTAAAGGAAATAGAAGATTTATCAAGAGAGGGAAATATAAGAGGAATGTACATGAAGATAAAAGATGAAAAGAATGGATACCAAGCCAGACCGCAAATGTGTGAGAGCCACAATGGAGAATTAATCACGGAAAATAGTAAAGTATTGGAGAGGTGGGCTGAATATTTTGAGGACATACTGAATGCAGACAATAGACAAGAAGAAGATTATCAACTCCCACAGGGAGGACCAGACCCTTTTATACAATGCCCAACACTAGAAGAAACCAAAAAAGTAATTAATTACATGAGAAATCACAAAGCCCTCGGACAAGACCTTATCACAACAGAACTGATTAAATATGGAGGAAAAGAACTACACAATCAGATACATAAACTTATAACTAAAATTTGGCAAGAGGAGAAAATCCCGACAGAATGGGAAACAGCATTAATAACCCCAATACACAAGAAAGGCTCAAAACTTCAGCGCACAAACTATAGAGGAATCTCCCTATTAAATGTTACATACAAAATACTGACGAAACTTATTGCCAAAAGACTACAACCTTACACTGAAGAAATACTAGGTGATTACCAATGCAGATTCAGGCCTAACAGGTCAACGACTGATCAAATTTTCACAATCAGATGCCTATTAGAGAAATGCTATGAATTTAATATACCAGTACATCAACTCTATGTCGAATATAAAATGGCCTATGACAGCATCAAAAGAAACTATTTATATGAGACTCTGCAGGAGTTTGGGATACCCAACAAACTGACAAGGCTAATACATGTAACACTAATCAACTCAAAAAGCAAAAATCAAGATTCAAGGAGAATATTCAAGGGAATTTAGGGAGGCCTAAGACAGGGAGACTCACTGTCTTGTATGCTCTTTAACCTAACATTGGAGAGAGTTATTAGAAGCATACACATTGACACTCGAGGAACGATATTAGGATACTTTCTGAGGGAAACTCAAGACCCACAACCAACGGGCACACTCTACAACCAACCACTTCAGTATCTTGCATATGCTGATGGATTAGCACTTCTAGGGAAAAGTATAAAAGACATATCAAAATCCTTTATTGAATTAGAAGACGCATCTTTACAAGTAGGGCTGGAAGTTAACAACCAAAAAACAAAATACATGACCATGATAAGAGAGGAACAAACAGATGAAACAATTAAAATTAGAAACCAAACTTTTGAAAAAGTAAATCAATTCAAATACCTAGGATCCTTGTTAAATGAAAGAAACGAATTACTTACATAAATAAAAGAAAGAATATCAGCCGGAAACAGGGCATACTTCAGTAGTCAGAAAATACTCAAAAGTAAAAACATTACAAGAGAAACAAAGAAAACTATTTATAAAACTGTGATCAGACCAGTTGTAACATATGCAAGTGAAACTTGGACCCTAACAAAAACAGCAGAAAACCTATTAAACACATGGGAGAGGAAAGTTCTCAGGAAAATATATGGGCCAACAAAGGATGAATATGGATGGAGAATACGAACCAACCAGGAGTTATACAGTCTATATCAGGATCCCACGATAGTGGCAGAAATAAAAAGAGGCAGGCTACGCTGGGCAGGACACCTAGAGAGAATGCCAAATGACAGAGGAACGAAGAGGGTACATCACCAATACCCCAGAGGAAAAAGGCTCAAAGGCAGACCTAGGCTTAGGTGGATAGATGATGTAGAAAAAGATCTACAGCAGCTGAAAGTCCAAGCATGGAAAAGAAAGGCATTAGTTAGGTCTGAGTGGAAGGAAGTAGTGAGGCAGGCCAAAGCCCTACATGGGCTGTAGAGCCACAGGGATGGATATCTCCACTATTTAAATGTATAGTAATCTTAATATTAATATCTACTTATCTCCACTATTTAAATGTATAGTAATCTTAATATTAATATCTACTTATCTCCACTATTTAAATGTATAGTAATCTTAATATTAATATCTACTTATCTTCACTATTTAAATGTATACTAATACTAATATTAATATCTACTCACCTTCACACAATGTTATACAAGCAAGATGTGCAACATCCTCATGTAAGAAGTCACTAGGCAGGGCTTCCTAGAAGTTGATAATGTTGAATTAAATTTGTGTTAAAAAACGAAACTATTATTTAAAAATTATTTCTCACACCTACCTGACTTACAAAAATGCAGGAAAATTGAAATGTGGATCTAAAAGTACCAGTAACCAAAAGAGTACATGAATATAGTAACTCTTAGATAACATTATTAAAAGTATACCCTGTAGCATTTGTTACATTGACAGTTTTAAAAGCAATTTTATCTTAACAAATTATAATCCCTCAGATTGCCTCTATCCCCCAACCTTGACTTTATAAATAAAAAAATATGTCATCCATTGTATGTAGACTATGTTAGTTCCTAAATGCCATGTGTTAAAGGCTGGGCTATTACTGTATAACATAGCAAAGCTGCAACTAAAGGGATAAGTAAGAAAAACGAAACTGATTTAAAACTTTGGAATGTTGATTCCCCATGGCAACAAATATATTCATAAAATATTGATGTATGTGACTGGAAAACTGTTGTCAGGGTTGATCTTATACATAGCACTCCCTCTTTTGCCCCAAGTTCATTGCTAAAATATAGATTTATTCTCCATTTAATTTTGGGGCTCGGTACCATTTTTTGGTGTGTTTTTTCTTTAGTTCTCACTTTCTTAACAAGCATAGTTATGCATTCCCCATCAATATAAGATATATTACATATGATGTCCATATGTCTGTGTGCGTGTGAGGAGTATGAGTTGTAAAACAAAGTGGGGTGGTGGGGGTTTAGAGTTGGGGAGTTTGGTTCTGGAGGGAAAAAAAAAAGGGGGGTGGGGGTGTGTGTGTGTCTAACCATACACACAAAAAAAATCTCAAAATGAAGGATCGTCTGGTTTTATGTTACATGTTTCAACTACTAACAAGACTTTTAACCAAACTATTCAGTGCTACAGCTTACATCATTAGATTGGTAATACGTCACATAGGGAAATGGTGTCGGTGGGCCGTCGAGCGCGAGCTCTTAATCACCCCCCTCCCCTCTCGGCACACCTCCACAAGGGCCATAGGCCGGGTTTCCCGCCGCCAGACCATGCGGCCACACGCCGGGAACCTCCCCCATAGCCTGGGGGACGCCCGGTCGACCAAAAACGCTGTGTTTTAAGCGTTCGCAGTCGACTTTCCCAGAGAGTCAGGGTGGGTTTGATTCTACTCCGGGGGAAAATGTGTGGTATTACCTCCCCCCCCCCTCCCCAACCGCCCAAGGAGTCTTTCGGTCGGGACAGAAAGCAGGGACTGGTGATACAAACAAAATGATGTCATTAACTGATAATTCAACAAATTTCCTGGAAAGAATTTTAACTATAAGAATGAAATACATTACTTGAGATGTTACTTTACTATTCTTTTTTTTGTTGCTATCTTTTATTGGTTCTGTTTTCACAAGGCAGTAGCGGAGTGACATGGATAGTTGCGGGCTCAAGTAAATGCCATGACCATAGGCTGCACCATTGAGCTGATGATGAAAATTAACTTATTTTTATTGAAAATGGAAACAATGAGATAGGATATCTTATAACAGTAATAATTAACTAATAACAAGACGAATAATTTTTTACATCCGTAATTACTCATGTTTTTAAATTAAATTTTCTTGACATTTAGAATTTCTAAAACAAATAGAAATTAATAAGACAGGTTTGACATTGGTGTTCCTCTCCATATAGGAAGAAGTCAAAATTGTTATATATAATTCTAAAAAATTGTTTAGGTTACCTGTCTGTGAGTCCCACTAGCCACAATTAAACCTTCTCTAACAATGGAGTGCCAGTTCTCAATAGGAGAACCACTGTTGTGAAAAAATAGAATAGAAAAGAAAAAAATACTTACAAAATTTTGTAGTGGGTTACTATTATTTTAACTTATTTTATCTAAGGTTAAAGAAATAACAGTCAGATTTAGCCTTCCACTAAACTAAAAGATAGGCTTCCAAACAATGTCTACCAGGTGCCAAATCATCTAGCCAGGATTCCTTATTATAATAATTATATCCTCAAATAAGTATATGCTGAATTATTATAGTTACATACATCCCTAATTCTGAGTAAAATCCCTAATTCATGACATTAAAAAAGAAAATAAAATGAGTAAAACAGAGTATGGTTAAACCTGAAAAATTAAACGTAACAAAACAGCGAACGTGTCGGCAGAAAGCCTTCGTCAGCGAACAAAACAACAGAAAAAACGTTATAAAAATAAGAAATAGCACTTAGCTGGTAAGTAGTATCTGTGGGCAGCAATAGAAGTGTGGCAGAAGGAAAATGAGTNTTCTTATTTTTATAACGTTTTTTCTGTTGTTTTGTTCGCTGACGAAGGCTTTCTGCCGACACGTTCGCTGTTTTGTTACGTTTAATTTTTCAGGTTTAACCATACTCTGTTTTACTCATTTTATTTTGTACTAACCTGATTGCAGTCTCTCCCCTTATTACCCCATTAAAAAAGAGAACCAATAAAATACAAATTCAGTGTTTGTTTATTAGATTCGAATTTGGAGAGAAAAAATTCTGCTGACATAGTTTCAATCAGTTGCATGATTGTTACAATCACATTTCATTTAATTCACTTTGGTACTTTTCAACTTGTACAAAATCTAATGCTATATATTTTTTTATATCACTGTTTTATTCTTTATAACAAAAATGCGTGTAATATAAAAGTTTCCTCACTTTTTAGTTATTAATTTATTAAAATCTTAATTAAGATAATTTCTTGAGCCATGAAAAGATTTTTGAAATCAAAATGGTTTAGGCATGTTTAAAAAATAATAATTTTAGAGTGTTGTCATTATTTTTTATAAAAACATTTTTAAGTATTGGAAGATGTTATAAAGGAACAGAACTTACTGGAAGGCAAACACACTTCCATATTTCTCCTTGTTTAACCTAAAACGTCTGTCCTCAACAGGGGGACTGTTTCTCAACCAGAACTGATGTTTAGTTGTCATAAAGGAAAGCCGCTGTAAATAGAGAATATATGATTGATTTCTGTACTTGGGCTAACAACGGAATTAAGCTTTTTCAAACTAACGCATTCCATTTTGTAAAATAATCAAATAATTTATTTTTAAAAAGTTTACCTTGAAGCAGCATTTCCCAAACTTTTTTTACATGACCTGGTTGTTTTTATACTGTTATTTTAGGGATTTCTATGGAACCAAAGAAAAAATCTCAAAAACAGACATACTAGTTAAGTTTTGAAGAATTTTATTTTTGTGACTTGTTATTTTTGCTTTTGAGGCCTGGTAATGTGATGCCACCAGGCATTTGGGAAACGCTGCTTTAAAGTGTACAGGGTATTAAAAACAGCATTTATCTAGAAGCTGTAGCGAATAGACTTAAATTAAAGTAAACCACAGGGTTTATTTATTATATGGATTGGAGCTGCTCTGATCTTATGACAATAAGAAATTATATACCAATAGTTGACATAGGATAAGATAATAAACTAATAACAATTTATATTATATTGATTAATTTTTATTATTTATTTATTTAAATTAACAAAAAATTTAAAAATTAAAAACAATTCAATTTTTTTAGTATAATAAAATAAAATCAGAAAAAGGCAGTTTACTTTCACCAGTCCAGATCTCCATTAAAGTTCTTCTATAAAACACTTGACAAATGTCAATATTCTGGGATGATTATTCCATATAATTAGAAAAAAAGACCCTGTCTATCCATGTTACTCCTTGACCATAAATCGGTCAAGGAAAAGGGTTAAGACAGGAGTCGTAAATTTTTGGTTTCTTTTAAAATTATTTCCTTATTAATGTGAGAAGCTGATTTAAATTTACGAGAAGAAACTGATTTTACCACTCTCTCTCAATGGCTAGTTTCCATCACATGGAGAATGGCGTCAGTGGGCCGGTCGACCGTGAGCTCTTAATGCCCCCTCCCCCCGGCACACCCCCCCCCGAGCCAAGCCCAGGTTTCCCCGCCACCAGACCGTGCCGAAGGACCCCGGGAACCCCCCCCCCCTCGACCTGGGGGATGTCCGGCCGACCGAGAACGCTGCGTTTAAAGCGTTCAAGGTCCACTCTCCCTAGAGACTGGGTGGGTTTGCTTCCCCTCCGGAGGAATGGTGTTGTGTTGCCACCTCCCACCACCCATGGAGTCTTTCGGTCGGGGCGATAAGCTGGTCGCCTATGAGCGGCTTTCTCATGGCCATATAGCTAAAATCATCTGCATGGGTTTTAATCGCCACCCAAACCTCATATCCATTAACGGCAACAAGTAATCATGCTATGACGTTACTACTCCCATTGCGTTTGGAGTCATGTGGTCAGCCTGGGTTTTTTAGCTCAGGAAAAACAGTACCTCCCTACCAGTCTGCCATGCCACAAAGAGCCAAAACCCCATGTGGATGTCCCCAGTTTCCTCGGAGACGCTCCGCTTGCGCAGACGGCTAGTTTCTATCAAACATTTTTACTAAGTTTAAGGTCTTACATTTTAATATTCATCTCTTTAAAGTGATTTAAAGAACATATCAAATAACAATGAATGACACCAAAATGATCAGGAGGTAATTTAACAAAGTCGCAGATTATAAATTACATATAACAATGAATGACATCCACCTAATCAGGAGGTAATTTGACAATGTATGATCTGTTACTTAACAAATGAATGACACCAACCTGATCAGGAGGTAATTTGACAATGTATGATCTGTTACTTGAAATGATCCTGTTGAACAGTATTAGACAAAAATAGTAACAGAGGCCAATGAAATCCAGGCATTGTATTCTCATTGTTATGTAATTAATGCAATATGAAAAATTTGATTTAAGGTTCTTGTATTAATCCACCTATACGGAAATGCGTAGGTTTTTTAAACTACAATGTACATATTCATTTTCATAACACATAAAAATTCTTACAAAGACACACATTTTTAAACTAGCTTTTAAACTAGAATCATGTTCCTGGAAAGACCAGAACAAACGTTTCATATCAGTGTAAGAAGTTATGAAGTATAAGCTTCTTTTTGCTTTCATATTTATTCCCTCTCTAATGCTGGCAACCTAACTGCACTTAAACATTGATATTAAGAGCTCAAATCTCTAAGTATATTTAGTTGTATGTGACTTTTTTTTTTAATGCCCTATTATTATTTCATTTTCCCTTTACATCTGTTGACAAGATAAAGTTCAAAACAACAATTTACCATCTCAGAAGTGGATAGCACAACATATGGCGTTCATCGAGGAGAACTCTCAAATCCTTTTCATTATGCTGTACCAGCTTTTCCATCATAGGCATGCATTTGAAAATTGCCCTGAGTTTTTCAATATTTTTTTTCTGGGAAATAAACAAAACATATAGTTAAGCAAAAAATGAATGGACTTCCATTTAGCTGTTGTGTCAGTTGTGATGAATCAAACTAACCTGTTCAGCAAAATGTATGTCTAGGAACAGATATTTTAAAATCTGTGCACAGCACTGAAATTTTTTTTAATTAAATGAGGACCAATCTGCTTATATAATGTCATCATAAGTTATGATAAATGATGGAGTAGGGAGTACAGTAAATGGAAAAAATTTTTATATACAATCTGTACAGACCTTTTCGTATAAAGCAAGCTTGTGTAATTTTTTAGGATGAACCACGGTGGGATAAGGCAAGAGAATTTGGTCCCATCTTGTTGAATTAGCTGCAGCTTTTGTCAGGAGAATTAATAAGTTCACAACCTAGAAAGAATAACTCATAACTACCTAATTTGTTTTCAATAATATGTGAATAACTTACTAAAATAAAGCAAATGAATGCTAGATATCATTGCTAAGTAAAAATCAAGTTTAAAATGTTTAATTTTAAAGACATTATTACATATACTAAAATCATTATTCAATAATAATATATAACCATTTAATATAATGCACAAGTGTGCGCATTATGTACATGATGTTCTCCAAAGTGAATAGAGTATGATAAAAGATGGCCATGAAGTGAATACATTAAATTAAACCAATGCTACTCAAACTGTTGGTCAATGGACCAGCAACACTTCACAAGACCCTACTCGATGATCTGCAAATACAGAACAATGGAGGAAGATCTAAAATGTACAATAATCTGCACCAGCCAGTGCTGCATGAGAAAAAATCCTGCTGGTGTCACACTTAAAGGTTTGAGAAGCATTGATTTAAAACTTTGTTCCAATTACTATAGTGAAATTGAGAGCAACCAACATCTATGTGATTGTAAGTTCTACAATTACCTCAGGTTGTGTGTCAATACTGTCTGCTGCATCAGCCATGACTCCAAGGGTTTGAAATGAAAATATACACAGTGGGTTATGACAGACAACAGGCTGAGAAAGGAAGGAAAAAATGGTGACATTTTATAATCTGTTACTCAACTTAACATATTGAAATTGTCAAAGATTTTATGAAATTCTCATTGATCAACTACAGTAGAGGGCAATGTTTACTTTTGCATTTAAACTTGTATTTCTATGGTTCCTGCTTACAAGATGTATGTAACTTGAAAACATAAATTTATTTCCACAAAATAGCTGAGAAGTGAATCAGAAATAGACACATAATTGTTTGTGATGTGTTGCTTAATAAATCGTAAAAGAACACCTATGAATTACAGCCCATCTTAGGATCATGCATAGTTCAAATTATGAATTATTGACAGCTGTTGATGTAAAACTAATATTGGACTGAGCTATAAGTTTTACAAATTACTTAACGCGTTCTCCCTATATGATCATTATCTTTCAGATCCAGCAGCCCTTGGGCCTGCTGCCATGGTAAGGCATTCACACACTCCACAGCTGTTCTTGGTTGGTTTGCAGGGTGGTGGTGTAGTCTTTTTTTATTTTGGTTGTTTTGTTGCTGTGAGATACTGATGTTGAGCTGCCTGAAGTATTAACATTTCTTTGTTTGCTGGGGATAAGCTGTGAAGATTCCAGATAGGTGGTGTAACGCTGCTTCAAATAACTTTTAAAAAATCACAATTACTGCAGCTGCCCAGCTCTGACAGAAGAGTTGATTGTCCCTACGCTGTCCTGCACCGACGGAAGAGTAGATCATCCTTACGCTGTCCAGGACTGACGGAAGAGTTGATTGTCCCTATGCTGCCCAGCTCTGATGAAAGAGTTGATTGTCCCTACGCTGCCCAGCTCAGACGGAATAGTTGGGTGTCCCTACGCTGCCCTGCTCTGACGGAAGAGTTGATCATCCATAAGCTGTCCAGCACTGAGGCCAACTAGTTGTTTATTGAGAAAGCCAGTTGTTCCTATTCAGACACACACAGGTAGGAGAGGCCATATTTAATAATAATAAAGTTTATTTCAAAAACACGCTTCATCCCCAAAGGCTCGAAGCGCGGTACATAGTCACACAATAAAAATTATAATTTACCACAATTAAAACAAACACAACACTACAAAAACTAATTACAAGCATACCAAGTCAAAGTCTTTCTACCCATTTCAACCCTAAGCAACACAGCAAATATGCATTAAATGGAAGATATGGTAGACAATCATCCCAGAAGGTGTTTGCTAAATAGATGTGTCTTTAAATCGGTTTTAAAGGACTCCAATGTCTGGATGTTTCTGAGATCGACTGGAAGGGCGTTCCAAATTGTTGGACCAGCAAATGCGAAAGTGCGCTTTCCGTAAGTTTCAAGGCGAACACGTGGTGTCGAGAGTTTGCCACTATCGGATGAGCGGAGTTGACTTGTGGGTACATAAGGCGCCAGCAGCTCTTTCAGATAGGACGGCGCCAGGTCATGTAAGCAGCGGTAGCACAACATTGCGATTTTGTACTCTATGCGAGCACAGACCGACAGCCAATGCAACTCTCTCAGAAGTGTTTTAGCATGGTCGAACTTGCGTTTGCGAAGAACAATGCGAGCCGCATTATTCTGTGCTATTTGAATTTTATCCAGGAGCATAGCTGGAAGACCCACCATGAGAGCATTGCAATAGTCCATGCGTGATAGCACAAATGCAGACATCAGCCTCTTTGTTGCCTCTTTATTTCAGAGGTATCCTCAATCGCTATAGATAAATATGTGATAATTTTGCTCTTCTTACTCTTCAATTTATAGTACCCAACTATTTCCAAAATTTTCTTTTCCTACCTTCAACATGACATCGAAAGTTAAGACGTGATGATTGTCACAAATAGGGCAGTAGTTGTTTAGAGTCAGTAGTCTTTGTTGCATATAACGGTAAAGCTGAAGAGCAATAAAATAATGAGTAAAATTCATGAATTTAAAAGACTGCAAGATGCTTTCACACATTTAGACTTTATAGTAAGAGTAATCTAAATAAGGCTTTTATTTTTTTTAAGACTTCTCTTTTTTCCATTTTCTGAAACAATCTTTGCATCATTTGGTTTGTTGAATGCTTAATTCTTAGAATAAGGTGTAAATGGATTCACAGTTACAACCAATCATACAAGAATGTTTTCTCCACAAATAAACTTGTGTATTTCAAATTTTTTTTTCTTAAATATATATATATCAATTTATCAAATGTAAAATATAATAGACTTAGAGGGCTTTTAAACGCAAATTTGTTTAAGCTCTTGATTATTTTAACAGTATTGAAAACATGTGAACTTACTTGTACCAAAAACCCTTTTTTGAGGCTTGGTGGTTCCTTTGGATCGCGGCAACGATATGCAGAACCTTTAGCAACTTTCACATCAAGTTTACTACTATAAAAGAAACGAATCAGTGTTTGGAAGCTACTTTCTATATTTTGTATTTTAATAATATTAAGTACAATGCATGCTGAAATATCTTTTCCGCAAAGGCATTCTTTTTCAATTGTATAAAAACTTATTTGTTTTATATCTACAAAAAAAAATGTGTAACGATTGGTATAAATCAATGCACAATTAATATAATATTTAGCATAAAAGTGACATTTGACCAGTTAAGCTTGCTTTGAGAAAGTAATCTGACACAGAAGTACCTGTTTCTATTAGATTTTCTTTGAATTTCTCACTTATTTATTTCATGAATATTTTAAAGTGACATCAAATAAAGACTAGTATTTATTAGTACACATTCATATATATGTTATCGGCAATCTGCGAAATCCGGCATTCTATAGAATGCCTAGGAATTATGTAGAATGCCTGAAGTTTGTAGCCAAAGTATGAAGTGGTTTGTATTTCACACATTTCCTAGGCATTCTATACAATGTCTAAGAGCGACCCGGCAATGTATTGAGTACCCAGCCATTCATGCTTTATTCTTTCATCGGCGGTGGCGTGGCAATCGCAACACATGTGCTTCTTGCTCCCGCCAAAGAAGCTTGAGTCTATTGTTTCATGATGGCTGCTGAGATGTTGGGAGATCAGATTGTAATTTAAGATCAGGAATCACAGCATGCTTACATGCAACGGTGGTTATAGGATGAACTTTCTCAAGTACCAGTCAATACAGCAAAAAATGCGTTTCTCTAACAGAAACAAGTTAACAAAAATTAGTGGATGATGTGAAAAAGGCTCAGACTACCACTCAGAAGGAATCACAAGACTATTGGCTGCTGAAACGCTATGATGTAATGGCGGTAGAGAACAAAAGTAAGTTGATCTATTCTGTTAAAGAAGGCGTCAGTGCTATTCAGTTCTATGTCACAGATTATTTTGAGTACTTAATGAGGCTCATTTGGCTGTTGGACATGGAGGACGGGACAGAATGTTAAAAGAACTTTCACACAAGTATAAGAGCATTACTCGTAATGATATTGAACTGTCCCTCAATCTTTGTGAGCCATGCCAGAAGAAAAAAAAAAGGGGTGTTGTGGTATTTTCTGTAGCCTGTGTTTCATTATTAAGAGAGCTGTAACATAATCATGAAAAATTAATGTTTCACACTTTGCCTAAAAATTATGCATTCTATATAATGCCTACGCATTCTATACAATACCTGCATTTCACACATTGCCGGGTAACATATAGAAAAAATAAAACATTGACTTACTCTGACTCTCCAAATAACCATTTCAGGGCCGACTGAAATGAACCATTGGAATATACTAGTGCCTCATCAACTTCTTCTTCAATGAAGCCCATTTCTAACAATTTTGATTTTGTTTCACTGGCCTGTGCCCTTGGGAGGAAAAAGACAGGTAGTGTTAGAAATTGCAGCCTTTAAATAGTCCTATTAATTTTTTTCAGAAAAACTTGGTTAATTCAATGCATATATTTTTTACATTTAATTTTTACAAGATCCTTATTATTTTAAAATATTTGCTGGTTTAATAATCCAATTTGGGTTTAATTTACTTAAATTTAAATATAATTAATTAAGCTACATGCTTTTCGATAAGCTTTACAATTTTGAATTTTTTAAGAAACTTACGTAGTGCATCCCTCTACAGCCATTGCCACTTTTTCATTGGTCAGTTCACAGAAACTTCGTCTACAAAACACTTCTGCAATGCTGGTGTAACAGTATTAAACACAATATAAGCTATATAATAGCAAAGAATGAGTACAGGCCTAAAAATCAATGAAATTACTGGTTATCAAAGACAAGAAATTGAAATAACAATGCATATTAATTTATTTATTTAAGTGTAGCCGAAGTTAAAATATTTTAATTAATAGTTAAACTCAATGAATTGACAATATATAGATATCCAATGGTATTTATTTTTTAATAAGATTTGATTTCAGAATAGAACTAAACTATTAAATCCAATTTTAATAACCCCAAATTTAACTGGAAAATTATTTTGTATTTTTGTCTCACTTTTTCAGCTGAGATAAAGCACCACTCCTTTTTGTTGAACACCACTGGAACACATCTATTTTACAGCTATCTGAAATATTTAAAGTTATTGAGTATCTGTAAATGGATTCTAATTTTGTAAGCGATAAACCTTAGCTATAATTTTTTCACAACAAAACATTTACAAGTAAACAGAAATCCAGCTCAACCGTACCACAGCCTGTCAGTTCATAAAATTCAGCATTGAATTTGAACAATTTATTTCCCTGTATCTTCAGTAGTTGGGAATAATTTATTAAGCTTAACACTTAACAAACATTACTTACTTAAATGATTTCCTTTTCTTACTCTCAATGTATCTCAGGCTTTATTTAATACATTTATCAATTTTTTTACAAAAATAAAAGGAAATAACAGGCCATCAACAATCATTCTCTGAGCCTAAAATTTTAATTGATTTTAAAAAAGCCCACATACACAAAAATAATCAATAAATTATAAAACATTTAAGCTGAATATGGATGACGGGTAATAAACTCACTGTCAGCTTGAAAATAGTGCTTCTGATTGAGGTTGAGTCGTAGGATTATCGGTGCATCATGTATTAATCCCCAAGATTCAGTTACACACTCCTGAAATATATTTTGAGTGAAAATATTTAAAATTTCTATGTGACTAAACAATTATGCTAAAACTAATTTATTCATATTTCTAAGTTAAATAAAGAGGCAACCTTTATTATAAAGAATAAAAGATACACAAAATTATTAAAAGTAGGATAAAACTTTACTAAAGACACTGCGAACACAATCTTTTCTTGTATAATATATTGAATGCCTGTTTAATGCACGAGAGCAGCATTCCCAAAATGGTGATGTGTGGACTGGCTCTAATCTGTGAGCCATACTTTGCATGTCCGCACAACATGAATATTTATGGTGAAAAACAAATTAATTAATTTGGCACTGATGCCATCTCAAAACTTGTTTGTGAAACGTTGCGTACAGTTACAATAACTTAAAACAATACTGCATCTTGAATTCAAAGAAAATATATAACATTTCACGACAAATTTTGAGCATTAATGTGAATTTAAAGTACTTACCTCTAAAGATGATGTAGAAAAAGACATATCCAGATCCATTTCATTAATTATATTCAAAGATCTAAAACATGAAGGTAAAACAATTTCATTTTTAAAATTTTACATTTCTCATTAGCAGTTCAAAATTAATGATAAAGTTTGTTGGGTTTTTTTTTTTTTTACGTCAACTGAGTCATCCCTTGATAGGTTTATTTAATACAGCTGAATTTTAAAATCGTAATTATGTAGCACATAGTTAATGCTAAATCCATGCAAAACTAATTTTCATGACGTAAGTAAATATTGATAGAGTTCTAATTTAGGGATGCATAGGTTTTATCTAGCAGTATTATAATAACTGATATTGATTACATGCAAGTTGTACATATTAGTAGTAAGAAAATGGGTATTTTTAAAATCATACCTGACAGATATTGAATCCTGGCAACAATTTTCTTTAAGTAGCTGTATGTCCCTTTCTAGTACCGGATGTATAGTACCAGCACTACTTATTCCCTGAAAGAAATTGATTTAAAAATTTAAAATTAAAAACCTTTATAGCTTTTGAAATTAGCCAGTTTAAATTAACTAACAATTTTAAGGCATTTTTTTCTGTCAACATTCAATGACAAATGCCAGCCATAACAATTCATTAAAAAATAATTGGGACATTTGATGTGTTACATAATAAGTTAATTGTTACAATTGTTTATGAAAATATGTACACAAATTTCAAATTACAAAAAGGAAAACTTTAATTTAACAATTCAGATGAGGAAATAGAAGGTTGTGGTCGGTATTTTCTGTAGCCCATGTTTCATTATTCAGAGAGCTGTAACATAATCACGAAAAATTAATATTTCATTCTTTGCCTAAAAATTTCAGGCAACTATATATATTTCATATAATGCCTAAGCATTCTATACAATACCTGCATTTCACACACTGCCAGTAAAATATACAAAAAAATTAAAGATTGACTTACAATCAAAGGTGTGTTACAATGTTATACTTGACATGTAGGCAAAAATTTTAAAAATCATATTCAAAAGAAAGTTGAGTTCACTGATTCATTTAAGGAAATTGCAAAACAGATTCATTTACCAATGCAAGTATATACTGGTTGATGAACTTTGAATATTGCATCTAAAATTACTAAAATTATTAACAAAGATAAGTTACAGAGTTACACTTTGAGTTACGGTATTAAGAATGCCCTGAAAAACATATTAATAATAGTCATATAGATTAAATTCAATTTTTTTTTCGTAAAGACCAATAAAAACTTATAAAGTAAGGTGAATAGAGTTTTAAAAGCACACTTTATAGTCTACACTTAGTCACTGCCTAAATGGCTTAGTGAAATGGGTATTGATTTGTAAAAATTTACATCATAAAAGCTCTCTATTTCTGTATCAGACTCCCCGCATCCATTCTCATCGCATCCATTCTCATCGTAGTCATCAGTACTGGTTTGATTATCATCCATACTGTTTACATTGACTGTTAACTGATCCTGTATTTAGAAAAAAAGAAAGGAAATAACAAAATAATACTAAATTCTAAAACAATTTTTTTTAAATGTTTTATATTTTATATATTTGAAAACTTATTTTTTGTTTCTATACATTTTGATGTAAATGGTCCATGAAATAAGAAAATAAAAACTGGAAAACCCTAAAGTGCATTGGCCATTGTTTATTTTTATTTTATTATATAAATATAGTATAGTGAAAGTATGCTTTATTTTTATGATTTTACTTCCTTGTAACTTGTATCAATAGTTTTGTTCATGATTTCAAGTACCCATAATTCCATTATTTATATTTATATTATGTTATTTTTAAATTTAACCAGAACAACAGCTAAAACCACCAAACTCTTAAAACATAATTAAAATTAAACTCTTGTCTTGTTGCTTCATTTTTTTTCTTAATACTACTTACAACATTAAATTATTATAATAGTAATAGTACTCATAAATCATAATCATAAGATTGTGTGATTATAGTTTCTAATTCTAAGTTTACACAATTTGCAGTAGTTTCAGTAAAGTAGAAGTGTTGAATGGATGATGATGTTCTGTTTGTTTTTAATTTAAATAATAATAAGAAGGGCTAGGTATATTTAGACTACTTCATCATTGTTAGTAACTTTAGTATTAGAATGCGGCTAAAACTAAAATTGATTTCTTCACACATTTTTTTTTTTTTTTTTAAAGTTAAAAAGCGTGAGAGTTAGTTAGTGATAGTGACTTACTTTTACTTTTAAGTTTTAAGACTACCCGGTCCTCACACATAACCTACTGATGATTAATAATAATTATTTTTGTGGCATAGTAGAGTGTAGACTATTCAATTCAGTTTTGATTTCAACTTCATTTTCACTATCGGATGTTATTGTAATTTTTTAAAAAAACAAAACAAAAAAACTACCGGTAGTGTATGAGTACGAGCCATATGCCGCAGTCAGTGTGGCTATGGTGAACTATAATGAAGTGAAAATCAAAATATTTGAAAGTAACTAAATTTTACTAGCATTAACTTCGGTACTTTTATATTTTTAAAAATTGTTATTAAGCTAAACAATGAAAATAACCATTATTTAGGCATGAGGAGTGTACGTCATTTGTCGTCAATATTGTCAATATTCAATATTGTCATGGCTAAAAACTTAAATTTAAAGTTATTTAGGAGTCATATCATAACGTTAAAGTCAAGTAGGACTAATGAAAATTATTGGCCAGCATATGACTTTTCCAAAAAAAAACTTTCCATGGTGATGCTATGAAAATTGATCTATTTCAATGACAGGCTACGTTAACAAACATTCCATGATGACAATGATGTTATAATTTTGCCGAAAAAATCTTCCTTGGTTTTGTTTTTGTAAATATAAATATTCGATTCCACAATATCGTGATTTTAAATTATAACTGGCAAATATTTTTTCTCCTTACACCACACCGCCGCCTTTCCGTCCAAACTTAAACCCATTTTTTCGTTAATAAAAATATAAATATGAAATTAATGGTTTAGAAAAACTGAAAGCAGCGCCATGTCTATCTGAATCCACCATCCGATGGTCATAGCAAAGTGATTTTGTTTAACAAATTTGATGCCATCATTGACATCCAGCAAACAAATCAAAATATCTTTATATACGATTTGTAATGAAATAATTTAGTTATTTAAGTCATATATATACTAAGTTCTTATAACGCATACGGAATGCCATATGCAAATGTTTTATTTGGTAACAGGGAGACATGCATAATAATACATTTTATAATTGTAATGAACCTCCTCGTTAAAAAAAAATTATATTTATAAAAGACATACTTTAGCCGAGCAGTTCTAGGCAGTGGCGTGGCGTGGCGTAGCTCCTTGTCGGTTGCGTAGCTATGGTTAGTGGCGCTTCGGGATGGGCCACAATTTTTGCCACCCCTTGCACTTACACACACACAAATATATCTGATATTGTTCGAAAATGACGTACATAGGGGAGACTGGACGCCGTCTCTCTGACTAACTAACGCACATATTCTGGTGAAGGTCTGAGATTACTCTCTTATGACCCCGGCTAGTAAATTGGCTATCAACTCCATCTGTTGAGCTGAGCCATACAACATGTCCCTCACAAAGGATCCTCCAACCGCCCTGGCTTCCCCCGGGAGATCTAGTGCGGGACACTCCGTCAACAGATGTTCTAAGGTCTCTGGGGCCAGGCTGCAGTGCCGGCAGGTAGGATCTCTGTTGTTGTCCAACCTCCAGAAATATGTGCGCAGGGGGCAGTGCTCGGTGCGCATCTGCGTTACTAAACTCTGCACTCTACGACCTAACCCCCACCATGGGTCTTGTTTGCTAGGAGTAGGCAAGTTCGAATAGACGCCTCTGGCGGTCGTGTTGTCAGCCCATTGCCTGTACCACTTCTGCCTGAAGTGGTCCGCCAGCCAGTTTTTGACTCCCAAGAAAGTCATTGGTACTTCTGGCTGAGGCTGGGCTGCCCCGGTTTTCGCCAGAGTGTCAGCTATCTCATTGCCACTGATGTTGACATGCCCTGGTATCCATTGCATTTCAACCTTGCACCCTATTTCATCAAGTCTGCATATGTCGTTGTGAATGACGTCGACCAAGCTTGTGGTACCCTGTCTCTTCTCCAAGATCTCAAGAGCGGATCTTGAGTCTGAGAAGACGACAATATCGAGCCCCGCATGCTCCGTCCCTTCCAGAGTGACACGGACTCTCTCCAAGGCCTTGTGCATAGCTATAAGCTCCGCGTCGAAGTTTGACGCTGTAGTCCCACAAGGCCCGGAGAGTTTTTCATCGGGCGGTCCACCTACTGGGTACTGAATAAGCGCACCGTACCCAGCAGTTTTTTTCCTAAAGTCAGCAGAGCCGTCCGTGAACACTTTCACAGGTATGTGCGTGAACACATCCATGGTCTCAAGGGCAGCCACTCTCTGTACATGTTCAGGGCTTCGTTTCGTCACTGCTGCATCTGTCAAGGCCAAATGTATGGAGGGGCGTGAGGGTTCCGCATAAGGCGGATTAACTGGGATTTGGGTCAGTCGTTCTCTATTTGGGGGCAGGGGGACTGTCCTCTCCAGCTCCACGACCTGGTGCATGAAAGAGGACCTCTTTAGTCTCCTGCCACCCACCCAGTTATTTTGCATTTGAAAGGCTGGTTCATTTTCACCGAGCCGTCGGTACCTCTCTACGGTATTTAAGATGGATTTTTCCCTCCTAATTTGTAGTGGTTCTACATTGGCCAAGACTTCTACAGCAGCTGTGGGAGTAGTCCTGTATGCGCCACAGATGAATCTCAGTGCCTGATTCTGGATTCGGCCCAGTTTTTCCAATGCGGTCTTGCTTGCAAAGGATTGGACCGGCATACTGTAGTCCATCACCGACCTTACACTGCTTAGAAAGAGAGCTCTAAGCGTACTTGCGTTCGCGCCCCAACTTGTGCAAGCCAATTTTTTCACCAGGTTGAGCTTGGCGGTCGCCTGGGAGCAGAGGTCCTGTACAAAATTGTGCATTTGTACCTTTTGGTCCAGCTTAACTCCCAAGTAGACCGGTTGTTTGTCCCACTTTAGCGCTACATCGCCCACCTTGAGCTCGATCTCCTGTTTGAGAATGGTCCGCCCATTTGTGAAGAGTGAGTAGACCGTCTTCTCGGTGTTAATTTCCTGGTGCCACCGCCGCATGTACCTGTTGATAGCAGAAAGGTCCTGCTGTAATAGCGTCTGCAGGCGGTGGACATCCTTCCCGGTGCTCCAAATTACCAAATCGTCCACATACATGGCAGAGCTAGTCGTTAGCACCTGTGGCAGGTCATTGATGTAGGCAAGGAAGAGGGTGCAACTGAGGGCAGACCCTTGCGGGAGTCCTTCCTCAAGTGTCCTCTTCCTGGAGGTTTCACCGCCGAATTTCGTGTTTATCGTCCGGTTTGTGAGAAAACCGGAGATCCACCTGTACATGTTCGCGGTTACTCCCAACGCCTGCAGCTTCAACAATAGACCGGACCTCCAAACTCGGTCGTAGGCTTGTTTGAGGTCGAAAAATACTGCCACTGTATGGGATTTCTTTTGGAGCCCATCTGTTATGGACTGGAGAAGACGGAGCACTTGGTCCACTGGCTGCATTCCCTTGCGGAAGCCCGCCTGTATTGGGCTGAGACTCTTAGTGCTCTCCAAGTGCCAGTAGAGTCTCTGGTTGACCATTCTCTCGGCCACCTTCCCTAACATCGATGTCAGGGAGATCGGCCTGTAGCCATCAGGTTTATCGAGTTTCTTCCCTTCTTTGGGAATAGGGACGATGGTAGCACTTAGCCAAGCTTTGGGTAGGATTCCCGTTACCCATGTTCTGTTGATAATTTCCAATAGCGTTTTCCTTGCTATTGGGCCAAGGTTTTTTATCATTTCGTTGCAGATTTTGTCCTGACCTGGTGCCTTGGCGGCGTCACACTTGTTAATGGCGGTTTGCAATTCGGCCAAAGTGAAAGGTGCGGTGAAAACTTCAGCATGCGGTCCCCACTTCTGGGCCACTTCTCCATTTCGCCGGAGACGGTTAAGGTTCTGGCTCTCTCTGGTCTCTTTCTGCTTCCGGTTTATCTTTGCAAAATGCTTGTTTAAGGCATCGGCACTTTTGGCATCTGTGGTAGCCGTGCCTGTCGTCGTTTGCAACGGTCGCAGATTCCTGATTTTTCCCGTGCAGGATAATGAGTCCATCAATCGCCAGACCTTTTTGCCGTCTTTCAGGTCGAGTTTTCCACATGAACTAACCCATTTTTCCTTTTTTGCCCTATCGACCTCCCGCCGGACCTCTGCCGTCAGTTTATTGTAAGCCGCTCGAGCAGCGACCGTCTTCAACTTACCGGCTTTGGTCCGGGCTCTCTTTCGTTCACGGACTAACTTTGCCAAATTCTTATTCCAAAAAGGACGGAACTTGCGGTTCCCGTTTGTTCTTGGGATCGTTTGTTTTGCAACAGTGAGGATACCACTCACAAAGTCGTTGTATGCATCGTCAATGCTTTTGGGTGTATTGGGAGTCTCAGTTGACTCCGCAATCATGCGTTCTGTTCGCTCCTGGAACAGGGACCACTTGGCTTTACCAAACAACCAGTGTCTCCTAGCAAATCTAGGTCTTATAAGTGAAAGACAGATTGTAATGAGGGTAGGTTTGTGGTCACTGCCAATCTCATCTAGTACTTCACATTGGGTCTTTGCCTCGAGCTCAGCAGAGACCAGCGTAATGTCGGGCCGTGACAAGGCACTATTTCCCGTGTGGAGCAGTGTGGGTTCACTGTCACCGTTCTGAAGTCTGATAAGATTGGTTGTGAGCTCAACCTCCTCTAAATATCGCCCAGAGGCGTTAGTATCAGGGTAGCCCATATCCCCCATATGGGCGTTAAAATCTCCAGCTATGATTCTATCACTAAAAGTAGTTGTGCCTTGCAGAGGCAGGCACAGAGTGTTTCTGGGAGTATTATAAATATTGCTTATAGTAAAAGATTTCCCACCTAAAATTACCTTCAGGGTCAGAGTATCTGTTCCTCCAATGTTTTTGCTTTCTACAAGCTCCGCTGTGAGGTGGTTTTTCACTAATGTTACCAGACCTCGGCACCTTACGCAGGTGCAGCGGTAGACCGAGAAGCCCGTAATGTGCAATGGGTGCTTCTTCAAAAGGGTCTCTTGTAGTAAAGCCACATCCACATCCCGGTTGTGGAGTAATTTGGTGAGTTCAGTTATTTTACCTCTGACCCCGTTGCAGTTAAGCTGCATAACTACTAGGTTCTTAGGGAGGTGACCAGCGGCACCTTGCATATTGCCCCCAGTAGCACAAAAGCCTACAGTCGGCCTGAGCCCCGTCACCGATCTGCAGGGGAGGAGGGGATTCGAGTGCCCCTCAGTTTGAGTCATGTGTAAATTACTAGCCATATTAAAGAATAATAACTAGGCTGTATTCTCTTACCTTCTCCCGGGTGGAAGTTACAAGTAACCTCCCCCCTTCACCTTGGGAGATAGACGCAAAGGCGTGAGTTTTTTGGCTTCAGGTAGTCAGGTCTACCCTACTAGTCTTCTGCGCCGCGTAGAGGCAAAACTCTTGCAAAAGCCGTCTCTCTGACAGATGTACCGAACACCTCTGTAACATTAGACAAGATAAACAGTGTCCCGTCTCCAAACACTTCAATAGTAGCGACCACCAGGGCAAGACGGACTTTTCAATAGGTGCGCTCGTGGCTAGCACGAACACACCCAGTCGGGTGAATTTGGATCACAGGCTTATCCTTACTTATGGCCCTTGGACGCCAGCTGGGATGAATATTATGTCCCTTTTCACAGCTTGACCCTAGCTCTGCCCCTCCTCGCCCTGACCGCACTGGACTGTTTTCTCCTCTTTTCTTTCGCTCTTCCCTATATTTAATCACTCACTCACTTTCTATCTGTCCCATTTCTTTTGAGGCCCATGGATACTACATCCAAGCTAAGTGCTATTTCTTATTTTTACTTTTATACCGTTTTTTCTGTTGTTTCGTTCGCTGACGAAGACTATCTGCCGACACGTTCGTTGTTTTGTTACGTTTCTTTTTTTCAGGTTTAACCCTACTCTGTTTTACTCATTTTAAATTGTGCTAACCTGATTGTTGCAGTCTCTCCCCTTATTACCCTTCGAAAATGCTGCCCCTCAATATGAGGGAAAAAAGTGTCACCGGGCGGTGGGGGACCCCCCCCTCCCCGCCATCCAATGGCAACGCCACTGATTCTATTTTCTCGTATTATTTTCATTTTATGTTCATTTTCTTTTCTATAGTACAGAGTTTTCAAGTTTGGGATATTCTATGTGGCAATGTGCTACTATTTGCAACTGCTGTAGGTAATATTTTATATGCGGCAGTATGCAACAGACAGGAATAAGAGAATCCACTCTCATAGTCATAGTGTGACTGCTGGGGGTAACCCCAAGCACGTACACATCCATGGTCCACTCTCATAGTCATAGTGTGACTGCTGTGGGTAACCCCAAGCACGTACACATCCATGGTCCACTCTCATAGTCATAGTGTGACTGCTGTGGGTAGCCCCAAGCACGTACACATCCATGGTCCACTCTCATAGTCACAGTGTGACTGCTGTGGGTAGCCCCAAGCACGTACACATCCATGGTCCACTCTCATAGTCATAGTGTGACTGCTGTGGGTAGCCCCAAGCACGTACACATCCATGGTCCACTCTCATAGTCACAGTGTGACTGCTGTGGGTAGCCCCAAGCACGTACACATCCATGGTCCACTCTCATAGTCACAGTGTGACTGCTATGGGTAGCCCCAAGCACGTACACATCCATGGTCCACTCTCATAGTCATAGTGTGACTGCTATGGGTAACCCCAAGCACGTACACATCCATGGTCCACTCTCATAGTCATAGTGTGACTGCTGTGGGTAGCCCCAAGCACGTACACATCCATGGTCCACTCTCATAGTCATAGTGTGACTGCTGGGGGTAACCCCAAGCACGTACACATCCATGGTCCACTCTCATAGTCATAGTGTGACTGCTGTGGGTAGCCCCAAGCACGTACACATCCATGGTCCACTCTCATAGTCATAGTGTGACTGCTGTGGGTAACCCCAAGCACGTACACATCCATGGTCCACTCTCATAGTCATAGTGTGACTGCTGTGGGTAGCCCCAAGCACGTACACATCCATGGTCCACTCTCATAGTCATAGTGTGACTGCTGGGGGTAACCCCAAGCACGTACACATCCATGGTCCACTCTCATAGTCATAGTGTGACTGCTGTGGGTAACCCCAAGCACGTACACATCCATGGTCCACTCTCATAGTCATAGTGTGACTGCTGTGGGTAGCCCCAAGCACGTACACATCCATGGTCCACTCTCATAGTCATAGTGTGACTGCTGGGGGTAACCCCAAGCACGTACACATCCATGGTCCACTCTCATAGTCATAGTGTGACTGCTAGGGTTAACCCCAAGCACGTACACATCTATGGTCCACTCTCATAGTCACAGTGTGACTGCTATGGGTAGCTCAAGCACGTACACATCCATGGTCCACTCTCATAGTCATAGTGTGACTGCTAGGGTTAACCCCAAGCACGTACACATCCATGGTCCACTCTCATAATCACAGTGTGACTGCTATGGGTAATCCCAAGCACGGACACATCCATGGTCCACTCTCATAGTCACAGTGTGACTGCTGTGGGTAGCCCCAAGCACGACCACATCCATGGTCATTTAAAGTAACCCACAGCTGTGCCCTAAATTTTATGTTGGTTATTTACACGCGGGAATAACCATCCCTACCCCGGGGTTGACCCATGGTCAGCTCGGGACGCGGGTTCCCTGTGACTGTGTGTGTGGGGGGGGGGCGAACTGTGTACATATTTTTGGAGATTGAGGTGTGGGACGGATGCGTCGGGTCAGCTCGGCAGGTGTGAGAGATTTTCCTGCCGGCTCTGTCAAAGGATTGTACCTTACATTAAAAATTAAAAAGCTATAGTTCTCAGAACTGATTGTTTTATTGTGATTTTATTTAAACTGTAAGCTACGTCACCTCTCGGCTGCATATAGATTATCATTAGCGTGGGGAGAGGAAGGCGGAGTGGGAGTCTGCACACAATCAACGAGAATTGCCCCGGGCATACTTTTCATACTATAGACGGGCGGCATTTTCGGTCAAATGCAGAGTGTTTTTGTTTTTTTTTTATCTTAGGGGTGGTCGAAATTGTGGTATGCCCTGGATGGCACTAGCCCGAGCTAAACCTCTGTAAAAAAAAAAAGTATAATTAGTACTTGATTTTTACTATATTTAAAGTTCACCTTATTAACAAAACCGGAAAGCTTCATCATAAACTGCACTTGAACCTACAGCCTACAGTTACAGTGTCTTTTACTTTTACTATTTTCATACTATAGACGGGCGGCATTTTCGGTCAAATGCAGAGTGTTTTTTTTTTTTTTTATCTTAGGGGTGGTCGAAATTGTGGTATGCCCTGGATGGCACTAGCCCGAGCTAAACCTCTGTAAAAAAAAAAAAGTATAATTAGTACTTGATTTTTACTATATTTAAAGTTCACCTTATTAACAAAACCGGAAAGCTTCATCATAAACTGCACTTGAACCTACAGCCTACAGTTACAGTGTCTTGTACTTTTACTGTCTTCTCCAAGTAATTTTCACATGGTAGTCTCATGGTAGCGATTTGACCACAATATTGGCAAGCTTTTGGACGAGGTCCAATTTGCGTTCATTTGCTTTCTTATTGGACAAAATTATGACTCCTTTGAGCAGTGGAAAAAACTGGTTTATCTACTGTGTACTAGCGGTGATGCAGCCATACAACATCCAATAATCTTTACTAGGGCTTAGCCGGGTGAAGATTTTTTTTACACCGGGTCCGAGAAGTACACGGTAGGTCCGTTTAAAAAAAAAACTTCTCATTTTCTATAAACAATAGGCCTACATACAGCCCTACTAGACATCCCTACAGATAGACAGTCATACAATACCCCTAGCTCTTTATAGATTAATATAAACGAAGTGGCTTTTCGGACCCGGGTCCAAGAAGTTAGAGGTTGGGATTAAAATTGGAAGTGTCTATTGGTAGTTAACTAACATGAAAGTTATTTGAATTGAATGGACTATATGTTTGTAAACTTAATTCTTCAATTTAACTAAAATAAACTACAAAAAATGACATCCGAATAGCATTGAGTCTAAAGGGACCCGGGTCCGAATAGCGGCGATGCGTTCCATTTTGACTAAATGCTATTCGGATGTCATTTGTGGTAGTTTATTTTAGTTAAACTTAAGAAGTAAGTTTCCAAACGTATAGTCCATTCATTTATCTGTCATTTGAATTTGATATCAAATTTTGTCTTACAAACCCTACAGTAATTTTTAAATATTTTTGTAATAAACCCAAACTATAACTTCTCGGACCCGGGTCCTAATAGCCGCAGCCTAAGCCTAATAGAAAATAAAGAAAAATGTCAACCTTTATACCCGAGTTCAACAGTCACGCATGATGCTCGCTGCTTGACAGCTTCTTTTTTCCCCCCTTCATTCATTACTATTAATATTTTTAAAAAATGTTGAGTAGGGGGAGGGCCGGTTGTGAAAAGGAAGCTGCCATACCAGAAGCAACAGCAACATATACATAATAAGAGATTCGCCAATTCGGATGGCATCCGAAATGGCCATGTTACTCTTTTTCTTTACGGTTCGATTCTTTTAAGTTCGATTACAGCTCTGTGCTATAAAAATCATCTCGATGCCCCCCAACTCTCAGGGAAATGGAGTCTGGTGTAGAACTGGATATTTACTTCTAATAGCCCGTTTGTGTCTATATAATTATCGAATCAATATGATTTAAGAAAAACATTTGTGAATGTTTTATTTAATGGTGATTGTTTAAAGTTAAGTATCTCATAATTCTTCAACAGACGTAATTTGTTTTTGTAGGCATTCTTTCTTAATATAATTATAATCAAATAATGACCAATGACAATGAATTACTACAAACATTACTTACAAACAACTACAATACAAGTGTCTAGTAGTAGTAGTCCTAAGTAAGTAGTATAGTCTGAGTAGTATAGTTAAGTATTAGTCTAGTATTTGGCATAAATATGGCCTCGCATCATTAATATAATATTTTAATGGGTTAGAAAAATTATAGATCTAGGCCTAATTTTGGTATGAATTGAAGAAAAAAAATATGCACACAGACACAACAAATTGCACACAGGATTCACACAGGGCTCAACTGGCCACGCCCAGTCACTTGAGAAAAAAAAAAAACTATAAACACATTAAAATTAAAATAAAATGAACCTTAAAATATACCAGAATACAGAAAAATGGTTTTGCACCTTCAAACCTACAAACAACTTACTATTACTGTAGTGATTGCAAGCTGTGTGCACACTAAGAGTTAAGACAGAAACTCTTGCATTGGTGCCACCTCAAAACCTTTGTCCCTTTTTGCATTGCTGTAAACTCATAGGATACTGTGCTACAAATAAAAAATGGTGCAGAACCACTCGATCATGACCAACTTAATCATAGTAAGTGCTAATTGTGAACTTGGCTGTGGGTGCGCAGATAGTTGATGAGACTGATTCTGGCACGAAATGTTCTTGTGCAGTAAATGCAGGGGATGATGGGACAGGTGCAGATTTGACTCGGGCTCTTCTGGCATGCCATTTGTGCTTTGCAGCTGTTCTTATAGTTATAGTAGCTCATGTTTTATGGAGCCTTTGTGTACAGAGGAATGACACCATGCTCGATCCTTTGCCGATTCTTCCCATCCGTCCAGGTCTATATAGAATACTTTCAGTGAGGCTTTTGGGTTGTCTCACATGTGAGTAGGTACTCACATATTTGCGCCACTGGCCACTGGTTGTAGAAAACAGCTGGTTAACTGCTGTGATCATGCAATTCTGAACGTTCTCAGTATGTGTCATGATTTTCTAAAAATTGATGAACTTCCCTCGTTAAATTTAATACCAGATTGGATTCCGCCTTGGAGGTTAAAAATACTGTTTCAATCGGACCAGGTTGAGACAGTTGAAACTTGAACTTTGGGTAAGTGTTGGAACATTAGTATTTTATTGTTTAACTTTACGATTCACATAAGAAATTAAAGAAAACTATACGGTAGCTGATTCATTTTGGAAAGTAAATCACTTATTTTAAATTATGAGATTAATTTCCACCTTTCATTATAGTTCTCCAAACTTAAAAAAGGTCACTAAACTGAGGTCAACCTAATTGAGGCCATTTATATGTATCAGGACTATCGGAATTGATATTTTCTATTGTAAACAGTGACTATACTATACATTTTTTTAAAACCCTTGAACATTATGATATGTAATCAAATAAAATACTGAGTAATATAATGATAAATAAGCCTTTTTGTGATTTGCATTGTCATTTTCAAAATTTCAAAATGTGATTGCATATTTATTTTATTTTTTAATTTACGAATTTGCTCATGATCTCAATCTCCTATCCCATCAGTTATTGACATTTTTATGTATTATTAATTACAGTATGTAGACCATTCAACTATGAGTCTTGAGTAACCTAACAGTGTTATTTATTTTTTAATTATAAAATGTAAAGATTGATTAGATCTTATGACTGTTGCTTTTGTTCTAACACTTTATGGTATTCACACTAGGTATAGGTCAATTTGGAAAAGTTTAACTGGACCCTGGATAACTACATTTTAGTAAAATGTAGTGGTCCAAGCCTGGGTAAAATTTTTTACAAGAACTCTTGGCGGTCTCAAGCATTTGGAGATGGTAGCTTTCTGGTGCTTTTTTATTTAGTCTGCTAAACAGATAGATTCCACACATGAGGATGTGCATTGCCAAACAGGAGGAGATCAACCAACATCCTGATTTGTTACTGACAATGAAGGAAGACTTTTTGATCAACCAGTGGGTGAAGATGAAGTATTGATGAGTTTCTGAGACAGAACCACCAACTGTGTCCACAATAAATTTTTTAAATTTTATATATGTTTTAACAACATGACATTCGAACATGTTCCGCCTCTGGGACTGCATTAAAGTGGTAAAGATGCTGGGAATACCTGCCTGTGCGTGTACCTCGGTGTCTGCCATTTGATGTTGACAATTTTCCTCAGACTTGTATGAAAGTGATTCAACATTCTTGTATGGCATTGACAGACGCCACATTTTACATGCATAGAGAAGTGTAAGGAGAACAGCTGCCTCGTATACTTTTATTTTTGATTGAGTGCTGATACCTCACCTGGTCCATACATTCTCAGGCAATTTGCCATAGGTTACACCATTGGCTCTTGCAATACGAAGGGTTCACCTCATCATCGACGGCTGCGCTTTGGGGCAGTGTGCTGCCAAGCCATGAGACGCTATATACCACTTAAAGCCTTTCGCAATATACTTGAAAGTTGGGCTCAACATAAGGACTTCAAGGAGCTGGCTGGTACAGGACCTCAATCTTTTTTGTGTTAACAATGAGACCGAAGTTTTTTGCAGGCATGGGCGAAATTAGTAACACTGTATTGGATAGCTGATCATGCATTTAGGGCACAATCATTGGCATACTTGAAGTCCCTGATGAAGTCTGTCAGGTCATTTAGGTTTCTCAGTGATGTAAAAATGATTGTGCAATTTAAATGTCTGCCATCAAATAATATTTTTTTGGGATTCAATGAAATTGAAGTAATAAGACTATGTCAGAGAAGCACTGATTTCTAGCTTTTTGTTACATTTTGAAAATGGAAAACAAAAGTGTTTTTTCAATGTTAAATAATTGTTTTAAAGTACCGTATATAATTTCTGAGATATTACTATTATGATTATACATATAGGCCACCTTGACTTTGGCACGATCCATCTGGCCCCTGGAGTCTGACGAGATCTTTTGACAAGTCCTCAAAGAAAGTTTGCAGGTCACTTCAAAGAAAGTTTGCAGGTCACTAGGCCTAAATGTGTAGCGCTATACCACACCCTCCCCTCCCTTGACTTGGGAAAGGATTTTTTTTTATGTTCTAATTTGTTATAAAGATCCGATGATGCAATTTCTAGAATTCAAATAACATATATAAATAAACAGGCAGTTTTACTAGTCTGGAGAAGCTTTGCTAATTTTCCTAGACATTTACGAGACTTAGTATACTGATAGGAGCCTTACAAGATTTTACTATTTAATTGTGTATATCGGTGTTAATATTTGTATATTTGATTTTTTTTTTTTTATAAAATTAATGGTACAAATAAATTGAATATTGTTAAATGGTTGACTTTGATATTGTTTTTCATTGTTTACTGGTTTTTATTCATTCCTTTAGTACATATTATTCATCTAACGAGCCAAATCTTAAAACAGATTAAATTTGCAAAACCAATTAACGGTATGTAACCATGGCATATATGGCAGTTTTACCAGGATCATCCCTGTTCCGTCTGGTTTGATATTCTGTCCCGGTTTCAGTCTCAAATTGGTAAATTAATTTGTCCAGTCTCATTCACAAATGTAAATAATAGAACTTGTTGGTATCAAAATGTAACTAATCTAATTTTCATTTTAAAGACGAACAACTTCTAAGCTTGTGCATTTATTTATGAATAATTTCAAGTGAAAATATGAGGCCTGGGCCAGATGTTCGGCCTACAACCTAGTTCTTATATTTGATCATAAGCATTAGGTTATTATATTTTAATAGCTTTAAATTTAAATTAAGTTATTTTTGTTTCTCACTAGCCTGAAATGCCTACATATTTACATATTCCTCTTTTTTAAAAATTAATTTAGAAATTTAGTTACCTTGCTGCTTCATCAGCATAAAAGGCTCTGAAGGTTTTTTATAAAGGTCTTAATGTATAGTCTTTGGTAATACAAACCAATTATTGTTACTGAAATTATTAATAATTTAAACATATTTTTTTAGGCCACAATGGATGGTGACAAAAGCAGAAAAGAAGCTCATGCTAAAAACAAGCAGTGCTCAAATCAAAAATCCAGTGCAAGCCAGGCAACAAATCATCAACCAACAAATCATCCAAGTTCACCTCAGAGTCACAGTGGGTGTGGAGAATCATCTCAACCTGTAGTGCCATCTCCAGAATTCAGTCAAAGAGCAGTGTTAGCTAGTGGGGAAGTTTTGACATCACCACAGCCTCTTCCAACACCAAGAGATCACAGACACTCATTAAGTGGCATAGGCACAGCTAATGGGGCTATTTCAGTAAACTCACCAGTGAATGCTGTTGTCAAAGCTTCAAGCACTGGTACCTTGTATGCTTCATCCCCATTTCATGTGCACAATAGTAAAAGAGAAAGCATGGTGTCTTCTGCTGCTGGAGACTTTCTATCTAATTTTCCTTCCTTGTCATGTAGTGGCCCAAGCCTTGGTAATTTTGGACCTCTAAATGGCTCATGCAGTGCAAATTCTGGAAAGACAGCTAATGGGGGCTTTGATGCAGATTTATTTGCAAGTGGTCATGTGTTCTTTCCACCTTCTTCACCATTGGGATCATCACCTCCTCAAAATCAGAGCCAGGCAAATTACAATTGGCAGGCCACTAAAACAAGTGTGAAGGAGCGCTTGGCTTATCTTTACAACACTGATACAATGGCTGATATCCAGTTCAAAGTAATAATACTTTCATTAGACTTAACATGCATTATAATATATTATTGAATTAGAAAATAAAATTTAATCTTGAAACTATGTAAAGTCGAAATAATCCTAGGCTATTACCTATTCAAAATGAAGTCCAGATTTATTTAATCTATTTACCATTACAGCAGGAATTCCAAGTTTGTTATATATTGAACCAGGATGTGTTAAGTAAACTAAATTGGAAACATGTTCCAACATTATAAAACTTTAAACTTATCCAATACTGACATTTATCAGCACTTTAAAAATTAAATATTCATTAACAACTTGTTTCAGGTTGGAAAACCTCCAGCACATCAGATTATTTCAGCTCATAAATTCATTCTGTCAATCGGAAGTGCGGTTTTTGATGCTCTATTTAACGGTCGTCTTGCTACAAGTGACAGTATTATTGAAATTCCTGATGTGGAACCTGCTGCATTTTCAGCTTTGCTGCGATTCCTCTACACCGATGAAGTTCAAATAGGACCAGAAACTGTGATGACAACTCTCTATACTGCAAAAAAATATGCTGTTCCAGCACTGGAGAGGGCATGTGTTGAGTTTTTGAAACGGAATTTAAGTCCTGATAATGCATTCATGCTGTTGACTCAGGCCAGATTATTTGATGAGCCACAGCTAGCAGCCTTGTGCTTAGAAACAATAGATAAAAACACTACAGAAGCACTTGGAGCTGATGGTTTTACAGACATTGATTTAGACACCCTCTGTGTTGTCTTAGAGAGGGATACCTTAGGTATTAGAGAGTGCAAGCTTTTCTCTGCTGTATGTCGTTGGGCTGAAGCTGAATGCATTAGACAAAATCTAATCCCACCTTCAAGTGAGCACCAGGTACTAGTGGTTCAAAAAATTTATTGGTGGCATTGCACTTAAGTTGGTGTTAGTTTTTTTCTAAACTTCAATAGATCACTCAATAAATGAGACCAATGATAACTGTACACCAAAATCCCTCTTCTTCCTTTAGAGTACAAGAGATGAAGTAGAAAACTTCATAATGATACTTTGCTGGGTTTTATCATAATAAGATATTTATCAAAGCTGGGATAAGATTTTTTATCTTTAAAAGGACTGCATTTTTCAAAACAAATTTGTTTGCCTATGGTGAAAAGCGAAAGGAATTTCTTTTATTATGTTTTTTACCTTGTAGTTTGTTGGGAGATTTTGAATTTATTTAAATTTTTTTATAAATTTATTTTAGATCAACAGTTCTGAATTGGTGATTTTACCTTTGACAACCATAGGTCCAGTCCATATTTTATAACAGATTAATTCTAGAATCACAAAATACAATTTTACAGCAAATGAAAAAGTTTAAAGCCTGAATACTTTTAATTTATAATAACAGGGTATCTGATAATTATAGGAAGCAATTTTCAACAATTTAATTCATTGTCCAAATTATAAATACTTTATTACTAATTATCATTTTCAGCGCCATGTCCTGTCCAGGGCCCTTCGTCTCATTCGATTTCCACTGATGACTGTTGAAGAATTTGCTATGGGGTCTGCACAAAGTGGGATTCTGGAAGACAGAGAGGTTGTAGAACTCTTTCTTTACTTTACAGTGAACCCCAAACCAAGCATCAGCTTTCTTGATGTGCCACGATGTTGTTTGACTGGCAAGGAACAGGTGGTCTCCCGATTCTGCCAAATAGAAAGTAGATGGGGTTACAGTGGAACAAGTGATAGAATTAGGTACCTACAAAAGTTTAGAAAATTAAAGAAATACTTAAAGCATATTTTTTTTTTTAATTATGCAATATTTAAGTTACATGAATGCAGTCTATTTTTCTAGGCTCATTCTTTTTTTAAATTCTGAAACTTTGCGATTTCCTTGAAATTTCATTCTTGTGGACACTGACGCATAATTTTGTTTAATATTATTATTAAAAATGTATCAAGAAGCATTTGTTTAAAATAACATTTCAATCATAATCAGTTTTAGTCACTATCTTCCATATATTTTTAAAGGTGGAAGAAATAAAGACTTAAAATGTTATTGAATTGCAAGCAATAATAAAGTAATTACATTTTTTACTATATTTTTCACTAAGCCTTCTAATGAACTTTTTTCAAAATGGCTGTCGTACCACATAACTGATGGACTGGTCAAAATTTTAACGCAAACCATACCTCATGTAGATGTGTCTTTTAATTTTTAAGCTCTAGAATTTTAAATAGTTTTATTAAATGCCTGAAATTTTCAAAGCAGTAACCCATTTTTAACAAATCTCAGGTTTATGGTCAATAGGCGAATTTTTGTTGTTGGCTTCGGGCTCTATGGGAGTATTCATGGCCCCACAGAATATGCAGTAAATATTCAGGTATAGTATAATTATTAATAATTTTTTTAACATGAGTTGTTTTCTTTTGCATGCCATTTAGAAACAGAAACAGAGAGACATTAATATTTCATAGCCAGTTCTTTAAAGACAAGGCAATTCCTCTTAATAACATACTTTCTTGAGCATCTTATGGAGCTCAAGTGATAACTTGTCACTAAAATGTCTATTTTGCTTATTTGTCAAACATTGCCAATATCTGGTTTCCCAGAAAACAACAGCAACCATTTGCACAATTACTGGAGTGAATAAAATGAAAGCCCAAGTTCTCAATAATAACAGACTTTATATATAATTACCTTTCAAGATTCTGAGCCAAAATTAAAATTGTTTTGCCATAATTATAGATTACAAAACTAAATCTTACAAATATTTTCACTAATAATTCATGATAAAAAAAAAACTTACCTTTATTGTTATGGCCACAAGTAAATTCCTGTGGTCTAGTAGTTGAGTCTTTGCCCTGTCAAAGTCATTAATAACAAATCCCCTCTAATTTTCAATGGCAAATACAGTTATAACCAACAATTGTTTCAGCATAAAAATCAGAACATATACAATTTATATTTATCGGTAATGATGGGTTGAGAAATCATACTAAAGAGTATTTGCTGAAGAAAGATGTTGCCAATCCCTATCCTGCTCTTTAAATGGCATTTAAGAAGTTATTTTTTGCTTATGCAACATCATAAATAAGTTGGAACATTTACAGGGTTCACATTTACCGCAAAAGAAATATTTTCCCTTATGGGGGCACTAAAGATGGCTCTGGGAGTCAAGGATGAAGGGATCTGAAAAAGTTTGACAACCAAGGATTTAGATGGTGGTTGCAAAATTTATAAAACTGAATTACTTTATACAATGAAACCTCACTATCACGTGATTAATAGAGTCCAGAGATTTGGATAGCATAAATTTGGTTTTTCAATATTCCGTGCGAATAGCGTTGGGATTTTTAACAAGTAGGTAGGTTTAGGATTATGTTTGTATAAATTTGATATTTAAAATCACTTGTGGTTAGTGAGGCATGTGGAACTGAAGATGGATAGCTTTAGTGGATTTGTGATTGTGTTGCATGAGTTTTTTTCTTCTTTTTCACGTTCTTTGAAAAGGGAAAATGTTCATGTTCATATTTTTGGGAGCCTTGCCACAACCGCATTATATCCCATTTGTTTTATAGTTATAGCGGTGCACGCTGTAGGGGGGTTTCCACTGTACTATTAAAATTAATTTGTTGCTGTTAAAAAAACCTCTTTATAATATATAGGAGGGCATTTGTGGTACCTAAAACATGAGTGAACATTTCTTTAAGTTTGCTAAAATTAAATGAAATTTGATGCATACCTTTTTCATCTCCTCATCAATATCAAGAAAGATTCATCTGTATGTGTTCATTTATATATTTCATTAAATAGAGTTCATTATGCTATTTAAGAACAGTTTTATGTATTAATTACATAATTAAATTAATTAATTAAGCGTGCACCTGTGGGTTCCATTTTTAAAATGCAATCATGCTAAATGTGGACTTTACTTCACCTTCCATCTCATTTTTAAAAACTATATGCCATATGTATATTCTGATAAGATACCGGTATAATTTTTATTTCATTTAATATAGCAATTTTATTGGCAATAATGTAATTTTAATTTTAAAGTGTAGCAACAAAAAAGAAAGAGCAGGGTCAAAATTTTAATGTGGTAATATTTAGTTTTCCCACTTTCCTTTCACAATACTAAAAATGGAGCACATCACATTTGTTGAAATATTGTTGGTTGCAAATTAAAGCATCAAATTATCCTTAATGTTAAGCTTGTAGACCCCATCATTTTGAAAATGTGGTTGAATAATTTTTTAGCTTTAGTGAATCTTAGGAAAATTGTTTTGAACCAAAAGTGGAAACTGGAGTTAAATTTTAAAATGGAAACATAAATGCTATTTAAAGCTATTCCCTTGTTTATTTAATATAATTCCCCATTAAAAATTTTAGAAGAACAAACACATTTATTTATCATGTTTATACATTACAAATAATTTTAAATTTCAGATAATTCACATGGACTCTACAAAAGTCATGGGCTCCAATGATCCCACTTTTCAGTGTGATGGAACTACATCAACTTTTAGAGTGATGTTCAAAGAGCCGGTTGAGATATTGCCTAACACCAGCTACATTGCATGTGCTACACTAAAGGTAGTATTTTTTTTTACAAACAAACTACTATCGTTACTAATATTAAATATAATAATATTGATGTTTATAAGGAATAATACAAAATTAACATTTTTGAAATCCGATATTTCTTAGTTTATTAAACTGCAATGTATCAGTAATTTTAATATTGTTATTTTAAGTTTTAGATTATTTTCAGATGGGAGTTTTTTAGTGGCCCACTATAACATTCCTTCTTGGTGATGAAGCATTCAAAACAACATTTTGTGTATTTCATCATTAACTAACTAAGCAATGTCTTTTTTCTTAACAGGGTCCAGATTCATACTATGGCTCTAAGGGTTTACGTAAAGTAACTCATGAATCTGTTTCCAGTGGGAAAGTAACTTTTCAGTTTACATATGCAGCTGGAAACAACAATGGTACATCAGTTGAAGATGGACAGATTCCAGAGATCATCTTTTACACATGATTAATGAACATGGAAACATTAACATTATAAATGTGATATTCTGTGTGTGATTTGAAAACTGAAATGTTATAAACAGCAGTATTTCTTACTAATTGAGATGTAAATTTGCATGAAATGTAATAGTTTTTCAATATTCATTTTCAACCAGGATATTTGTGTTTTGTTAAGACATATCATATATTTATTACTCATATTTAGGCATATTAGATACCGGTACCGGTAGTTACTTTAACTAAATTGAAAAGGTATCAGTGTCTTATAATAAATGAAAATTTAAGGATTTCATAGATTTGATTGTTTAGTTGTTATGAAAAAATGTCCTATAGAGTTTGTAACTCAACCTTTAAATGTGGAGATGCATACTGCTGTACTGCTCTCAAAGATAATTTGGCACTTGCATTATTTTAAAAGTTATATCACATAAAATTTAAAAGTATAACCAATATGTAGCACAATCAGAGTTTTTATCCACACCAATAAGTTGCATATATATAATGAGCTGTTTAGCATGATGACTTATTTGGTAATAAAATAAGTTCAATGCACAACTATAATTTTTTAAATATGTATTCACCCAAGAAGACCCAATTATACACCTTTGATGTAGTTAGTCATTAAAAACTACATATTCCTATATATCTGGATCTGATATAAACTAATTTGTAATAATTTGTCATTTTTTTAAAAGGGGAAAAATAAATTAAAGGCAGATTAGCAGTCAATATTTTCTTGCAAGTTTTATTTTATAATTTTATAGTGGTTGCTTTGTCCGTCCACTGTCTTTTGACAGAAGAGTTCCCTTAAAGTTAAAGTTTAATAGGCTGCAGGCTTTAATTTTATAACACAGTAAATAAGATATTAAAACATTACTGGGTATTGAACATTTTTCATCTGCATTCAAAGAAATATGTTTTAGAGCCTTTTCTCTTACCACAAAATTATTATTTTAAATAGAAATTTTCTTCTGATAACATTGGTGATAATGTATTTAAGGGGACACACCTTCTCATGATATTATTTTTGTTCTTTCTGAAACTATCTACAAATAGTACAATTAATTATTTATAATTAATTTTGTTTGTATTTGGAGTATTATACTTATACCATGTGTTTATCTCACTACTGATCTGATAGTGTAAACAGTTTGGTTTTTTTAAAACATAAAGTCATTTACATAAAATATTAAGATTGTAGCAACTAACTCTTATAGTTTATTACAAACTGTTACCTCATTAATTATCTTATAATCTACATTAGATTTATTTCATTGGATTGGCTATAATTTCAATAATAATTTTTTTTCTCTTTCTTTTACTAAAATTCTAACTGAAATTTTATCTATGTGCTATGCCTTTTTAAATCCTTTACATTAACTTCACTTTTGTTTGTGTGTTTCTTTCTCGGTTTATGGCGAAATCCTCAGAACTGACCCACTTTCCATTAACTTATCGCCTTGGCACATAGAATCAATCTCAATGACAACACATTCTATCAAATTTTCAGCCCCACTCCCAAAAATTTGTCTTAACTCTACCAGATCTCACTGATTTCACAAAATAAATACTATACCTCATAACTGTGCTAAATGGGATTCTTAAAAATATCATAAATGCTTCAGGTGTGTAATATTTTCTTTTGTTTTACGGAAATGGTGTAATAAATCTGGGGTGTAAAGGCGTGAGACATTTCATAAAAGATTTATATGAAAAAACTTTGTTTAATTAAGAATAACTTTTAAAGTAATATCTATTGGCTGTGCAAGTTAACTGAACCATCTAGGAAAATCAATCGGTAAAATAATTGAAAAGATGTTATAATAAAATATAATTGAGTACCAGTATTTTGTTTTCCTTGCTAGCTTTTGAAGCTAAGCCACAAGTTCTTTTGTATCCATTCAGAAAATTAATGGGGGCAAACGTTAACAGACTAATTCTTTGCAGCCCAATATTAACAATTTGTATGTGTGTATATATGTGTGTATATATATATTTTTTTTCAATATATCCACCATACTATTCCTAAAGGTTACACACAAGCAGATTAAATTCAGTACATATTATTCAGACCTGCTTTTTTTAAGGTACATAGTAATTTCAGGACAATATAATGTTCTTAATAATACATATAGCTTTAATCCATTCTCCTAAGCCTTTTTTTTTTTCTAAAAAATTTGGTGCTGGGATAAATTTTGATGTATGAGATTAAAAAATATTACTTTCAAAAATTGTTCTCATTGATTTAATGATTGAAAAACAAATGATTCTTTGCATGTCACTGGTTTAAATGTTTAAAACTCTCATTGAAGTTTTATACTGTCCTTGAGAGAAGTCACTGATATCATACATTTTAATTTATTTTAAAATGTTTTTTTAACCAAATGTAATTTTTTTTTTTTTTTAAATACAGACTAATTAGCAAAGCTAAGAAGAAAAAAACATTTCACTATTAACTTAAAATTAAATAAAGTTTAATTACAATCATAAGATTAAACAGGTGCAATAAACATTGTAATGTTTTAAATTGTTTCATTTATTTTTAAAATTATTGCTTATCATCAACAACAACAGGGGCATAGTCATCAGGCTCTGTAGAAAAATCCCATTTAAACTTTTCAGTTAGATGCTTTTGAAAACTGATGCTCTTCTGTTTTAATTTAGAATCAATATTGTCACTAAGCAAATTTTGAAACAGTTCATGCAGTGTTAATGTTAAAAAATTATTCCTTGTAACAATATCAACAAAAAACTCTGATGGTATTTCACGAATTTGGAAATGTAAAATAGTGATGAAATCTAAATATACGTCTGGATGTTGTATGGCTGCATCACCGCTAGTACACAGTAGATAAACCAGTTTTTTCCACTGCTCAAAGGAGTCATAATTTTGTCCAATAAGAAAGCAAATGAACGCAAATTGGACCTCGCCCAAAAGCTTGCCAATATTGTGGTCAAATCGCTCTGCAAGCAGGAGATTTAATGCATATGTTGAGTCCATATTGTACTTTGAAATTTCAGCTGGTGTTGACCCATCTGGAAACTTCTTTTTAGGCACTGAACTATACCTGATTTTTGTGCCTTGGACCTTCTTTAATTTAGGTAGCATCACTTTTTTGGATCTTTGGGTGGTTTCCAAATCCATATTTACTTCTGCCATTGAAGTTGCTGCAGCTTTTCTGGACTGTGTTGTACTTGCCTCTGATTCAAACAGTGCTATTGAGTAAATTCTGCCACACTCTGGCTCCAAGAGATTTACAATATCTATGTTGATTAGGTTAGTTAATGATACCCACTGTTTGTACCTGAAATGTAGAAAAATTATTTCAGTATAATCTAAAATCTTTACATCAACAAGGGTTTCACAATAAGCAAATCAGCTTAAGATTAATCTGCTGATGATTTAATTATTTAGTATTTTTATGTATTTTGTAAAGCTTATTGATTATAAGTAATTTATCATAGTATCAATATAAAATACTATTTAAAAATTAATTACAATTATAGTTATAGTAATACTAGTAATAGTTATTTTCAAGGTAAGAATAAACAACTACTATTTATATAGATGATAGTATATGTATGTATGTGTGTACACACACACAAAAAATATATATCTTGTTTGACTATATATTTATTAATATAACCAGAGAACACTCTTCTGAATCCCACAGATTTGAACTTTGGGCTGAGACCCAAGGATAAGCCTATGTGGACCACCATGAATCCAGATGTCAATGGCAAAGTTACATTGAATCAACCAGTGATATTGCTAGAAGTATGCAATTGAGAAACCTATCACATCAAAGTCTGACAACATCCAATGTCAACTATTGTCAACCAGAGAAATGGCCATCATATAAATATGGTCATTAGGATTTACATTTTTATAAATTATTTTAACCAGCTATATTTTCTGTAGGCAGATTATTTGGTTTTAAAAAAAGGCTGATAATGAAGATATCCTATTTCATTCACATTTAAGCTTCTCAAAATTAACATGTTTAACATTTGTTCAAAGTAACTTAAAAATGAACATAATAATTTATCAAGGTTTCATTTTGTAACTCCACCACTTCTTTTTCATAGCTAATACAACTCGATTTTTCAGGATTCAAAGCATACAGCATTATTTTTTTAAAATAAAAATACTTTAACTTAAATCACTTACTTTTCATATGGATAAGGCCCAAGGAACTTATCAAGCTCTTCCTTGTTGCTTTTATATTTCTGCTGTTCATCTTCAGGGACTAAGTCAATATCTATAAACAAAAGTAAAGAAATTATAAACTACCAGTGGTTTCAGTAAGGTTGGTGTTACCAAAGTGCAGTAAACTTATGGTTTCAACTCCTAAACTTCTTTAGATTTTACCTCATGGACTTACAAGTCCTATACATCACCCTACATAATAACACATTTGTAATGGTGTTATAGTCATTTTAATTGTTTCTATAGTATAGTAGTTACTATCCTAGTGTCTCTGGTTTTTTCATTTTTATTTTACTTAGTTTACATGTTTTTAATAATTGTAAAGCGCTTAGAGCTTTAAGCTAAGCGCTATATAAAAATGGCTAAATACATAAATAATGGAATTACTAAAGAGTCAGGACATGAGAAACTTTAGATTTTGGCTAACAGACTTTAAGAATTCAACAAAATTGCTTTTTCTTTTATTATAATAAATTAAATTTTACAGCTGTTAATGTTAAACTTTCATTTCATGGTTTTTCAATTTCAAGGCTGTAAATTAGTCATAACTCAATAAAAAAACAAAGGCAAAATCAGAAACCTTGACTATTTCAAAGATTCAATACATTGTGACAGTATTTCTATTACCATAACCTTGAAATTAACACATCATGTCAAGTCCATCAAACAACTGCCTGATCTTTAAGAATATTGGACCTTATATAGATAATCAGCTTACATGGGTAAAATCATAGAAACATTTCTCATTTCAACTTTCCCATAGAGGATTTTCTCTTATCTGATCATAGTCATAGCAAGAATTAACATGTTTTTAGAGGATTCTAAAATGTGTGAAAAATATCATCTTCACATTATTTGCTTGGACAATAGTAAACTCTCTTACAGTTTATGTTTCAAGAGATTATACAAATGCTTTAATTTTACATGTGCTCCTCTTTAAACTCTTTTGATGGTCTTTGGGCACAGCAACATCGTTAGAGAGCATCTTAACCATATCAGTAATATAGTTCCTTTAATAAATTTATCTGATTGTACCCTGCTCTTGTATTCACTAAGATCAGTTATAACCTCATGTATTTTTACATTATTGAGTTACACCCCCCCCCCACCCCCCCGTCCCCATGAAGGTGTAACCCGGGCTCCGCACCCCTGTCATAACACTACAAACTCTTTTGATTGTCTTTGGGCAAAGCAACATCGTTAGAGAGCATCTTAACCATATCAGTAATATTGTTCCTTTAATAAATTTATCTGATTGTACCCTTCTCTTGTATTCACTAAGATCAGTTATAACATCATGTATTTTTACATTATTGAGTTACCCCCCCCCCCCACCCCCCCGTCCCCATGAAGGTGTAACCCGGGCTCCGCACCCCTGTCATAACACTACTGTTAATTAATAGTTATTAACCTTAAAAAATAATTCATTTTTCAAAAAATAAAATTGAATATTTTAGTTTTCTGCTGATTCTCTGTGAAATTTTAGTTTTATATCCAAAATTTTTAAACTCCATTGATAAAGTAAAAAAAACATGTAAAGAATTTTAAAGGTGACGCAACTGCATATTCTCTCTCTCTCTTTTAAGTGTTAGTTCCAGACAGACAAATGGATGTATGTTATTTAAAAATTAATTTTATAATTTAATTCTTGCATACCCGGTTTATTTGAAATTAAACTTCATTTGCGGTGGGTGGAGGAGTCATCAAAATCACCTTGATTTGCAAATGTGCTACCCATGCATGAACGTACAAGAATTTAATTTATTTACAGAGCAAAATGTAATAAGGCATAAATTCATTATTAACAAGTACCTTCAGTTTTTGCATTCCATTTCCGAACAATAACTTCCTTTGGCAAAAAATTGCAGAAAAAGCCAGACCTTGGTCCAAGTCCAAGCTGATCATTAGAGCTAAATGAACTGCAAGCAATAAATAATAGGTACTGACTTGCTCATCTTAGCTAATAATTGTAGAGATCAGCAAATAATTGAATAAAATTCTAGTTCTGGAGGCCAAACACTTTGATATCAAGTAAACCTTTGGCAGGCCGCATGTCATATAATAATATAAACAACAACTAAATGTTTTATAGAATTATTTACCTATTCTTAATCACATCATGCAATGCAAAATAAAAATATAACTAATGTGCTATCATTTTATCTTTTCTATCAGGAATCTTTTTATAATCGATTTCTTTGTCAATGGAATGATGATTGAATAAGTTTATTTTAGATAAATGATATACTGATACATGTATATATATTTTTTTAAGTGTGACTCAATGGACTATATCAAAATAAAGTTATCATTGGCAAAAATTATTACAATTCACAATGACAATGTAAAACAATTTTTGTGAGAAGTAAACAATTGTAACAGAATGTAAAAAATACTGGCAATTCTAGTTCTAGACTTTAAATAAGGAATACAAAAAAAAATAACACATCTGTCAAAAGAGTTAAACCATGTGAAGTAGCATTCATTAACAATAGCTAAATATCCCTTTTCTGATTTATCAATTTAATTTTTGTAGTAAATCTTTATTCCAAGGATTTGAAAATGCACTACCGTACGCCTTTAAAATTTGAGTCATGGCTATATTACCTTTAAATCCTAAAATTGTGTAATACAATATATTGTAAAAATAAACATTTTCTGATGATAAAAGATAATAATTATATATACCGGTACTGTCAATACACACAGAATATAACATATGACAAGATATTAGAAGGCAGTTGTCCCCATCTGCCAATCATGACAATTAATTATCCTAACACATTGCTTACCAATTACTTCACCAAACAACTTTAAGACCATTCATTGATCGAAGTTTTAAAAAAATAATAAATTATAATTATGCCTACCTATAATAAATAAAATGGAGTCCTGGAGGTATCATTTTAACTCCCTTGAAGTTAGGACCGACATTCCATGAGTTATAATCAATACCAAATTCAGACCCTTCAGGAAAACCAATGAGAATGAACATAGCACCTTGTTCAAATAGGTTTCGCGCCGTTACTTGATCCATGGCTAAGTTTGATGCCTAATAGGACCTACTAGTAAAGTAAGATTAATTTGTAAATGTGTAATATTCATTTTTGGTTACCGGTATATCTGGTATAAATATAATTTTTTCTTTCTCACCAAGATATATTACCATATTAAATAAGCTATACTTGAAGCAGTACAGGCCCTACTTGTAAGTCTTATTAGACCCATTTCCAATATTCCACCACACAAAAGGTTCAGACCACAGTTGACTTGCTTCGCCTCATCCCCATCTTCTTCAACTCTCAAATTAGATTTTGACTTTAATTTGGATAGGATGGGTGGGATAGTCTACTATTATATTCTTTTATTTTAATTTAGTATTATTTAATTATTTGTATAAAAGGTCTACTGGCTCATATTTATTTACTTATATACTCTTGACTGCAAGATTTTTCCTTTAAGTTTATGGTGGAATTTTCGGAAAGCAAAGAGGTGAGCCACGCATGAAAAAAAGGTGGAAGTGCTCTGGTCTATCTCTAGGTATAAATTAGTACTAAGTACACTATAAATTAAATGCTAAAATATGAGATTACCAAACAAGTTTAAGCAGGGAAGGCTAAGCTTAGGACAAGTTAGGACCCCCTATCCAATACATCTCTATTGAATATTCCAGTGATTCGCAACCTTTCTAATGCAGCGATCCTTTAATACAGATCCCCATGTTGTGGCGACCCCCAACCACAAAATTATTTTCGTTGATACGTTACAACTGTAGTAGAGTATATATGTCATAAGATGGTCTTAGGCGACCCCGAGGTTGAGAACCGCTGCTCTAGTTTCTATTCTATAATACTCTATCATCTAATCATTGTCACTGATCCTAGTCTATTATTATTATTCAGGACATGAGTTCCTACTAGAGGCATAAGGTAATTTTCAGCAGAGTATCAGTAGGGTAGGGTAAGCCATGGCATTTCTGGAGGTGTAACCCAACTCCGGCATTAGCCATGTGATGTCATAATCAATTTTGGCTAATGTTAAGGACGGCTGCCACAGTGTCTTTTGGGTGTTTATTATAGTTGCAGTGAATTAGGGTTTAGGTTAGGTTGAGGGATCGATTTAGGGTTCAGGTTAGGCATAGGGATCGATTTAGGGTTCAGTTTAGGCATCGGCATAGGGATCGATTTTGGCTAAATTCGATAAAATAGTGGCAGTCGTCCTTAACATTTACCCAATTATGTTTTTGTTGGAACTTTGTTGGCCTAAGCCTGGCCTATGCTTTCTACTCCGTGAAAATGACTCTTCTTTTTTTTTTTTCCCAGTACCACACTCACACTACATGTTACATGCTCATGCAGTATACACTGATTGAAACCAGTTTTATTAACTTTTTTAGGCTAGGCGCCGCTGCTAGGCCTATGATACCTACCAATGGCAATGAAATGGAGCCAATTATAACATAACATTAAACATGTTATTGGTCTATCATTATAAATAATTCTAACCACATATTTTATAGTTATAGTTATAGCAGTTAGCACTCGGCGACGTGACATTCATTATAGACATGGTAATGGATTGAATAAATTTAACACGAAGAACAAAACCACAACTTTTAAGAGCTCCAAATTTTTAAATAATTTTTTCGCCCTTTAATTCATTAATAATAAATATTATCGATTATTAGGTTTAAATTTTAAAAACTTTGGCCGTTTTAGCTAACAATTATTACATATTTTAAGACTTTACGACAAAATCGTTGTTTGATATTTTTTTTTAATATGGACAGAACACAACCGATTACTGGTTACCAGATTGGCCTTTTAAGTCAAATTTGTTTGTTTTTGTTCAAGATGGTTTTGATCTGAAATTTTTCGTTTGTCCATTTCCTGGCCTTTTTTGAAGATTGTTTTTACTTTTAAGTTCAATAATACCCATTTCATGAAATATCTTTAAGAGAAATTACTTTGATCGATATAGTATTCAATACTTAAAAGGAGAACCCTTGTGGAGTTGACTTTTGCAACACTGTCAAAATGCAGCAATATGGCTCGCTCAATGTGACCCTATTTACCTTTATTGTCGCTTCCGTACCTGTCGTTCACATCAAATGGAAATGTCGCTTTTGGAGAATTTATAAAGGATAAAGCTAAACGTTTAGGGCAACCTCAAATGTGGTGGGATTTCTTTCTAAAGCAAAACATTTGAAGTGAAATATTTACCAACAATGTGGGTCATGTCCCTGAGTACCCCATCCCAAATTTCAACATAAGTTGGCCACTTAATTAAATTAAAAGTTAAAATCAATGTTACACATAATATTCTGGTATATCAACATTTAATTACCGTGTAGTTCAGCGGTTCTCAACCTGTGGGTCACGATCCCTTTGGGGGTCGCGTGACCCTTTGCCATGGGTCGTCTAAGACCATCTGAAAACACATATCCTTACAGCTATGAAGTAGCAACACAAATTATTGTGTGGCTGGGGGTCGTCACATCACGAGAAACTGTATTAAATGATCGCGGCACTAGGAAGGTTGAGAACCACTGGTGTAGTTCGTAGGTGCTTATTGTTTGACTTTTCCTGTCTTTAATTCTTATTCACATGATGAGCATTTGTTACTTGTTTTAACGCTTAGTAATCTTTAAAGAACAACTGATTCTCTCTCCCTCCACCTTCTCCCTGTCACTCTCTCTCTCTCTCTCTCTCTCTCTCTGGGGCCGTCCATAAAGTATGTCACGCTCCAGAGGGGGGGGGTGTGGGTGTAAGAAAGTGTGACAGTTTGTGACAGGGAGAGGGGGTCAGGTCATGTGGGACGTCACACATTTTTTTTTTTTTTTTGTTTTTTTTTTTTTTTTTTTTTTTTTTTTTTTTTTTTAAATTTTATTTCTAATTTATTCTTTTATTTTTTTGTAGAATTTAATAGCTTTAAAAATAATTTTCAAAAATTTTGTGAAACATTTGAATTAGTTTTAAGTCAAAATAGAATGAAATGCCTATCTCCTGAATGTGTTGTTCACGATTCCTCTCGCTAGGAGCGCTATTATGCTGTTGCGAAGCCTTGTTTTATGTATAGCCTTTCCGAGATCAACAGGAGTTTTCAAAGTACAACTATATGATCTTTATTTTCCATCTTTGCAGACCAGCTTACTTGATCGAATTTGCAAAGAATGCCACTTATAATTTGCCTCACAAACAATGTCGAAGAAACATGCAGGACAACACAGATCTCGGGCTCGGGAGAATGTGCCAACCCAAACTATTCCAGAATCAACTTAGATAAAACGGTTCAGTCCTTTGAGAATCGCTGCTAGAAGGCAAAGATAATTCATGGCAGTTATTGCCAGAAGAGAAAATGCACATTCAGAGGATGTTGAGTGGCTAGATGAGGATGAAGTTAATCTGTCTGCAATTATCCTTCCAGGAAACGATGATGGTGAAAGATTGATGCCAGTCGTAATTATGGATGACACTTCACTTCACCATGGATGAATGATGTCCAGTGAATATTTTTTTAATTAAACATTATTCGCAGGCCCATAATAAACATATTCAATATATATAATTGTTTTCAGGATTTTTTTTTTAGGCAATGCACTCCATGCCATGGGTATTGCTACAAAATTAACTGCTAAACGACATTTGGGAAAATCATTGTTAAGAAACCGTATCTAAGTACATTATAAATTAGAATGTAAAACATTTGGCCATTTTGGCCTTTTTCTGAATTGGTTTGGCTTTTATTTTTTAAATTTCACTGGCAACCCCGACTTCTTAGGTTAAAGTTAATGAAGAATAATGGTGTATTTTTATTGGGATTAACTTACTATTTCCAATTTCACAATCATGGACTTTGGTAGCTTTTTGAGAATTCAAAAAACAGCTGGAGCAGGTATGTGAATATTCTACCTAGTAATAGCAATAATGGGCTAAAACTGAGGACGGCTGCCACGGCGTCTTTTGTGTGTTTATTATAGTTGCAGTGAATTAGTTAGTTTAGTTATTTTAGGTTAACGTTGAGGGATCGATTTATTTAGGGTTCAGGTTAGGCATAATAGGGATCTATTTAGGGTTCAGGTTAGGCATAGGGATCGATTTAGGGTTCAGGTTAGGCATAGGGATCGATGGTAAAAGTGCAGTTCAGGTGCGTATATTATTTCTGTTTGAATCTCTTATTTTCCCGTGTAAACTTATGTTAATTCTTTATAAAAAGTATTTTAAAAGTTATATACCATCTTTTTATTGGAATACAACAACAATTTAACAAATTTTACGAGATAAAAAAAGTACATTTTTATGAATCTTTCGTGTTTTACGGAGCCATTGTGGTAAATCAAGGATAACTCTTCTGTCTTTAAAGATACTTTATAAAAGTTGCCCAATTGGATGAATCTTGTTAAAATAAAAGATCCCTGTATAAAATAATCCCTGTATTTATTTATTTATACTTATAAATGTAAAAAAATTCCATAGAAAATTAGAAATTAATGTCTAAAGAATATTATTATTATTATTTTGGGGAAATTTTAAAAAATATATTTAACAAATTTTAATTAATTAATACAAATAAGTGTTGAGTCAGAATATTTTATACATTTTTTATAAGGAAAATTATAGACTTTAAAGAATTTTTTTTCTGAATGTTAACAATAACTAAAAATAAAATTTTATGGTGTTTTTTTTTTAGTAAAATGCATATTTAACTATATTCCCTGTAAATATTATATTTTTATCTAATTTTGTTATAAAGTTAAAGGTGTAAAACCAAAAGACAAATAGGGGGTCACAGTTGTGGAGGAAAACTCCATGGTAAAAAAGTGGTTTTGAGGTCCTCACTAAAAAAATCATAACTTTTGAATCACTCGGGCTAGAAATTTAATCTTGGTGTTTTTGTAATCTATTCTACACTATTCTCTGTAGTATTCTATTTTTAATGTTTTAAAATTTACATCAAAGTGCCTAGCTATAGCATTTTTATGCTTGAACTTGAAATGATGGAATTAATTTTTCAAACATTTGATATTGTTGGTTAATATATGCTAACTTTACTTCTTTTTTTCTTCTGGATACAATTAATAAAAAATATTTTAATTTAACATTTATATTACTTCATAGACAACAACATTTCCAAAATTTGTGAGGTTAGGATCAGTGCATTGGTCAGAAAACATGTTAACAATTTTTAAAAAATCAGATTTAAATCTTTAAATATGCAATTAAAAATTTTTTTATGGATTTAAATACTATTAACTATGTTAATTTTCAATCTTTGTAAACATTAATATTCTTCAAAATCTCAAGAAATCCAATTTTTTTAAAAAAGATGTAAGTAATCAATTTAAATAAAATAAATCAGGCTTTTGTTTGTTGTTTTTTCTTAAAATCATAATGTTTATCAGCTCTGCAAAGAAACTTCACCATCTTCTCCAACTGCAAACCAATATTTCAATCGGCAGAGCATCAAGATCTTCCAACAGTAAAATCACTACGTCTCAAAATAAACACCTTCCTCAAACCTTTGTAGTCAAGCTAGCCTTACAAAGGATACCATGGAGCATCCAATGAATAGCCAAACATACCTACATCACTCAAAATTGCAAATCAGCTAACAAAATATACGAATTATAACCAATTTAAGTAAATGAAACAGTATATGTAGGCTTTAATTATCATGAGTGAGACAAAATACAAATTTAAACCTTTCGGTTATGTCTTCTTCAGAAGTGCAGAATAAAAATTAAAATAAATTAAATTTTAGATAATGTAAGTAAGTCCTACTTATTATTATTATTAAAAATGAAATAAAGGAAATGAAAAAGAATGGGCAACACCAGATTTGTGTTATTGGTTAAATTGGGAACATATTCAGCCTGCCATTGGTAGTTCTCTGCTTGAAGAAATTTTTTGTGGAGTCCAAATGTAATTCAGATTTGTTGTCATTTACTGGGAGATAAGATTCGACTAAGCATTGCTTCAGTGCAAGTTTTTTTGTGCTTTTGATAGGAAGGCCCTAATTCATTAAGTATTAGTGTGAGAGGTGTTTTACACTGAAGCATGCTGACTTAAATGACATTTAGTTTCACTCCCTTCACATGTTCAATAAAGCTGTCGTCAAGTCTCATTATTTGAGGAAAGTACAGAAGTTTTGGTTAGTATGTTGCCACAAATAAGCTTTGCCTGTGTGGATGCAATACATGGACTTACACTCTCACAAACAGTTATATCACACTCACTGCCTTATAACAGGCATCTTTTTTGACAATTATTTTAATTATAAGCCTAGCTGAGCCAGTGCCTATAGTTGTCATTTCAGTGACATAAAAGTCATGTCCCAGTGCCACATGCATTGTTAGATAAAAAAAAATATAAAAAGTGTAATTACGATATCAAGATTGTAGGTAATTATATACCAAACAAACTAAAAATATCTATTCATTAAAATTTCATCTTGTACTGTTAAGAAAACTATAATTTAGAACTAATAAAATTGTTTTTAAAGCTGTAGCTGGAGGAAGAGGACGAGGGAGAGGAATGCTTCCTTATTATGATGTGAGGGCAGATCCTGCACAAAGTAGACATTGGGGGCATGAAAGAGGAGATTACAGCTCAAGGGGAAGAGGATTCAATAGAGGTCACTAATATCAACTCATAATTTTAGATGGCTGTCTTATTCAGTCTGATGTCTAATTTTTTAGAAATGATTAATATTGAAACATTGTTTAATTTTGTATTAATCAATATTTTTCCCATGAGCACTCAGTTAATTTAGTTGAAAAATGAGGATATTGTTTCATTTTATTAGAGTTTGAATTTATTTTGTACAGCTTCTTGCTGCTGCCGTAATAAATGTACCCACTATTTCATTCTAATAGCGCAACCCAGAGGTGGTCATTTTGTGAGAGGAAACAGGGGGCACCATTTACAGCATAGACACAACTATGAAAATAACAATGGTATTTAACAGAGTTTCTGTTCTTTAAAGAAATATTTTTTATTTATGTATAAACATTTTTGCCAAAAAAGCTTACAATCAATTAATAAATATTATTTTTATCAACATTTTTTTTTTTAGCAATTTGTGATCAAAATTCTTTGGTATTCATTTATTAATATCTGACATTAAAAATATTCACCAGCTTATTATGAAATGCAATATGGAGATAGCTTGGAATATTCTGAAGACCGATTACGAGAATCTGGAGAACAGTACACAGGTGTTGATTATGGAGACCCTGCACTAAATACAAATACTAGAAACCAATATAAAAATTATGAAGGTGATTTCACTCAACCTGTAGACCAACATATTAAAAATAAAGTTCAACATGGAGACCTGTACAAAAACAATAAAGGCCAGTATGGGGATCAGTATGGAGACAATGAAGGTCCATGGGGAGATCAGTATGGAGACAAAAATGGCCAGTATGGCGTCCATTATGGAGACAGTGAAGATCAATTTGGAGACCAGTATGGAGATGGTGAAGTCCCAAAAGGAGATCAACAGGGAGATACTGAGGGCCACGATACAATGGTATTATTATTTAAATGGTTGCACTAACATCAGTGCACACTTATAATTTGGATAATAAGATTGATAATTGATTCAAACCTTTTTTTTTCATATTTAGGGTAGGGATTTATTTCTGATTCCAGATATGATCTGATTAATTAGAATTATTTTAAAGTTTTATGATTGTGCAGATTGCACCACCTTTAAATTGACTTTTATACTGTAGGATCAATTTAATGTTCTCTGGGTCTAAGTGCCTTTAGCATCACTTCATTTATAAATTGAAAACAAGGGTTCTTTTCTATGAAAATGGTGCAAAAATTTTTATGATTATTTAAAACAAGACAGTTACTGGCCAAAAATAGCATGTGTAAAGAATTTATACACAATTTAAGTAAAGCATTTTAAGGCAAGGGGATTAAACTTTATATTATGAAAATTAACATTGCTCAAAAGGTTGTCGCTCGTGCTAACAAATAATTTATTGGTCAGGAATCTTGTTTAAGAGGGCACAGCTGTATATTCTAAAAATGCAACCTATTCAAAGGCTGTCTCTCTTAGCATTAGATAAATGACAGCCATTACATTTTTTAAAATGTGATATTTTTCAAAGACCTTGTAAACCATGTCAAAATTTCAAGGTGGGGGGGTTTGGGTGTTGTTTGTATCCGAGTGAAAAGCTTAACTTGTTTAATAGTTTTGAATCTATCTGTATCATTCAATTCATATTTTATTCCACTTTGATTAATCAGAAATTGGTAGCAATTAGCTGAATCATATTTTCAGATCAAAATAATCATTGCCTAGTTGTAAGATTAAATAAATCATGTAACCATAAACAATTTGCTTGTTAACAATTATCACCTATTTTCCTAATAAAATACAAATTAAAGAAAAATATTGAAATTCTCTTTTCACAACTATTATTTGATGTTAGGCTTCATTTGTAAAAGCCACAAGCTAAACATAATTAATATTTACTTTTCTTAGTTAATAAATTACATCTTACATGACGTCTTTCTTAACTAATTTAAAGATGCACAATCTTATCTTGATTCAAGTAATGTGTTACGAACTTGAAATTATCAGTACAATAGCTTCAGTGTCTAGGCGTAATTTAATTACTAACAAACCAATGATTCATTTAACAAACGTCTCTTTATTAAAATATACACTGTGTCTTCTTCTTTCATAACGTTCTCACTCAGCAACTCCATTACTAACGCTCCATTACTCAGAATTACTGCTTTTCTAAAACCATAACTGCTTTTCTAAAACCATAACAAAATATATCATCATTTCCCATACCCAAAAACGTTTTAAAAAATACAAATCAAATAGAAACAGCTACTCAAATACTCTCAGCACCAAACACGCACGCACAAAACACGAACAAATCATTAACATAATGTACCACAAACTTGTGATTGGGTGGATTATTTTTTTTAAACTAATAATTTACATTTAGAATGATTTTAAGAGTATGCAAATTTATTTAATTTTTTTTGGATATTATGAACAAAATATTGAAAGATTTGTGAATAATGGTGAAGAAAAGATTTGAACAATAATATCAAAATTAACTTAAGCATTTTTTTTTTACAGTTATATTTCCAACATTTTGCCATCTACCTGGAATAATCAGCAAGAAGCTAATTTCCTACACTAATTAGGACATTTGTCAGGGAAAAATGTAAAATTGGTGGATCACATTGCACAAAATTATAAGCAGAGTATATATTTGTCTTTAGTGTGCTCATAATCCAAGGAGGGAACAAAATTCTAAACTTTACTCTTTAATTTTTCAAGGACACTGAGGAAAGATTACAAAATTCAGAACGAAGTGTTGATGATTTCCAAAGTTCCTCAAACAAAGTCCAACCCACAACAAGAGAACATGAACCAGGGGACAAAACTAAAAATAATCAAGCTGTTAAGGAGGATGAGTGTGAAGAAGATCTGGAAAAAAGTGATGAAGAAAAAGATGAGACCACTAAAGCAATTGAAAAGCTCCCAGTCAGACATCAACGGGGTTTGATGAGCACTCTTATAGGATTAGCTGGTCCAGAAGTTCAAAACAGAAAGCCAGACCCCTTACCTCGTCCACAACCCATGAAATGTAAGTAATAATGTGGGAAATGCACTGTTATGTTTAAGAAAAGTCACACCACGCACTACAAAGTTAAGAGAGTATTTACTTTTATGCCATGTGTTTTTATGCAAAAAATCATTTTCATTATTGGAATAAACATGCTTTGTTTTTAAATCCTTATATTTATATTTACTGTGCTTTTTGTTAGTATTTTTGTGGCAAAATCTTCGAAACGTTAAATGACACACTTCCCATCATCCTATCAAGCTGAAACTTGACACATAGACTCGCTGCTGATGACAACACAGTCTTTCAAATTTACTACCCCACCCATATATCATCATTTCCCATACCCAAAAATGTAAAAAAATACAAAGCATATAGAAACAGCTACTCAAATACTCTAAGCACCAAACACGCACGCACAAACAGCCCCGCCCTCAACCCCAAAAAATCTGTTTATCCTGTTTTTCAAGAGCACGCTAATTAATATACTTCCATCATCTTATTGTGCTAAAACTTGGCACATAGACGCCGACAATGACAACGCATTCTTTCAAATTTTCATCCCCAACCCTCAAAAATCAGTTTTAACTACTGCACCAGATGCCACGATTTCATGAAATAAAACTTGCAATAACTGCGCTAAATAAGATTCTTTACAATATCGCAAGTGTGTTTGGTGCGCAATATTTTCTTTTGTCTTACGGAAATAGTTGGTGTAATAAATCTGAGGTGTAAAAGTGGGTGGGAAATTAGAATATTAATATGGTTCCGGGTCGTGGAAAAATGGGGGGGGGGGAATAATTTGGATTCTTGTACTATGTAATTTTCAGCCCCCAACCTCCAAAAATCAGTTTTTCAAGGGGGAGATGAAGGAAAGATGATGCAATGATTTCTTAAGAACTGTAACCACCGTTAAGTTGCACAAAAAATGCATATAAAGGATATATATAAACATTTTTGCTTTTAGGGGTTGTTAAATTTGGTGAGACAATATATATTTTAATTTAAATTACACAGTTTTATTTTAAAGTTTTTTTTAATGTATCTTCAATTTCAATTGCCTTAAAGAAATACTATCTATATAAAAATATTCCAAGCCTTCCTTCTCCAACCAACTCACCTCAATTGGTACACACTCTTATGGTGGCCATTTTAAAGTCATGCTTGATTTATATTTTTAAGTATGACAGTTGAATCACACACACACCAGCAAATCATATTTATGTTACTTTGAACATTTGAGAGAGTTTAACTGTGCAGTTAATAATATGTAGCTTAAAGTATGAATGGAACAAGAATTAAATGACCATCATTGGAGCTGGTGTCTGTTAGTGTTTTCTTTTACATCATCGATAGTCCTGCACTAACTACACACATTTGTGTCACAGAATAGGTAGCAGACATGTTTACCCTCAAACTCCTAAAATCGTACAATATCATCACAAAATCGTTCAATACATTATCTAAATAGTAAAAAATAAACATGCAGTATATAAAATGTGTACCTCAAAATCGTAAATTGTACACCAAAATCGTAAGAGTAAACAGGTCTGAGGTAGTAATCATCTGATCTCGATTATGTAGTAGCTAGTTTGAATCCCAAGGTTTGGACATTTGTTTTTGCTTTTACAATGAAAATTAAATAAAATTATTAGTTGGTTTATTTTAATTATATTTTATATTTAAAACACAATTGATTTGCAACTGGTAAAAAGGCATTTTTAATTAATAATAATGGTGAGGGAAAGAGGGTGTGGTTTTGGGTTAATAATTAGAGTACATTAGGTTAGTGCAGGCCAGCTGGTGTGCCGTGGTTAGCCACGAGATGCTGCAATGTGTGCCACGGCATTAAGACACCAAGGGGAAAAAACTGCAGAGTTTATGGTGAGTTCAATTATGAATATAATCAGGAACCGTAAAAAAATAGAAAATTGATTAGCTTATTACCAATTTATTATAACTTTGCAAAATTCACAGAATATGTACAAATATAAATCTTGTTTTTTTCTCATTAAGTATGTCAACAATTGTGTTGGAATTTTTGTGTACACCACCCACCCCTTGCTAATGACACCTTTTAAACTTTCAAGGACCCCCCCCCCCCCCTAATTAATTATGTCAACAATTGTTTTCCAACCTCCCTCCCCACCACCCCCAAAAGAAAATAAAAATAAATAAATATGGATTTTTTAAAATGCTTTTAAGGAAGACAGAACACAACAAATTTCTGAAACAAATTTTAAACTTGTACCAGCTAGAATATCTGAATATAGTCAATTTTATTTTGCATAATTTCTTAAAAGACTTGATACCGTCTAAATATTATTGTTATTAAATTTAATGCTAGTGTTTGTTTTTTTTCAAATTCATGTACATATGACAGATGTTCCTCTTTTGCAATAATGCATAGCCCTGATTAAATTATCATGCCATATTGATATTATTATGGAACCAGCTGACTAACTATTCAGTGCTTAAAATATCAGCATTTTCTTGATGTGCAATAATTGTTAACACCTCTATCTGTCTTTTGGCTGCCATTTAAATTTGCTACATCTTTTTTTTTCTTTTTCTAATAATACATTATTGTTATTGTTCTGAAAATTTGAATTTGAGAATTTTATAGCCATTTAAATTATATTTATTTTGCTACAAATTATGGAGGCCTATTTATAATTTATATGCACAATTAAATCAAAGAAAAATAGAATTGTTAACTGTAAGGTCTATTTATCCCCTCTCCCCTCTCTTGTCAACATTTGTCAAACTTTTTCCACTCCCCCCTCCCTCCATATTTTGTTGCCGTAATTAATGGACGGCCCCATATTGGAAATATTTAATAAATCTTAACATGCTTCTCTTAAGATAATTTCTACAAAGGCTAACGCTAAATTGCATAAATGGATGACTTTATTGTACCGGTAGCAACGAAAGAATATTTTGTTAATTGCAAGGTCAAAGGGAAACCTTCTGCCTTATTCTGATTAATTAAACACAAGCTCCTCGACTCACCAAAGATTTTAAGAAATATACCAAAGAAAAATTCTGCATACCATAGGAAAAAGAATGGAGTATTGAATTTTTCTCAACAGCTTCTAGCTATTATTAGATTGATGCAACTGAAATAAAAACAGATCATTAGAAATGAAATAATGAATCTTATACCATTTTGTGTTATCTGGAAAAAAAATCGATTTATTTGCTTTCCAATCAATTGACTTCAACACGAATTTCTGGAATTAAGGAATAATGATAAGCTGAAAATCTGGGAAAGCGTAGGTGTGCCAGGGAACTCTGAGATGGGTCTAAGTGTTTCGTCGGTGAACAAAAGTTGCGGAGCACTGTTTTAGTTGATACATTATGCACAATACATTTTTCAATGTGGTATAATCAAATTAAATGTTATTGTTTTTTTTACCCATTTAGTTTCTTTGTACATTCCAAATTTCTTGATAATTATGGTTTTCATTTATTCTTCTTTTTAGTCTAATTTTTTTTTTTTTTTTTAATGGCATCATTGACTTAACATAATGCCATTGCCAATTTGTACATATTACAGTGGTGGATGATAAAACAATGTATCTAAGCACAAACAAGCAAAATGTATGCAAAATTGATGACAATGCTTTATTGGAATATGGAATCACCCAGAATATGCTAGATGAAGACTTTGTACATTCCAAATTTCTTGATAATTATGGTTTTCATTTATTCTTCTTTTTAGTCTAATTTTTTTTTTTTTTTAATGGCATCATTGACTTAACATAATGCCATTGCCAATTTGTACATATTACAGTGGTGGATGATAAAACAATGTATCTAAGCACAAACAAGCAGAATGTATGCAAAATTGATGACACTGCTTTATTGGAATATGGAATCACCCAGAATATGCTAGATGAAGCTAATTTAGAGATTGATGATACTCCAGCCAATGAAAGGGATTTGTTACCAAATGAAATTGGCAAAGAAATAAACAAAGAGTTTTTTTGCAAGGTATTTATTTATTCAACTTTTTTTTATTTATCCTACTTTGTAATAAAATCGATTAAAAAACACCCCAAAAAACCCTTTAGTTTTGAATAGTTTAATACATTATACTAACTCCAGGGTTTTTAGAATATTTTAAAATAATGTTCATTGTTGTATTAAATTACAAATTTTGCTCACAGTTGTGCCATGTTCAAACTACATCTATGGGCAATTTTCGAGACCATCTTAATGGAAAAGGGCATAAAGCTGTAAGTATATATCAGAATACCTTAAGAAATGTAAAAATTAGACCAAAACCAGTATATTTGCTTGTGTGCTAAGACAAGTATGGCTTTCAACCCAAATTTAATATAATTATAGCGAAGGAAAGCATTTGCAACTAGTCTAAAGATAAACTTCCTCTATAAATATTTGTTGCAAAAATATAGGGAAATTGAGATGGCTCAAACTGCCACTTAAGAGAGATTTATTAGCTCATGTGCACCTTTTGTTAAAAAATGAGTTTGTCTCTCAAAATTCTTGCTGAAAAAGTTATTCTTAATCTGAGGTTTTAATGTGTTTTGAATTTTCTAGTCCTTTTTTATATAGGGCCAAGGTTGTTAACGACTTATTTAAGATTAGAACTACACACTGATCTTGTAAAAATTTAATAAGACACTCAGTTATGTTTAAAGAAAGAAAAAATTTATAATGAAATTACAACTAGGGTTTCTCATGTCCCTTATTTTTTGCATGATACCTTGGAAAAGGGATGACAGAAAATCTTATCCCAGGATAAGATAAATACAATTAAAAATATATTATAAACTAAATTTAACTCTGAAAGAGTTGGTTTTTATAATTCCTTGGTGCTATTGTCTTTAAATGAATTAATAAATATGTTAAGTTACATGAGAGGTTTTTCAATTGCCTTAGTTATTTCATTTTCCACTGCTTAGCCCTAGTAATAGATAAAAAGCTAATAATATTTTTGTATGACAAAAGTCGGATGTGACCGTTTGTAGAAAAATCCTTTACACTTTATATTACTTTAAAGTTTTGCATTTATCCTAGGTTGCAAATTCTAGTTTTAATCCGTCATGAAATATTCGCCACCCAATGTTTCTTGCAACTTGTAACAATGGGTTGTTTCAAATTAAAAAAACAATTAAAAATTGTATCCATATATGCTTATTAAGTCTTACTAAGTTGATTTTGGAAGGAAAAAAAACCTACATAATATAAAAGTAATTTGGCACAAATATAGCCTGGTATAATAAGTTACGAGAGCACAGGTTCCCAGCCAATAGGACGTGACCTCAAATGAGGTTTTGAAGAGATGTCTGTTTGGCTGAAACAATATAATAAGAGAATTTTAAATAGCTTTCTTTTTGAATATGTGTCTTATAGTTTGATTTGCTATAATTTCAGTCATGGTTTTAAATATGTTAGTCAATTAAAATGCCAAAGAATTAAGTTATAATATGTTTTAATTTCCAAGAAATTATCCTAATTAAAAGCCTTTTTTCAATATAGTGCGGAAATATCACTTTGCTTATGTATAAATGTAGTCCGGACTTGAGAACGCTTAAGAATCTGTGTAGTTGAGCTACGGAACTTAATAATTCAGCACAGCTAACTAGATTTTACATATCCTAGCTTATAGTGACAATCTGTGACTTGCTGAAAATTTTAAAAAACAAAATTGTACCGGTATTCTAAAACTTTCTACCTGGGACAGACGAAGTTCTGGGGAAGGCCTTTTTTTCCTAAAAATTGTGCAGGATCCCAGATCGTAGAAGCGAAACTCTAATTATAACAGACCCCAAAAGAACACTAAAAATCATCCATTAAATGAAAATAACACCCCCCCCCTTTCCATCTCCCCTGCCCCGTCCCCTCCTGACAGCTGATGTTAAATAACCTTTGTAAATAAACCCAAAAAAACACCAAAAAACCACCCATAAAAGAAAAAAACCCCCCCCCCCCCCCCACCCTCAATAATCGAGATAAATGTCACAGCTGATGTCATCAATTCAAAGGATTCGAATTAAGAATGATTATAATCAACTTATAATATATGCATTGAAAAAGCACTTGATTTAAGAATGTACCAGTTGACCAATAGAATCTGACATACTGTATTTTCAAATATTAAAAGATAGATGTTGCTTAAAAAATGCTCTAGTCAATTTCTAGAAATTAAAAAGTGTGGTAGTAATTTTTTAGAAGTGGTTTTTCTCAAGACAAGTACTTATGTATTATAAAATCTTGAAAATAAAATCAAATTTTGATATGCAATGTATAATTCCTTTGGTGAAAATAAATGATGTTCAGACTTAAGGCTCACTGGAAATATTGCAAAATATTGTAGGTGTAGACAAATATTTCAATAAAAAATTTTGATCGCAATGAATGTTTAAATATTTTATAGGATGTCTGTCCTACTTTTCAATCCACGAGTTAAAAGTAAAGTTTGAACTTCAGTAATTTTCAATCTCTGTAAACTTCACTCAAATGAAAAACGATTATCCATATCTATGTATATTGAAAAAATCCATACATGTTAGTTAGGGATAGGTTTTGTATTGATGCAAGGATCAGCCATTACCATTGGTGACCAATACAGGGTGCAATTCTCGCTGGGCAGCACTTCAATCAAAAGCATGATTTTGATGTAGTCACCAGACTTTTCCCTATTTTCTAATTTCCCATTCTTGTTAAAAAAAAATTATCATATCGGTTGTTTAACACATTGTTGCTAGAAACAAAAAATATTAAGTTGAACTGTACTGCTCATCACTTTTTTCATGCAAATCAACTGATTAATTTTAAATTAATAATTTATTTACTGCGTGATTCTTGTCTTTTACATTCATGTCAATTTATCCCCTATGAACCATATTAACGGAATATATCCCTACACAATGTTTTAGCCAAAAGTCTGCTCACTCGTTTTTTTTTTTTAACTCACATTTAAAAGTTTCTTTTATCAATCAACTAGCCAATATACCTGGCTTTGCCCGGGTTTGTATTTGGAAAAAAATCTTATAAAGCCTAATAAGCGAAAGCGTAGTCAAATAAACTTCTCTAAAAAAAACTATTAAAATTGTTTTTTCTCCTATAATAAGCCAGATTTAAAATAATTCTTGCAAATCTTGAATTTGGGGCCCATCCCGATTGAGGTTATATTTCTGAAAACAGAGTGCCTTCCATTATACCCTTGCAATGCAGGCTTGTTGACAGGTAATCTGACCATGTGTCTAAACCCGTTAATTTGTTGTTGAGCCATTTACTGGCTGACTGGGATGGCACCAAGTTTTTGTGTTATTTCTTGGTTCCAAATGTGATCCCTGCCAACAGCTCGCCTTAGACATCTCATTTCGCAGATTAATATTTTTCTCTTTAGAATTTTATTCAGAGCCAAGGTTTGACACTGTATCACTACCATGTGATTATCAAATGTCTGTAATAAATTTTGGACATTAATTTATTTTATCTGGTGTTTAAGAAGGTTATAATAAATTTACAACATATATAATTTAATTTAAAAAGTGTAATCTGATATGGACTGAAATTGCCCTGTGTGTAACAAATGATGCTTTTGAGACATTGCAATTCTCAAAATATGCACCAATCAATAGATTGACTAAATGTTGTTTGGGGCTAAATCTTAAAATTATTCTTCTTTCCCAACACACCTATCATATTAAGGTGGCAATAAAAATTTAAAACAGAACTCCCAGGTCAGTAAACCCCTAGATACGCCAAAGCACTCTTTATGCATGCTACGGAACTATGTGATACTTGTAATAATGTGCAAAACCACCCCCACCCCCAATACAACACAATGATCTGTAGTTTATTAAAATTTCCATTTGTTAATAGGATAAGTTTCTATTAACCAGGGAGTATTTGCTCGGGTTTGTACTTGGAAAAAACGTCTAAAGTCTAAAATGTTATCAGCGTACACATAAATTTAGGCACCTGTCAAAAGCACTTCACAAAATTACAATTTAAAATTTGTTTTTATGAAAAGCCAGGTTTATAATAACTCTGGGAAAAATTGAATTTTGGGCCTAGCCCCTTTAAATTAATATTCAAGCTGGGTTTAAAGACCAAATCAAATTTTAAAGATGTCTTATTAAAAATAGGTTTGCAACAATGCCAAAGCTCTTGACGCTAATCAATTAAAATGAAATAGGATCCTTATTCAAAAGGAGCTATCATATTAGTTATACTTAAGATTGGGAACTATACAGGTACTTTAGATGAATATTCAAATTAATTTTTCAAATGTATTCCATTAAAATGGGAAGGAATTAGCAAAGATGTTGCCTTTTAAACTTTTACCATTTGGGCTTCCGGCACCAAAAGAACTTAATAATCTTTAATAGTTTACAGCAGTTGAATAATGTTTAGGTTGAATAATGAGGAAACTTTATTTTCAAAATGGTCCCATTAAAATTGGTTGAAAAATGCAAAAGATAATTGGTTTTATTTAAAATAAAACTTGGCACCCACCTGCATAAAGAGACATGGATATTATTGGTTTGAAATCCACTGATAATTTAAAGGGGATTATGATATGTATGTTTACCAAGTTTGGGCTGGATGTATCAATTTATGTAGAAGTTTGTATTGTTATCTAAGCCTTCTTGTATAAGGAAAATACTTTTTAAAACCTCTTACACTCATTTGGAACTTTCAAGAAACTTCAAAGATATCTTTAAATCTGGTTTCATAGCAGTTTAGGACTATCACAGACTTATAGAAACATATTTTTTGAAACCTTCAAAAATATTAATCTTTTTAAGTAGTCATTATCTCGAAGACTAAAACATCTAAAATAAATTGTCATAACTCTATAGTTTTCCATTAAAGTTAAAATAAGGACCTCAGTGGAGACCCATTCCATTTAGGGACTGAAATAATTCAGCAGTTAAATAGCCTCTGGTTTTTCAATATGCATTTTCAAGTGCATTTGTACCAAGTTTTGTCTAGATCTATCCATAAAGTGTACTTTTATTTATGTAGTTCATTTAAGAAAGAATAACTTAATATTTTATATTTTAGGTTGGTTAATGAACAAATTATATTTTAACAAATTGTCCCATTGAAATTGGTTGACAAAGGGGATTCCCCTTCATAAAAAATATGATATTATTTTAAAATCCACTGATATTTTAAAAAAGATAATGACATTTATTTTCACCTTGTTTTGTCTTGAAGCTTTCATTGTAACCTAAGCCTTCGTATAGGCCTATATCTTTGACTATTATAAGGAAAATACATTTTGTGACCTCCTACACTCTGTTGGAACTTTATATCTGATTTGGAAGCATTTGAGGAAAATCATAGAGAGTCATAGAATCATAAGAAACATAAAAAGGACATTTTTATCAAACCAAATCTAGACAAAATTATTCTGTTTGTAATTTAAGAAGTCTACATTGAATGTACTACTTGTAAATAATTCAATTTAAAAAGTGAAATCTACTATGGATTGATATTGTTACATGTGTAACAAATGTTGCCTTTGAGACATTACTATCCTCATAAAATGCATCCACCCATTTAGGGATGTAGTTTTACTAAATGCTGATTTGGGGCTAATCACAAACTTATGATTCTTCCTTCCACACACAAGTCTACTATTTAAAGTTGGTGATAAAAATTAATAAAAGAACACCCATTATTGTAAAACCTTAGGTACCTCAAAGCACCCTTCCCTGAAGTACAATGGAACCTCTCATAACGAGTTTAATTCGTTCCAGACTCTTACTCGTTAAGCGAAACACTCGTTAAACGAAACAATTTTTCCCATACAAATCAACGTAAAATACGATAAAGCGTTCCATGCTGAAAAACTACTAATTTTTCAAAAAATTTTATTAACATTTATTCAAATAAAATTACTTATGAATTGTTAAGCAGTGTAACAACTTGGAAAACAATTTAGATTTGAAACAAAAACGTAAATAAAAATATGAATTTATGACAAATAATTAATCCTTTTTAACTAGAAAACTGTCTAAAGACATTTGTTTTTGCCAACGCTTCAAAATTTGACGAAAGTGTGTCACAGCATTATCATTGAATAAATTTATAGCAGGAATAGCCACGCTCACACCTTTTTCTCGCTTTTCAATGATTTTACGTTTCATTTCAACAGTTATTTTTTCTCTTTTATGATTGTCTTCTTGTGGTTTTTTTTTTTCGAAGACATTTTAGCATAGGTTATTACACTTTGCACATAAAAAATTACAAATACTGTTTGAAGACAAAAATTGTAAAAGCTGGTGATCACAAATGAAAACAATACGCTAACAGACAGAGTGCTAAACACAGACTAATGCAATGGTTCTCAAGCTTCCTAGTGCCGGGACCCTTTAATAGAGTTTCTCATGTCTTGGCGAACCCCAACAACCTAATTATTTATGTTGCTACTTCATAGCTGTAAGAATATGTGTTTTCAGATAGTCTAAGGCGACCCCTGGGAAAGGGCCGGGCTACCCCCAAAGGGTTCATGACCCACAGATTGAGAACCGCTGGACTAATGCATCAGCTCACAAATGAGTGTCAGGAAAAAGGGACTTCCCTTGTCTGCATAACTCATTATGCGAAATATCGCTCGTTAAGGGAGCAACTTCTTCAAATTTTTTTTTTTTTGCTTATGCGAATTACTCGCTATGAGAGGTGCTTGTTATGAGAGGTTCCACTGTATATGATAATTCTAATGTACTATATTTTGAAAGCACATAAAATAAAGCTTTGTTTGAAATGCTTGCACCAAACAAAAACACACCAAAAACCTTGCTTTTATGGATATTTAAAAGCTCACCGCTATGAATAAAGTCTTATTAATAATATTAAATCAATTACCTTGATTTTTTTTTATTTTACTCTCTACATTTTACGATTTTTTTAAATTATAGCTTTTGGGAAAAGGGGGATTCTGACCAAACTTTCCAGGAACTTCTATAGGTCAGAAGGATAGACCATGTCAAATTTGGTTGCAGTCCATTGTTAAGTTTTCTTTTGATTAATTGACCCCTCTACAAACAAACATAGTCACACTGAGCTTTATATGTTAAATTTTAAAAAAAAAATTTAAAAAATATGAATTTTAATTTAACACAAATAATATTCAAGTCTTAAGAAAGGTGTACTACTTTTTTGTTGATGGTAGGCAGAAAGATCTCCAATTTCAATAAAATTTATTTGTAAGCAAGAAACCTAATTTAAGCAACTATAAAGAATATACAAAATGTAGTTTTTAAATGTATGCTTTTCTTTTTGCCCAACTTATTTAGTAAGATTTTGGTTGAAATCATACTCATCCGAATGGTTTAGAAAATTTTCAATAGATTTAAAATTTACAAGTAGGCCTTACAAAGATGTCCTATTTGTAAGCTCTTCACATAGTCAAATGGCTTTTTCTATAATGTTAGTAATTTTGTTAGTTATCAGACTATAACTAAGAGACATTGATAACTATTGATAAGAACAGCTTTTAGTGCTTTCAAATAAATAACCATGAGAAAGAAACTCAAGATAGAGGTCTTTGATACAATAACAGTATCTAATGTAAATGGATATTGTTAAAACTGAAATATTTTCTCTATGTGTAAAAAAAACTTTGGCTTGTTGCATTTTGTACAATTATAGTATTGTATCACTATCCACCTCTCATGAAATAGTTTCATTTAATTTTGCCAACAAAAAATGGCTTTGTCCTTTTAATTTTAATGCCAAAAACAAAACTTTGGACGAAAACAAAAATAAGTTGAATTCAATATCCCACACAGAGTCAATATGAATCAAATAATATCATTAATAAGTGAATGCATCAAATTATAATTATCAACCCAAAAATATCAAGATAAAAAGGCTAATGTCCAACATTTGGTGAATCATTAATAAGAGGCTGTTGGTCATAACATTTCATGCTAGGGTGTTTGCTTTGTGTCACTGATCTCAAATCAAACTCCTTAGAAAACTCAGCGTTTTATTAGCTTGCTTTTTGAAAATAAAAACAAGCTTTAAGAATCTTTATTACAAATTTCTGTTTTTATTTTCTATTATGCTAAAAACTACCTGGAATGAATCCTTTGTAATTTAAGTTTTGATTGGGTGAAGAAATCCCTTTTTCTCTGTACTGTGAGTATTGAACTAATTGATATTTAAAATTTCACTTACAGTTACAAAATAAATATTACTTTGATGTTATAAGTTATGATACTTAAGTATAGATAATGATTTTGAATATTAACTTTAAATCATTTATTTTATTAAATGCTGTATAGAATTTTTTTTTCTTATCTTTTGCAGACCTATGAAGCGTTCAAGTTAGGCAGTAAGTGGAGGAAACATGTTACAAGCATGACATGTTCAACTTCAACTTTTTTTTCAAGCACAATGAAAGCAATATATAGAATCTATTCATTTATTCAAAACTTAAATTTCTTTATGCATAAACATAATTTAGTGTAATAGATCAGTTTTTTATTTTCCAAAATATGTCTAAGGAAACTTTTTTCAAAGGTAACAGTTGTTGCATTTGGATTTACATGTTAAATATCAGAAAGGCATATTAATTATATTTAACCTAGAGTTTAGAAACTTAGATCATTTACTAAACTGGCTTTATATCTGTTATTAGTCATTTTCTCTTAGTTTTCATTCATGTACTTTTTTTTTAAAGATTAATTTGTTTATCCCCTTCATAAATGTATATGTATTTTAGAAATGATGTTTCGCCTTCATGATCTATTTTGTATGTAAAAAAGGTTAAAGGTTCTATATTATTGCTTAAAAGACCTTTGGCATTTTCTAGCAACTATTCTATCAATAATCCACTCATCAAAAACTTATCAAAACTAATTTGAAACTCAATTTATAATTAGCTATTTCTGCACCTTTTCTAAGATTGAGTTAAAAGCAGGTCTGTTTTTATTATCAAGTTTGTATTTTTTGTGTGCATCTTGTCATGTTTCGTATTTCCAGAAAAACCACCAAATAAAAAGAAGAAAACTGCTGTCATTTCATCAGAAGTGTTGGGAAAGAAGTCAGTAACTGTGGAAATGGTTGAAGGTGTAATAGAGCCCATTCTAGGTATGCAATCATTTTAATTTGCTTGCTTTTATTATTTTATAAACATTGATTCATTTATTGTAAGCTCTAAATTAAGGGTGAAGGGGTTACCCTATTCCGGATTATATAATATAAACTATCATACAATGTGATTGCATTGATGGTGTTTTTTTTAACCTGAAAATTTAGTGTTTATAGCTGTAAAAAAAATTATAACAGGTATTGAACATACTCATTTATAAATCTATTCATTCATAAGTCAACCACCTATAGTTTTGGCTAGGGAAAGCCTGAATAGTGTGTGACAAGTAAGTCGATATCGTTGCATAATATACCAGTAGAAGCAATATGGTACTAAAGAAAATAATTGATATTGTTAAAACCCAATGTTTTAAAACGACTTATTGTGTGCATTAAAAGACTTAAAAACTAATAAACATGCAGTATTATGTTTAACACAGATATTTGCTTAGTATGTCTACCGGTAAAGAGCCCATCTCTGCAATTGCCAAATGAGGACAAAACCAGTGACCCAATTTTGCACATCGCATTATTTTGAATTGCGTTATTTATTTTTTCTTCATTGTTTTCTATAATAGAATAAACTTACCTGGAGATAATTATACAAATCTATGGCCTGCTCATAAGCTACCACCCCACTTGTTCACAAAAAATTTTTTTTTTAAGTGAGCTTATGAACGAGTAAATATGGTAATGAATGATTTACAAAACTAAACTTTTTATGTACATTTTTAAATGTTATTGAAAGTTATTGAGTAACCATTAAAGATTTAAATTTTCAACTCCTTGAAATGGCAGGTTTTTCTATTATTAAACTCTATGGGTATTGCTTCTTTTGAAGAGAATAGCAACAAAATAATTTTATTTTAAAAAAATGTGATGGTTGATGTTTGTTTCCCGTGTCCTATATTTCCTTCTCCTGTTATAACATTAAAATTAAAACACATTAAAATTTACACAAAGCAATTGTGTTAATATTGATCTAGTCTCGGTAACCTAAATGTTATCTTCACAGCTTTTTTTTGTAGGTTTTGATTACTAAATAAGTGACAGTTTTATTTATGGCTTTTAAAAAAACATGTATATATTGAAAATATATTAGTTCTTGCTTATATTTTTTTCAGGACTTTCTTACATAACAGAATATCATAGCCAATCAGGCATAATCAATGTTTGCAATCTTTGCGGTGTAAAATTTGATCGCAATATTGTGGTTTCTCATGTTACTGGGACAAAGCACAGATTGCACTACATGGTAATTATATTTTCTTATTTTTATTGCTTTTGTTGGTACTGTCAGACTGGTTAAAACACAAATGACATTTTGAATTTCTAGATTAATTTTTTTTTTATTTTTAATCGAATAATAAAATTCATTTAAAGATATCCCTTTGGGTCCTGCATATCTATGCTAAACAATGTTGAAATAGTAAGTATATTCAATAGTAAAGTGCATTCTTACATACCAGGCATTAGCCTCATTGATTCATGGAGCCTTTAGCTCTCTTGTCTTTGTTGTGAACCTATTGAGATTTAAATAAGTATATTCAATAGTAAAGTGCATTCTTACATACCAGGCAATAGCCTCATTGATTCATGGAGCCTTTAGCTCTCTTGTCTTTGTTGTGAACCTATTGAGATTTAAATAAATAGGATCATCAACCATACTTTCTCATCAAAATATTGCTGCTCGCAAATCTACGAGTTACATTCTAAATTAAAAGCTCTTCAAGTTTGCTAATAAAAATTTGAATTTACTAATATTCAAATTTTTCTTTTTTAATAAATACTTGCAGAAAGAAAACAGACCTTCAGTTTATGTCCATCTTAAGAAATTTGGTGGGAAAAAATCTCAGCTCTCTGCATTTCTAGATGAGCTGAGTTTGGATGCAGAGCGTGAAGATGGACGTGGAGTTCCTTCAATTAAGGTTTTATTTGGAAATTGTGTATTTGCTATTTATACTTGTAACTGTGCACACATGACCTCATTAACAAAGCAAAGAATTTTTTTACCAATATTTTGGCTTTTTATTACATTTTTGCGGGGGATATTTGTACCAGTATTTGGAAGTCTTTGTACAGTAATTATTATTCGGTTTTAAATTAGTTTGCTTATAATTGCTTTCAAATCAGGTATTTGAGCAGCCAGATCATGATGATGAAGAAGATGCATCTGTAATTGAAATATCTCTCAATGAGGCTGATGATGAAGAAACAAAAGAAAAAAAACAGAAAGAAGCTATGCTGGCACGAAGGAAGCCTGGCAATATTTCATTTCAGGACTGGGTTAATGAAGGTTTGCATTACATCTTCGTTGATATAATTTATTTAGCTGTTCAACTGATACCATTACTAGATAATGTATTTAGGGAGGAAAAAGTTGTGTTTTTTTTAAATTTTAAATTATGGGTCATCTTTTACTTTTTAAATATTTAATCAGTAAGTTTCTCAAGCTAAAAAAATATATTTGTATTAAAATAAGCACTTTTATCAAATATTTTCTTATTGATTTGTACTACCGCACTTGATTTTAATTTGCTTTTTCTTTCATCTAGAAATTAACAAGTCTAAAAGTAAAGGTGCTGAAAAGTAAGTATTTAAATATATTATAGCTTTATGTCAAGCTAATCTTAATTCTTGCATTATTGCTCCAAGATAAATGCTTTTTCTAACTGTCATAAAGTTTTTTAGTTTTAGTGATAAACAAAATTGGTAATCAGATGAATTTCTAAGTGACTAATACAGTTAAAATACAAGATTTTTCTAGATGGTCTTTAGAAACCCAATCAATTGTTTTATCTTAGACTAACATTGAACACATAGTAAAGATCTTAGAAGAACCTACTTAGAATTTTTAATAACTGTGATTATGGCTGTCAAGGGTTACCCTTGTATAGTCTTTGGCAGATGGCTTCTCCATGTGTGAGGTGGGGGCAAGCGTGTTGCCTTTCCAAACCTAATTTTGTTGTTGGCAGACTTGAGCATGATTTGTTCTCATGCTAACAGTACTGGGTATAGGACATGCTTAGTATCATTGTGTGCACTATAAGAAGCAGTGAGCATCACTAACTTTCTTTTCCTGCCTTATACAAACATACAAAGAATGAATCATTTATACTGACGACATCCAGTCACTGTAATATTTCAATGTCTTATTTATTTTATCTACTTTCCCATCATATGGTTTATAACTAAAGACTTCACTTCAAAATCTTTTGTTTTCTTATATTATTTGGTTTGCTTGTGCTATTATATTCAGTTTTATTACCATGCAAGTGTTGGTTTTTTTTTAATACTATATATTTTTTCTTATATTAAAGAGTGAAAAATTATGAAGAAGAAGATTCTAGTAATTCTAGCCACTTTAAATTTGGTGCAGGTTAGTGCTTTTTAATTTGGTCATCCATATGTATACAATTTACCAGCGTGTCGTGCCAATGTGAAAAATTTGTCTTTTAAATTGTACACAACTTAATTCCTAATTTACTGTAGGGTTGTTGTAATACTGGGTTAGATAACATGTTAATTAACTCCTGGGTCATATTTCAATAAATATAAAAGCTAGACACATTGTGTCATAGTGACTGTTAAACCCTAATGTTTGACCAAAATAAAATATGATTAATGATAAATATGGCTAAAATAAAGTTCTTGTTTTTAGTAAATGAAAATATTTCAATTAAATGATTGTATCATTCATTGACTCTGCAAGACTGAATTTTTACGTTAGCTTACTGGTTTTTTTCAACAGGTTCATCTGGTCCTCCAGTAAATAAGAGCATGGGAGTTCAACCCCATTCACTGCACCCTGATTTTCCGATTAAACAGAAATCTCAGCATGGTCCTATCCCTATGTTTGACCCTTTGCTGCACAATTTACCTAGACATCCCCACCATCTGCCTCATTTTTCACATGCAGATGATCATTTACCTCACCGCTATAGACTAGAACCTTTTCTACCTAGGATGGATCCATATTTTGACCCACTTTTTAACCCACTTTTCGACCCATATAGAAGTGATCCACAATTATATCATGATAGACCACTGCTACCGCCAAGCTCCAGAAGTCAACCATATCTAGGCTTAGACCCACTGAAGCAATCCTTGGGCAGAGGATATCCTCCTGGAGATCCCTATTTTGATCCCAACCCATTAAAAAGTGGCAGGAATTTTGAACCTTTTCTTGATCCTGACCCCACAAAACGAGTTAGGAATTCAGAACCCTACCTTGATCCGGACCCCACAAAACGTGTTAGGAATTCAGAATCCTACCTTGATCCAGACCCTACAAAACGAGTTAGGAATTCAGAACCCTACCTTGACCCAGACCCCACAAAACGAGTTAGAATTTCGGAACCCTACCTTGATCCTGATCCACTGAAACGTTTACCACCCAAGAAGACTGTTCCCACACCAGTAGTCTTTGATTATGGTCATGGAAGTGGTGACAAAAATGATACCACCCCTCATAAATCATCTGTCCAGAAGACAGCAGACAAATGGGAAGATGATATCCAACAAATTCTTGGAACAGACACAAACAAAGCACCAAACAGCTTGGCTATTCTCAGCAGCAATTATTCCTCACCTGAAAGATCTCCTCCACCCGTACCAGGAAAAAAACCACGCATGACTGATAAGCCACTGCCTTTCTCAAGATCTTACCTAGAAACGCATTTGCCCCTCAATATTCCTAAAGTTACTGGACCAAAGAAACCAGAAAAGATTTCAGACTACAAGTCTGGTTTAGGACCATCATCTTCTAACAAGGGTTATATTGAAAAGGACTTAAATGACCCTAAACCAAGTTCCTCTCAAGAGCATCGTTCAAGACATAAATCTCAAACCCACGGTCCTGAACATGATAAACAAAGTACCTATCAAGAGCATTATTCAAGACATAAATCTCAAACCCGCAGTCCTGAACATGATAAAAATCGCAGATCTAGAACACCAGACCACTTAAAGGGTAATATACTAAGAAGTTCAATTTCAATAAGCAGTAGAATATTTACCTTGGAAGCACATAAGTATTCAGATAGCCCTAAGCATTCATCAAAACGCAGACATTCCAAAAGTCCTGTTGATAGCAGTTCAAATAAAGCAAGATGCCCAAATGCCTCACATCTTTCAAAGTCTACAGATAGGTCTAGAATGTCACCTTCTTCAAAAAAACATCAAAAGAGTTTTGAATCCCAATCTTTGGGCAGAACTCAAGCTGACACAAAAAAGGAAATGCAGGTAATTTTTATTTTATTGGAATGCCTATACTATAAATGACTTCAGTAAACCATTGGCATTCCATTGAACTATTTATAAACATTGTGCTGTGATTTAATTATTTTCGTTAATTATTAATGCAATTAAACAAAATTGAATATACCAAGTACCACAATTATGATAGAATTTTAATTTTTTTATGTACCGATTATTACAGTTGTTAACTTTTAACCAATTTTATTGAATCTGATAATTATCTTTTTAGTCTCAACTTTTTTTTTTCTTTTGATTACTTATCATGATTGAAATGGTAGAAATTTTCTCATTGTTCTCTAGGATATTTTGTCAGAGGCGGATGAAGAAGCACAAGCAGAAAAAATTGCAAATTTATTGTTACAAATGGTGAGTTTTAAGTTATAAACATTTATTTTTAGTTACTACCCCATTAAAAAAATGATGTTAAGTTACTCAGTAACTTACTGTAAATAGTAATATTTGAAATAAATTGCTTGCCCAAAAAAAAAGGTATATCAAATGAACAAATGAAGAGCATTTAATTAACATTCTTTTTCAGTCTGGTTCATTATCAGAGGCGGGAGATGCACAGTCAGCATTGCGAAAGTTGTTTGCAAATTCAGATCTGACAGAAGCATTGTTTGCTGCTAAAACTAACTCAGATGAAGTAATTGTAAGTAAACGAAATTTCCAAGATAAATTTGTCTTGTATATTTGCAAAGCTTAATTGATCATGTTTTTAATGTTTAATTGTTCCACTGGTTGTTAACTTATAAATAATATGATATTCATGCAAAATCATGATTGCCAGGCCTTATTTAGTTTCTGTTGGTACTTCATATTTTAAATTTCTATTTCATTTTTTTTATTTTTAAGCAAAAACGTTTAACCAGCCATGGAAAGCCTGACCCACCATCTCAGCCTCATAGACAAACCAAGGGTAATGCTTCACAAACTCAACCACCACCAAGAAGAGAAAGGGTTACTTTCTCGTTGCCAGTTTCAAGTAAAGGACAAAATTTTCGAAGCACTCTGCCATCAGATTTTGCTGCTGATGAAGACACTGAATAGAATTACCAGATGTCATTTTCAAATTACACTATAAATGTATGCCAGTGTTGTTATTCTGTGTAAAGCTTGATTGTTCTCATAATTTTCTGTTGTTCTTTGTTAATTTTTTTGTTTTCAGGTTATGTGTTAAGAACTAATTTTTATAATCCACTCTTACATTATACTATGCTGCAAAGTCCCCTTCTTATTTCCAAAGTACCTGCTGATCTAACTTCCAGCTGATGAGCTGAGACATGGAATTTCATCCCGTCAAGTGCCAGACCCTGTCAGTCTCCAGAAGCAGGTTCCCTCTAACCCCTCTTACGAACTGCATGGCCATATTCTTGAGCCAGTTTCCTCCGTAAAGTACTTGGGTGTTACCATCCAAAGAGAGGTCCGCTGGGACGAGCACATTAACAGTGTGTACAACCGGGCAAACAAGACCCTGGGGTTCCTAAGGCGCAATCTGAAAATCGGCAACTCAAGCGTGAAAGAAAAAGCCTATAAAGCCTTTGTCCGACCTATTTTAGAGTATGCTTCTACAGTCTGGGACCCATTTACCCAGAAAAGCATAGACAGGTTGGAGGCAGTCCAGCGACAGGCAGCACGCTTTGTCATGAACCGCTACAAAAGCACCTCGAGTGTTGGTAGCATGCTGGAAACACTGGGCTGGTCGACATTGGAAGAACGACGACGACTATCCAGGCTCACCATGTTGTACAAGATAACAAATGGGCTGGTGCACTGCTCCGGAATCAAACAGAAACTCGTTCATCTTCCCCCCAGACTGCGACGAAGTCACGACAAACAGTTCCGGCTGGTAAAAACAAGAACGAAGTACAGAAGCTCCTCATTCCTGCCGAAGACAATAGGGGACTGGAACAAGCTTCCAAAAGCAACAGTTGAGGCGGCTACACTCGATACATTTGTGTCTATTGCCTCCTGTATTCCAACCCCCAGTTCATAACACCACTGCTGAGTCGCCCTTGCAACCAGTGAAGTATCCCATTGAAACCCATGGACAGTAACATCGCAAACCCCTCTGAAACATAGGAGCCAGAATGATCAATTCATTGATCGTGGGCCCTTAAAATAAAGAAGAAGAAGAAGAAACCTCTTTTGCTTTACTATCCTCTTTCAGGGCACCTAGCATCTTATCTTCGATTCAATGTAACTGTATAAGGTTTCTGTTATTCTTGCAAAAATATAGCTCTTCTTTCTGAAGAATTCTAAATCTAAATGATTTTACAGTCTTTCCTTACAAGAGTTAGAAGTTGAGAATGGCTTTCCAAGTTCTTGAGTAGTTCTTTAGCAAGCTTAGATGATGAAACCATCTAACTCTAACTGATGAAGAATTTTTTTAAAGAAAGAATCTATTGAAATTTGTTCATAATATTATATTGATGAAATTGATGTTCCTTCTGTTGACAATGACTCTGAATTCAGACTTAAGAACTTCCAGATACTTGGTGGCTAATGCTATTTTCTTAGTGAGTACTGGCTAGTGATGTGCAGGCCATAATTTGTGCAGGTTGTTAACACCAAAACTAAGTTAGGCAGGAGTGGGTTGATTTTTTTGGTTGAGTTACAAATTCATTGGTCCTGAATGGTTCTTGTTTTTGTTACACCTGCATTACAAATAAAGTGCGATAGCTAACAATAAAATGTCACTTATCAAATCAGTGTTAAGTTTTGTAAGAAATATTTTATTTCATTAACAGAAGCAACCATTTCAAAAAGCATTCTCTAACTATAAACATCTGATGACTTTTTTTATTGTGCTATCCGATTCAACTTTCCTGCCTCTCTCTTTAAATTTGACTGGCATTGCTGAACTCTAAATAATAAATAAAACTACCTTCTTAATCCTCATGTTTTTATAATAGTACTAATACTCGTGAATCATGGAACACATAAAATTATCATGTTTATTTTTCTGCAGTAACTGCAACAAAACCTACGAACACGTCTTAAAATAAACCATTGTTCAGACTTGGTTCAAAGTTAACATTAATTAACATTATCATCAATTTGTTTCACATTAACAGAATTTCGTTACAGTACCTGATACTTAAAGTATTTTCCTTATCAAATTTTACATTTTTAGTGATACTTTTGCACAATCATGACTAAAATTAAAATATTTAGATTATATCAAATACCGTACCGTAACCCAAAAATATCAATAATGATAAAAATTCTAAGCATTTTTATTGTATCTGCCACCTTTACTTAAAAAGTAAACAAATGTAACTTGCAGTTTATTGCATCTAACGACACAAAGCAAATTATAATAAATTACATTGTCTAAGATGATAAATGAATAGAACTTGAGAAATTGCAAAATTCTCACAAGATTTTTTCTATTCACGAATTATGAATTTTGTTGATTGTAAACATAATTTTTGTCTACAGATATCTACAAAAGCTTGTGTATTGCTACCACAGAAAATGTATAAAGGGGCCATCCATACAGTATGTAGGCAAAAAAATGTCAGTGTGTGGGGAAGGAGGCTCTCGACCCCCCAACAGTGGCGTAGCTGGGGGGTGCGGACCGCATCGGGTGACACCATCTCAGGGATGACACCAAATTGAAAAATTACATATTTACAGTGCACTCACTGCTCGGTCCAACCGAATTTCACTTAAGGATAACTGATCACATGTAAATTGTTCACACTTATAACCAATCAAAATTCTTGCTTTATTAAAAGTTCAAAGGTGATGCGTTCGAATTTAGAAATGAGGGGACCCTTAAATTAGGTCAGGGAAAAATGCCATTTTGACCATAATTCAGCGCTGATTGAAGTGTTCTGTAACTTTCGTAAGTAACAGAAACCTATGTTTATCTAAATTCTGAGAAATAAAGCCGTCCATTGATAACAAAATGCGATGTGGTCGGGCAATTCTAAGTACATGAATCGAATCAGTAAAAATTAAAAACATTTAAAAAATGACTTTTTACCCATTTATTTATAATTTATGGGGTTAAAGAAATATATTTTTTTAAATTCTAATATCTTTTAATAATTCATTTAAATTGATTTAATTTTTTTTTTTGAAAAAGTGTTTTGAAACCAAATGTATTGAAACGTAGAAATACTCAAAAATAAATTTGTTTTTGCTGATTCGTCAGTATCACTGCTCCTCAACATTTCAGCACCACGATCGTCACACAGCACAGGGTCTTTTACATGCTGTCTGTGATTTCGCGTTTATCTGTTACCTATATTTCAGGAATCTGCTTGAGGAAGTTAATCTTTCACAGCTGTACCTGCAGACTAAAACCAAAGGCTTACTCTTGACAAAGTGTTGACCAACCTAGAGGCCTTAAGATTGTTTAGGAGTCAAGCAAGTGAAGAATTGTTATTAGTGCCCGTTCCTAAATGAACCTTTTTCTATAATGATTTATCAGAAGGTGAACTTTTAACGAAATACTAAGGCTTAGAAGTATTAGAAGACACCTAAAGGCAGCTGATACTGAATTTCACAAAGTCAAGGAGTGGTCAATATTTGATACTTTTAAATTTATAACTGAATGGGACTTCCTAGAATCTCTTCCAATACTCTCAGTCAGTAAGGATTCAATAGTTTCTTACGATCTGTGTGTCTGTTGCTTCATGTGAGCGGAGCTTTTCAAAACTTAAGGCTTATAATAGTTATAAATAGCTATTGACGATCCACCATAGGACAGAGAAGGCTTCTGATCTGGCTCTGCTATCAATTGAAAGGGATATGGTGAAGGATTTTGTTTTTAATCAAGTGGTTGACAGGTTTGCAGCTTTGACTTTGAAGACCGGGAAAGGAAACTTTTATTACTTTTAAATAAATTAAATTTAATGTAAAAATAACTTGAAGTTGGTACGGTTCTTAAATACATTTAACTCCTGACCTTCAATTAATGTCTTCTTGTTGTTATGGTGTTGACTTATTTTAACAAGAAGAAATACATTGTGGTCAATTGGTAGTCAGGGGGAATTGGGGGGGGGGGGGCACTAGGAGTCTACCGCACCGGGTGACACCAACCCTAGCTATGCAACTGCCCCCCCCCCCCCAACATCAGGGAGCTGCTACAAATTGCCTTTATATAGGACCATTATATTTTAATATACTAAATTAAACAAAACCCCATGTACTGTATAAAGACAACGGGCCTAAATCGTCTATTTACTGGCATGCTTTTTTATATAGCTTTCTATATCTAGAGGTATGATATTGTCATGCTTCCCTCCAGGAGACGATTTTCCTCGGCACGACTCTGCTTTGGGATGCTGTGTTATCCTAGGGCAGGGGTCTCAAACTCAAATCATCCGGGGGCCGCAGGAGTTAGAATCTGAGTGAGACTGGGCCGCACCAAGTATTCCACACAAAAAGGCGATTACAAATTCATTAAAGTACAACTGTTACAATCTGCTCAACCTTCATTAATAACAAATAAAACATTAAGGATTATCAAGAACTAGACTTCACTTTCTTCCTCCTACCCTTGTTGCCAGGGATCTGGCACAGCATCTTCTTTCACAGCTGAGCAACATTTGGCTTGAGTGAGGAAGCAACTGAGCTATTCACACACATAGGTACTCCCAAAAGAGGCATTTGATCCGCTTGAACAACCTGCAAATCTCAGTGAAGGTGGAGGACAATGCTCTCATAAACTGTCCACGCTTGTCTGTTTTTCCAATCACCTCTCTGAATTTAGCATTGAGTTCAGAATTGCACTGAAGATCAATCAGCTCCATTTGAAGCGAAAAAAATATATAAATATAACAGAGGGTGGAGGTGGTGTGATTACATCTTCCACAATAATGAGAAAGGGTCGGAAAAGATTTGAAAAGTGGCTCTGCGTGTTTTGAAGTCTTAAAAAACATGTGACCGAATTCTTTCTGTAGTTTTGCAATGGCATCAGTATACTTACTATTGAATTGTAGGCCCGAGTCCATGAGTTCTCTGCATGTAGGGAAATGGCAGGTGTTTACCTAAGAACCATAACCCAAGTCTTGTGCAGAATGGCCTTGACATTGTCATATAGGCAACACTGACAAGCTACCCCTGGTCTTGTAACTTCCTGTTGAGTACCTTCAGCTCCTGTGTAATGTCAACAAGAAAAGCCAAGTCCATGAGCCATTTGGGATCCCTTAGTACAGGAAAAACCAATTCATCCTTCTCCATGAAGGCTTATAATGCTAAAACGTGTTTAAACAGTAGGGGAGCAGGACATATTTATGAATTATGATGCAAAGGAAGATGCTATTGTAATTGTAGGTAGAACAAATTTTGATTTTTTTTTATCGTAGTAAAGACCTTTTTGACTATCCCTATTTCAAAAGTGACCAAGCTGGAAGCCTCGAAATTTCCCTCACTCGTGCACACTAGCTACAATTTTAATAGGGATTCTTTGATACTATGTCAGGTTGCTACGATTTACACAATTATGGTTTTGCATTACCCAGCAGCTGACTTTTATAAACTTTTCTCAAAACCGCACTTTGGCCATGTTTGTCTCATAAAATGCTATACCCGGTAAATTAAAACTTTTAAAAGTTCCATTTTAAAACAGTTGTTACCATTATAATCAACGTTCAAACCTATACAAACATAATAAAATCAGAATTAGACTAATAGGTGAGATTCGACTGAAATCTTCGCGAAGGGTCACGTTTTAGATATGAGAATTGTGGAAAACGCGCGGGCCGCATTAACACTAAACTTTTCTGTTATATAGCTGGCTGCAAAATATCGTCTCTCTCGGGACGCATAAATGTCCCTTTTTTAAACCCAACACATTTTAAATCATTAAAACTTCCTAATTTATAATATAACCTCAAGTGACATTTTGGCTAGCTTTTTTTTTTTTGTAGCCAGTGCCAGTAGTGATGTGTGCTCGCGTGATGGCTGCACTGTTCCCCCTCCACCGACGCTGCGTAAGCGAGTGTCCATGCCATAGATGTTGTATGTATAGCGAAAGACACGAGACTTGAAGCGGGGGGTGGGGGGGGCGTAACTGCGCAGAAACCAATTTTGGATTCCGCTACCGCTACGTGTAATGAAGTGAAGGTAATTTTAAAATATTTCTAGGTATCAAAATAGTTAACATGAACATATTTCAATAACCCGTTTCCGGCGGAGGGACCCAAACCCTTCTTTAACTGGAGAGTATCCCCCCCAACCCCAAACAACTCTCCTAGGGTGTGTCCCTTTTTTCCAGTTCATGATTTGGTCACCCTACCCTAGTACAAACCAATAACTCACTTGAGTGCTGACTGTTGAGTAGGCCTATATTTTCCTGTTTGGCTACGTTTGCATTAAAAATAAAGTGGCGTAAAATGTAATCTAATAAACTTATATTACCGGGTACCACTTTTAAGGAATGTCATGCAAAATAAATAAGTCTGCTAAATGCTTCTATGGCTGAGAATTGAAACCCAAATCATGAGTCCATTTGACGTCTATCAGAACCTCCCCTCCACTAAAATAAAAAAAAAATAATATTTTAAAAATTTTAAGGAATGTCATGCAAAATAAATAAGTCTCCTAAATGCTTCTATGGCTGAGAATTGAAACCCAAATCATGAGTCCATTTGACGTCTATCAGAACCCCCCCCCCCAAAAAAAAAAAAAAATAATATTTTTACAAAAGCTGATGTCTGCTTGTGCTATCTCTAAAAGGATAATACGATTGTACTTATATAACTTGAAATTTATTTTTGTCAACAAGACCAGTTCTATCATACTGCAAATTATGATGTGCTGACACTAAACTTAGTAATTTACTCAAGCAATATGTAACCAATGACCTTGTTTGTACGTAAGTCCTGAGTATAGCGTGAGTGCATTGGTGTCTCGCTATGGACATGGTGTCTTGCTATGGACAGGGTGTCTTGCTATGGACAGGGTGTCTGGGTATGGACAGGGTGTCTTGCTTTGGACAGGGTATCTCGCTATAGACAGTGGGGCATCACTCTTGGCGGAATACTTCCCTTTTTTAAAAATGCATGTTGTATTGAAGTTAGGATACTAGATGCCCTGAAAGATGGGAAAACAAAAGGGGTTTGAAAGTTGGATTAGCAGGTACTTTGGAAATTGGAAGGGGGTGCAAGGAGCATGTAAGAAGGCACCAAGAGAGCATTAGGTCCATACACTTCAAAACTACCACCCCACAAGTCCAAGACAGGTCAAGTTATCATGAACCCAAACGATCAACTTCGGCGTTGGGTTGAGCATTAACTTGAACTAGACGCAACAATGAGTGTAGTCACTGCGACCGCATTGAATAATATTTCCGTCTTGTCAATAATGGAAGAACTAGATGAAGAACTATCTTTGCAGGAGCTTGAAAATGCAATTGATTTCCTTGCTGATGGGAATGCTCCGAAGATTGGCGGGATTCCTCGGAAGACCTAACAAATGGAAAACCTTACTAGTTTTACAGAACTGTAGGCTTGTATGAATTTCTTTTACTAGTGTCGTTCTAGTTCAGGGGTCACCTAACTTTTTTCACGACGGCCGGATAACGGAAAAAAATGACGATCGCGGGACGGATAATTATTCTGTACAATACTTGCAAACAAGGACGAAAGCGCTGGGGAAAAAGCGAAAAATGTTTAGTATTCCATGTTAGTCATGTGTGAATGGCGAGCAATGCAAAAAAGCAAAGACAACCAACATTTTTTTTTTGTTACTATATAAAAGTTATCAAACAAGGTGACGTTAGCAAAAAGATAGTTACATCAAACCTAGAGCGCACAAATTCGAATCTCACAAACTAAGCGGCAAAAAATGTTTGTGAGATTTGTGAAGCTGACGTTTGGCTTTCAAGATATCATCAATGTTTGGTTTGGAATTGTTGCATCCAATCAACAGAATTGTTTTCAAATGTTCATCAATCCCTCTCGTTCGATGTGTTGACTTCACATACATTATTTTTGAAAATGTTTGCTCACAGCCATAAGTTGTTCAATGCATGCTGCAAACCGATGCCAACTCTTCCGTTATCTAAATGTCCAAATTGACACTACTCATAAACACGAGAGGTTGTGAGAGATCAGTAGACTTATCCAGTGCCAAAGAATACCACAGCAAGTTCCTAGCGTTCTCGCGTGTCTGTAGCACTAAGTTCTCTCCAAGTTCTTCTGTTCTACGCACAACTGAACTTGCCGAAAGGCTGATAGTTCCGACCGCGGCGACTACGATTTTTATGTCACTGTACGTTTCCAACACTTCATTTCCTTTCACCCATTTACAGATTTTGGTGGTTATCAGACTATAATATATTAGCAGGAATAACCTTTATGGAAATTGATTCTTACTTTATACCTTTAAAAAAAAACACAAGTATTTTCCTAAAACCAACAACCTCAAAGTTACTTGGTAGGTTTTTTAAAATGATGTCGTCATCATCATCATCGTCATTGTTTTATGCTGATCTGAGTTCGAGTTTGAACCACGTTTAATTTCACCAGTAACTTTATTTTTACCAGTGATAGACTGTGATAATGTGATCTGTACGTCCACCCATTATAAATTATAGCTATTGTATTCATTATATATCATGCATGTTTATTTATTTAAAATAAGTACCGTCTTGTACGATTTTGAGACGATATTGTACGATTTTAGAGTTCAAGGGTAAACCGGTCTGTAATTAAACAAGAAAATCTAGATACAATAGTTTAAAAATAAAAATGGTAAATTTAAGGCGCATAGCAGCCAGGAGGTGTTCCATAGGTTTTATAAAGCAAGTTCAAGTACCGTCAGCAGGCGGATGAACTGGCCTCGCGGACCGTAGTTTGGTGACCCCTGATCTAGTTGATTGGAGGTGTCCCGAACGACGAAATATATGTACCAAAATATTATGGCCCAATTTTAGTTGACACTCTTACTCTTAACACATCACACACATTACAGAATACACTGCTCTAACTCTAAAAGATAGTAATGGTTCGCATACGGCACAATATTGACAATTCCAGCCTAAACCTACTTCTCGGCAATAAAAAAGAGAGAAAAAAACGTTTGCATTGGTGGATTTCCATATATTATTATTAGTGGTTTTATTTTGCGTGGTACCCCAGATATATAATATAATATTATCATCGGATTCTGTCGCTTCATCTGTGTCTTCTTTGTAATTGAAATAAAATATTGTTTAATTTTTAGTAATTTGACTAACACAATTTGAGCAAATACATCCTCCTGAAAAATAAATATTATCTTAATGCAACTTTTAATTTTGCTAATCATTAGTGACATTCATTAGCAGACTGCAACACAACCTGTTAATTAATGTTGCTTAGTTTAGTATAAGTATAGTGTAGATGTCCTTCCTGAGGCCTTCTTATGCCTAGTGACTAGCCTAGTGCCTATATTAAGCTCTATCATAATAATCATATATTCAGTTCATTTTTTGTGCTTGAATACTTCGGGTTGTGTGTCATCAGCTTGTGCCATACCCCGGTACTCACCCGGTAGGCTACTGGCTACTGTAAAGACTAAAAACTAAAGAAAAATTATTGTAACAGTAACTGGCTTAGAAAAATGGGCCAGGCTACATCTGATCAGTTCACTCAGGAAGCTGTATTTTTTGTATCCACAAATAACAGTTCAATTACTTAGACTTAAATTTAAGGCTTAAAAGGAGTAATTACTTAATATCACTGGCAGCTGATTTCCATCTGCCAAACAGCACTTTAAAAACAAATTAGATTAGGCTAGGGGCCATCCATAAACAATGTCACATGTTGAGGGGGGGGGGGGGGTAAGCTCACAACCTTGTAAGTGATAAGTGTAAGGATGTATTATTAAAGTTTCTAATTTGTATTACAAAATGGATGGAAAAGGATGGAGGGGGACAAAAATAAGGGACAGGGAAAATAGCATGGCATCCTTTCTGAATGGATGGGCCAAATGTTAAGTTGAGGCCAAAAAACTTTTTAAAAACTCTATAGTTACAAAAGGGACAGAAATTTAAGGCTAAAGAAGGTATATTCTAACTAATGTTCAAGAAACCTCATTGAGCAGCAGTATCACGACTAATCATCATAGCAGGGCTGGATTATCCATTTGGCCAAGTGTTAAAAAATATTGGCTGTATTTTAGCAAGGAAAATATTATAGGGCTATTGTCATGTATGCTGGTATTTCAAAATTAATTCTTATAGTGAGGATTTACCAAAATACGGGCTTTTGCTTTGAGCTGTACATACAAGGGGCAGCTTACAATTAAATACTACACTTTAGCATGCTAATTATTAGTTTTAAACATTATTCTGGTGACAAACATTCTTTAAACTATCCTTGATTAAATATCATAGTCATATTAACAACTGGAAAAGACTGTTTAACATTATGATGATGTATTGCTGCATTTAAAGTATGAGATCTAAAAAGACTTTGCTGTGCTCTCACATAATGCTAGTGTATTCTGCAAGCTTCTCCTTTTAAACATCTTATTATTTCAGTTTTTACCTATCAACTTTTTCTGCGTTCATGAAAGTAGGCTTGCAGCCAACACATACATTGCAAATTATATTTCATCTCTTGTATTATCAAATGATAAAACATCTCCAATTTGCGCCCAAACCACCCCTGCCCCTCTTTTTATGTATGCCCCAATAGGAACATTTTTCGGCCTTTGTTGTTTCACTTTTTTATTTTTTATACCAATATTTCTATGAACTTGTTCTGAATGAAAGGCAGTATGTATAACTTGATAAACTATAATGAATAGCATTACAATTTTTTTTTTTTAAAAAGAGCATATAAACATGCTCGTAAGACATTTAATTGAAGTATTTCTAAAGTAATATTAATAGAAGTAGCCGACATTATTTAAAATATTTTTTAAGAATGGTGAAAGTAATTTTTAATTTAACACCAAAACTAATAAGGTAACAAATTTATTTACTGGTACCAAAAAATATTTGTAGCTTTTAGGAGGTTTTCCTATTTCTGTACAAAATATACTAAATATACCATAGCCTTAATTTCAGATCCTCATCTTAGATATTTTTGTTCTGCTCATTTTGTACCCAGCATGTGTTAGTTTTTTTATTTTTAAATTTGTTGGGCACAAATAAACTAAAGTATACCATTTAAACATCATGAAAAATTGGGATTTATTTCAATAAGATAACAATTATTTATAAAGGCTCCAATGTGACAACTAAATTGATTTCATCATAGCAAAATGAGGCAAAAGAATATAACTCTAAATTAGGAAATCATAATTGAAGAAATACCTCTATAAATAAATGATAAAATATTACTTAAATTTAAATGTTTTGTGATTTTAGCATCTTTTATTCATTTAAGTTTTACTTTTTTTATTTATAAAACCAATGTGTCTAATATTATTAGTTATAAAAAATTAGGTCTACATTTACATTACCTTCATTTATCGCATTAATTTTTCCCATATGTTTTACATGTGGTCCATAGATTAACTCCTAATACTTTTGAGCTGCAAAGTATTTTATCTTATCAGTGAATACCAGTGTACTACTATGATAGTACTATAATTAGGCTGTGTATATTTTATATTAAAGGCTATTTTGGAACTTGTAATTTTGTTAGGCCTATTATTTGCATATATTTCTCACAGAATAATGGCTAAACAAACCATTAGTAGTAATGGAGCAGCACTATCAGAGGAAAAAGATATTTTTCTTGTTCAAGAAGAAACTAACTCTCAAGGAAATAAAAGCAAGGAAAAGCCAACAAACAAAAGCTTAAAAACAAAAGACAGTTCCCTATACAGAAAAAAGGTGTTTTTTTCACTATGGTTGGCAGTTTCACTATTTTCTTTGGTGAGTAATCATTTTTAATAAATCTTTTGAAAGTTTTTATAATTTTGATCAGTAAGATCAAAATAAGACGAACTGGACAAAAAAATAATGTTTAATGATTTAACATATATTTTAATTTCATAATTTACCCAAGTCAAAATTCTAAATAGCTTCAAAAAAATTTTCCAGCAATAAATAGAAATGTTTTCCTGAGTTGTTATTTATATTCGATAAAAAAAACCTGAAATAAAAATTTCACATTAATTAATTAACATGTTTGAATGTTTCAGGGTGTGACCGTAGGACAAATGGGACCAACGTTTTTGGATCTACAAATCATCACTAACACAAATGTAGAAGAAGCATCTGCATTTTTTACTGGGGCATCAATCGGCTATTTGACTGGTTCCATGATAAGTGGAGCAATTTATAATAAAGTAAGTGGTAAATTCTTTCCTTATTTGTTTGACCACTCAATTTTGTTTTGTTTTGATAAAATAGACAATTATTAATCCCTCGTCAAGATAGTTGGCTGCTATTTGCTGACTTAGGTTGTTGAGATTGACATTTTACACTGAATTTGCCAAGCTGACTTGGGTTTCTTAAATGGGATCCCAAGATCTGGTATAATCTCATAATTTCAAGGCTAAACAAAAGACTTCAAGGGGATTCTCCCATTCCAGGATTTCCTGGATACAAACTATAAGAGTACAATTTTCTTGCTGTTTTAAATTTACAGATTGACACAAATTGTCGTTATATGACAGGATCAGTAAAACTAGTCTATTAGGCTGTATTATTAAGCTCAGTAGCAGGGTTCTCGAAGGGATATCAAGCCACGATTAAATTTATATAGAAAAAAAAGTGACTCTTACCACACAATTTAAATTTAAACAACCCCTAAAAACAAAGTTTTTCGTATACATCCTTTATAAGATGTAATATCCAGAAAAGGGGGTGGGGGGCTAAAAATTTGACAAAACATGCAATCAAGTAATGCACATTATAAGAATCCCACTTAGTGCTCTGCCCCACTCCGAATGAGTTGTCATTGGCAACAAGTCTATATGCCAAGTTTCAGCTTTATAGGGTCAATTAGCCGCCCAAATACTTTGCCTTAGCCTTAGGGGTCGTCCATTAATTATGTCAACAGTTTTTAAGCAATTTTTATCCCCACCCCCCCCCCCCNCCTCCCCTCAAAAAAAAAAAAGAATTATATTATAAATAAATTTATAAATACATTTTACTTTGTGCTGATCTATTTTAATGACACAAAATTGTAGGAAAAACATTTAATTACATCTTTAGCTTTTAATCAACAAGTTAAAACGTTTTTACACTTAAATTTTATAATGCAGAATCAATTGAAAGGTTGTTAAAGATTAAATATCATTTTTTGTGGTATAGGTATGATTATTGTCAGTAAAGCTGACAATTTTGGCATAGTTTCTAGCATCTATCATCTTCCCAAATTGTAACCAGGTTTGCTCTGTCGTAAAATGGGCATCAGGGACATCACTTGGGTAGGTTCCCTTATTTGCAGGTTTTATTTAAATTGCTATGTACTGTGGCACCTCTTGTAATAAACAACTTAACAAGCCGATCAAGTTTTGTTTCCCTTGTTCCCCCCCTCCCCCCTGAAAAAACCATCAAAATGGCGCCCCTGATGGGCCTAGTCTATTGTAGCTGATTTATCTTTATAATATTCGGTGCAAGCAATAATTGTCATAAGCTCTCTCTTATATAATCATAATCCTTGACGCTACTCGCATTGGTCCTTTGTGAATCCATTGTTTTTTGTTGACGAGCAGATGCTAATTTCTTATGCTCAAGAGGGGATTCTCGGTGCTGTTGAACATGCTTTTTCATGACTTTTTAAAAGAAAATTTTCATATTTGAGGGCCCACGATTAATGTATTGATCATTTGGGCTCCTGCGTTAGCCTTCTCTTAGATGAGTCCCATCCACCTGGGGTGCTTGGGATTTTGGCTTTGGCGGGGATTGAACTCCAGACCACCACTATTTTTGGAGTGAGTCGGTTTATTAGACTACTCGGCCACCCAGCACCCTTGTGATGCAAAATAGAGGTTACAGATTTTGCAAATCCGTTCAAGCAGTGATGTTCTTATTGTTACTCACTTTACATTCACCTAATTTTCAAAATATGGTATTCCTACTCTATCAATATCATTTATCTTGATTGAACATGAAACTTGAACCTTGTCCTTGTTCCATACCTGCAACAGAATCTACTGGTGAAGAGAGGTCAACTTTTGACTTCTCTTGCACTAACAAAGTGTGCTAACATTCTGACCAGCCATCTGCATTGCACAGACAGTCACACATTTAAATTAAATAAATCTCATATTTTTAAAAACCTAAAAATTCTATAACTGGTTACACTCATTTACACTTATAATTTTTCTTTTAAAATAATGTAATAACCAGTCAATTTTTAAGATTAAAATTTTAATAGAGAAAACATGATTGTTGACGTCAACTAATCTAACCCCCCCTCCCCTTGTCAACAACTGTCAAACATTTCCAACACCCCCCCCCCCATTTTGTTGACGTAATTAATGGATGCCCCCTCATAGGCTAAATGTGCACTTGAACCAATTTGAAACTGTCTCACTGAATGCTCTTTAGCATGGACAGACAGAAATCCACAAGGCTAATGATGACGCACACTTCCAGGTATGCTTTGGTTATGAACATTACTGAAAACAATCGAACCGTGGCGCGTCATTTGGTCAGAAAAAACAGAAGAAAAATGTTTCTCTTGATTAATCCAAACGTTTAATCCTGAAATATCAATTCATCAGGTAGCACATATTGAATTACGTTTTTTTTTAAATGGAGGAATCATAAAACAAATCAACTTGTGTAGCAAATGTACCGGTACAATTCGTAGAATGGGATACGCCACTGTACTTTTATTATGATCAAACTTTTGTCACCCTTAGTTACAGGTCCAATATTTCAAATTTCTTTTAATCCTAATTAAACAAATATGTCCGGTTGTTTTTTATCCGTGGGTTGCCACAGGTTGGCAATTGGAATGTTTCTTTTGGTGGTTGGAGGTGGGGGTTGACATTTAGTTTAGCCTCTGAAAAAGTTAACAGGCCTATGTTAGGGTGGACAGTAGTTAGTTCACGTCATTAATTGCAGTGCAAACATATCATTTGGTGGCTGTCCGCGTCCTCACTTTCTGCCCGCCTAAATAATCCCGTTGACACTTTTAAGATACACTCACTTGATGTTTGTAAATGAGATGATTTACTTGAACTGATGAATATATAATTGTCCTTTAATTTTGTTTATATTGTTGGGCTAATAGATTCATGGGATTAAACGGAGCCAAATGCATACCCTCAACTCAACTGAATTTAGTTAATGTCGGTGAAGGGGTGGAGTTTATAGCTCATCCTGGTTGCTGCTGTGCCCATGGGCGTAGCTAGGGTAGGTGCCATACTCGGGGCAAACTCTGGTTTCTTATTGACTTATCCTACAGTGTAACAAATGGAAGCCCACTAAACTGCAGTATGACCTGCTTGTGTGGACATTCATCGCCTTACATCACACTGATTAAATAGACTAATCAAGAAAACTCGTCATCTCACACAAACTAAACATCCTACACTTGAAGAGCTGTTTGAAGAAAAATACAGTTGCAAAACCATTTTTAAAAAATGTGTATGTTACTTCCCACCCTTTTAATCAGAGTCTTAGGTATCTGTACCTAAGATCAGCTCGATAAGAGCGAATTCTCTTCGGACTCCCTTCAAACTTCAAGTTCAAGTAAGGACCAAACAAAAATAAAAGTTTACCGCCGTCCCCCCCCCCCCCCCCCCACCTCAAATTATCAAATCTCAATGATCATTTACTAACTAATTATTGTCACTAAGGTACAGGTAGTTATTATTATTTTGGGAGGTATATGGAGTATATGAATTATGATGGCAGTTTTTTACGCTAGAGATAATACTTCAGATGTGTTGTGTTTAAATAGTTCTGATTGTAAAATGTTGTCTTGATCAAAATTTGTATTAATTTTTCTGCTGATAACGAATATGTACATTGTAATCAAAAAGTGTTTACATTTATTTGGCTCAATAAAAGAATCTTATTATCTATATTATCAACATCAGCGAAACGACCGGGTCAGAAACGGCATCAGTGAAATGGCGGTGGTGAATCATCATAGATCCCATGTCGGACAGCATCAGCGAAATGGTGGTGGTGAATCATCATAGATCCCATGTTGGACGGCATCAGTGAAATGGCGGTCCCAAATTAAAAGTTTAATACTTTTCCTTTGAAAGTGTCTGGCTAATAGCCGCCGATTAATTGGTGACGGTTGGAATACAAGGCTGCTTGCTTTCCCCCCCCCCCTTCCCCCCCCCCCCCCACCCACCCAGTTCAACATCTTCTTGGAGAGAATTATGTCAGACGCTCTGGAAGCATATATAGGGACAGTCAGCATTGGTGGCAGAACAATTACCCTCCTACGTTTTTCAGATGACATAGATGGACTGGCTGGAAATGAAGAAGAGCTAGCCAACCTAGTAAAGCGTCTTGACAAGACTTCATCGTCCTTTGGCATGCAAATCAGTGCAGAAAAAATAAAATTGATGACGAATAACACCACCGGCATCTCCACTGAAATTAAGGTCGGGGGGAGAGAAAGATTAGAGACAGTAGGCAGCTTCAAGTACCTCGGAAGAAGGCTCCAAGCCCAAATTGATGTCCAGGATTGCCCAGACCACAACAGCACTAAAGAGGCGTAAGAAAATATGGAATGACAAAAATACATAAGTCTCAGCACCAAAATCAGGCTGATGCGCTCATTAGTCCTCTCCATTTTCTTGTATACCTGTAAGTCCTGGGGACATTAACAGCAGAACTTGAAAGAAAAATAAAGGCGATGGAGATGAGATGTTTCAGAAGCATTCTTGAAATCTGCTATAGAGACTAGAGTCTGAATGAATTTGGGCTTCGGTTTCGGCGCCTAAAGTGGCAATTTGATCACTTTCTGTCTAATTTCGGTTTCCGCCAAAACCAAAAAGTTCAATTTCGGCTTTGGCCGAAACTGAAATGTTAACTTTCGGTTTTGGCCGAAAGTGATTGGGACTTTCGGCCATCTATGTCTGTCTGTCTTTAGGCTGGCATCTGATAGTCATTATTGCTAGACGTCTTGCTGTCATCGTATGTTATATGACTAATACTCTACGAAAACTGTTCACAGCTGCATGATGACCTACTTACTTGTCCTTTATTTCCAAACAATTAAATTTTAATTAGGCCTAGGCAAATTTAAACAGTTTTGTGGAAGAAAAACTAGTGGAATGGTAATATTTTATATCATTATTTTTGTTTTAATTTCTTCAAAAATAAAATTTGGAACCCAAGGTTTATACAATTCCTTCATTTCTGATATTCATTTTGATTTATCATTATTATGCTCATCAATTTTTTCATAGGCAAAGGTGAATAATATGGCATAATCCTAGGGGCCCCTAAATAATTTTTTTCCTATATGAGCTATTATATAATTTCAAATAGAGCTAATGCATGGGTGGATCAATTACTACAAGTGTGTGGACTAAATTTTGAAAATCCACACTTCTCATATGGACAGCTGTATGTGGCCTGCTCACGCTTCGAAAACCTTCTAATTTATTCGTGTACACACCAAACGAAAAAAAAATATTGTCTATTTTAATATTACTTCAAAAAACATAATTAAACCACAAGCAATTTCTTTCTTTGAGTGGCCTTGCAACTTATGCCAGATTTTTCGCTAGTATAAAATAAACAATACCATGGCCGGCAGACCGCAAGCGCCGGTTCATATTTCAAATACTTTTTTTGTCAGGAAACATTCTACAAACTGTCTTTTTCTTCTACTTCTATTTTTTAATTTTATATACGGTAGATATATTTCAGGAGTTGATGATGATGAAGAGGCCTGATGAATATCGCGACCTTAAAAAAAAAAAATTAATACCTTTAAATTTAAGTCACCAATACCGGCGGCTTTAGGGCACTGCAATGGTCTGAAAAAGCAGGGGTTTTTGCCCTTTTAGCTGGACACTTCTTAATGAATAGTATTATAGTTTTAATTTTGGACCGCCGTTCCTATGTTCATTATAACGAATACAAATGAAATAAATATACAATTATTTGATTGCTTTAATTTATATATGTACATTTATATTAGTTAATAATATTTTTGTATGTATTCTTTTCAAGATGATCTTATTGTTTTATTTATTAGGTAAACAAGCCATTCCTTGAATTCACTTCACTACTTTTATTGGGAGTATTCACAACAGCTACTCCTCACTGCAGCAGTTATCCATTAATGATCGTTATACGAACGGCTGTTGGAATTTGTTGCGGCTGTGTAGACACCAGTAAGTTTCTTGAAAATCATAAACCCAATATTTTTTTAATTCTATTGTTTTATGTAAAATGTCTAGATTTTGAGAATTAAGTGCCATTAATCAATGACCTATATTAAAAGTACCAGTACCTGTAATTTAATGTTATTTGTTCTTTCCAGGCTTTCAAATTTCTCATAAAAAGTTCAAAATGCCACTTAGCAATTCTTATTACTGTTGCTAAAAATTATGTTCATGGTTTAGTTTTTAATCATGTATGTACTAAACAAAATGTAGCCATTGGTGGCATCCCAAATTTCCAGGACCTAGTTCTAAAAAAAAAGTAATATGAAGAAACTAGGGGTTTGACCTTGAATTAAATTATTTTCATACAATTCAAGTAATGGTTTTCCAAAATTTTGTAATTTTAATGATAATCGCAAACACAAAAATAGTCTGCATAATTATGTTTATATTAATAATACAATTGTCATTAGTTAGTGCAGTGGTGTAAAGTGGCTGTACAGTATTATAATATTTTACCTACAATCTTAAAATAGCAGACTGACTGATGATATTACCCTATTAATTTTTCAGCCAGTAATGCAGAGCATATGAGGATCTGGGGAAATGAAGGTCAAGTCTTAATGCAGCTACTTCATTTTGCATTTGCACTAGGAGGAGTTATTTCCCCTTTGTATTCAGAGCCATTCCTTGCTGAGAAGAGTCTTGAAAATGACACAACTACTGCAATTCTAAATGAGACTCTAAGTTTAAATTACACAAATATGTCAAATATTTCAGAAAATACACTTCCTCAAACTACTAATGTGCACTGGGCTTTCCTAATCACAGGAATATGGACACTTCTGTCTTCAATACCATTTCTTGTATTCTGGATTCAAGGTGCCATTAACAAAAAGAAAAATGAATCAAAAAAAGAAAATAAAAAAATAACCCAGAGAGACTTACCTAAGCCAGTTTTGATTTTAGTTTTACTGACATTGTGTTTTATGTATGTCTTGTATTGTTGTGTTGAGGACACTTTTGCATCTTTTCTCATGACATTTTTGGTAAAGGAGTATGACTATGTAACAAAGTCAAAAGGGGCCCATATTACAGCTCTTTATTGGGCTTCGTTTGCAACATCCCGATTCTTAAGTATATTCATTTCCAATTTTATTACCGCTGTTCACTTACTCTTTATATGTTGCACTCTTATGCTAATATCTTTTTTGGGTTTCTTTTTAAGTGCAATCTTTGCTGTTTCAAATCCTGCTGTCATCGATGGCCTAATATTTTTCTCTGTCATGGCTGGATTAAGCATGTCAGCTGTATTTCCCTCTGGCTTTTCATGGACGGAGGCTGAATTGCTGAAAGTGACTGGGTGTGTTTCATCATGTATTCTTGTTTCTGCATCAATAGGCACAATGGTAAATCCGTTGATGTTGGGCTATCTTATGACAGAGTTTAGTAACATATGGTTCTGTTACCTCCTGCTTGGTGAAACTATTGCCTTGTGCTGCGTATTTCTTTTTCTCTGGTCTTTAAATCGATTTATTCTAAACAATCGATATGGTTCTTTAAATGCCCAAAGATCGCTTTCCTTTTCTGTAGAAGTAAATGAACCGGAGCAACCATTAGCTGCAGTTGAAATTTACAGAAAAAATGTCAGCAACTCTAGTTTGTGATAACTTACTTGTGAAGTCTACTTATTTTATGCATGGTGATACTAAATACATGTGGTTTCCTGTGAAAGGACACACAGTACTGGTATGTGATGCTGAATACATGTGGTGCCTGTGAAAGGAAACACACTACTGGTATGTGAAAAATTACCTGTAAATATTGAAATTTGTTGTTGTTATTTAAAAGAAATAAATTTAAACCTGGTGACAACTATTTAGAAATAACATTTAATTCATTCAAATTATTGTGAGGATCTCTTATCTTTTAATGTATCACTGTATTTTAAAAAATAAATTATTGTTTTTACCATCTTGTTAGTGTAGTTCTGCAATCCATTTCTTACGCTATGCTTGGTCGGTGAAATATTAAGAAGGGTTATGACATGTTTTTTGCCATCCGAGATCAGTTATTTGTAGTGATATAATCATGTAACAAGTAGAAATATGATGAGTGGGAATATAAATTAATGAGAAATTTAGTAGTATTCATAATAGTACCTACTTCTTTTTCAGTAATGTAACTTTCCTCAATTCATAAATTGCAATAACTCATTTTCCAATTGATGATCAACCTTATATTTTTTATTAAATGTAAACACACAAAAGTAATGCAATTAAATTAATAAAAAAAAGATTTAATATATACTACTACCTTTAGTGGTAGAAGATAATCACTGAAACATCATTTTACTTCACTGACCAACAAATCAATTTGGTGCCTCAAGGTCAAATGTCAGACTTGTATCTCTGTGGTATATTTGTGCATAGTCCAAAAATTACAAGTTTTTAAAAAAAAAAGCTCCAGGTTTAAAATAAAAAATAAATGACATAGCATTAATAAATTCACCTTAAGAACTGGTCTAAAACTAAAACAGGAGAAAATATTTGTTTGACCTGGGTTATGTTGGACTTGGAGTGAAATAATCATTTTTAAATTTTAATAAAATGAATCCTAATTATAATTTTATTAATTTACTCAAACTTACAGTACAAACTTCATTTTTAAACATAATGCAACTCTTCAAGATCTACTTACTAACACCTTTAGGTGTAATTTTCCTTCTAAATATGTGTTTGAGATTAATCTCAATAAAGCAATTTACAGGTAATTTAAATTGCACATTACTTTTGAACTTTTCAGCAGGGGCATTTATCAGCATTATTTTGTGAAATTACAATTATTTGGTTTTATGCCTTAATTTTGTCTCATTATAATATGATAATGGAATAGTTTGTTTTTTAAACTTGACACCATTTTTATTTTTATAATAATTAATGTGGAGTTTTATATTTATTATAATTTATAGCGTTTTGTCATTAGAAAGACCTCCCTTATATAATAATAATAAACTTACACAAAAATGACATGTTAACAAAATCTATATATGGTAAGATATAATGTATGCATGAAAATGTGCTTTTTCCACTTTAAACTGGTATTGAACAACAAATCATATTTTAAAAGGGTTGTCACATTTTACTTTAGCTTAATTGGTATTTAACTATTTATTTTAATTTTAGTATATTTCACAAGGAAAGCAAACAATCTAAACTACGTAATTAAATTCCTTAAATTAAAAGTGAAGTTAAATTCTTCAATTTATCATTTAAATTTCTAGGATCCTTCATACTTCATAACATGCCGGTAGCTTTAAAATGTCCTCAACAGCTTGAAAATTACATTTTTTAGTTAAGTCAATAAAAGGCAAGTAAATAATTAAACACATGTCTTCATGCAACCTCTATTTTTTATTTATTATTTTAACAGGTATGAGTGGAAGTCTCAATCTTCACTATTTATTAGAGAAAAGCATTAACGGAAATAAGTATTAAATTAAAATGCGATAAGGTCTTTATTTTGCATATTCTTTAGAGAAGAGCAATAATATTAGAATGCAATAAGATCTTTATTTTGTTTATTTATGTTCATATTTCCAAACAGGATTGCTCACTAATAGTCATATTTAATTTTTTTTTTTTATAAATACTTAAACTTAAATTTAAAGAAACAAACAACACAAACAAAACATGTCAATAAATATCTAATACTCAGTAGTCAAAAGTGACTCATCTACACAAACCAACTTTCATAGCAAGTTCAACAGTCACCAAAACTTCATAAATATATATCTCTATATAAAAAAATTAGTTTGTCCAGATATCCTGTAGTAATACATAGTAAACTGCCATCTAGTGGAATACTTTATTTAGTAGCTTCTTCTAAGTATGCTATAAGGTCATTACGCTCATATTTCTTCTTTAAGCCTGCAAACACCATCTTGGTTCCAGGACCAGGTAGGCTATGTTCTTTTTAGGATTTTTAAGGTACTCAACAAATAGGGTATCTTTTGCCCAGGTATTTCCTGAAATTTTATTTAAAAATTAAACAATAAATATCTCCGAATAAAATACTGTAAATGAATAAAAATACTGAAAAAAGTATTTCAACATTAATCACATTAATACTTTATGGTTATATCCACATAGTGCTGGTTAGCATGGACCAATTTTAACCTTTATGTCCAACTTGACAACGTTATTGATTTTACTGTCTTATAACGTTATGTTTCACTGTACCAGGGAAAAAAGACATGGCAAGGAGGTTTTTTAGACACTCTATGGGCTATATGGAAATGAAGTGTCAGTGTTAAAGAAAGACATAATTATAATTATTTCTGTTAAGCCTAACTCTATCATATTAGAAACTGAAAAAGATATATCATTTTAGATCCTGCCTGCACAAAATACGGCCCGTGGGCCACATGCAGCCCGCGAAGTAACGAAATATTCTTTATTATTATTTTCTTAATAGCTTTTCCCCCGTTTTTTTTTTTGGCCCGCACAAGCCCTGTCATATTTTCTTTTGGCCCACATAGGTTTTTCATAAGGTAATACGGCCCGCCTTACATTTTGAGTTGTGCAGGCCTGTTTTAGATTATACATTTTAGTACCATTTTAATATTAATTAAACATATCATATTAGGCAACACTCCTCTTCCTTTCACCCATGTACAGTTTTTGGTTGTTATCAGACTATAATATACTAGCGGGAATAGGCTTTATGGAAATTTATTCTTATTTTATCCTTTTATGGTTTTATTTTATGGTTTTTTTTAAACCAGATTTCCTAAAAACAACAACAACCTCAAGTTACTTGGTAGGTTTTTTAAAATGATGTCATCATTTGTTAATTAATTTTTATTTAAATACACCTTGTTTTATGCTGATCTGAGTTCAAGTTTGAACCACTTTTAATTTCACCAGTAACTTTATTTTTACCAGTGATAGACTGTGATAATGTGATCTGTACGTCCACTCCATATATATTAATATAAATAGCCGATATACGTCTGCAAAAAAAAAAAGTGACCGCAGATTGTATTATAAACGTCGGTCATCTACTTTTAGTAGTTAAATTTTTTGACACCAGCTTAACTTGATCCCATTAGGCACTGCGATGCAAGTAGTTATTGTAGGCCTATTCATCATATATACTTTATGTTTATTTATTTACTATGAAGATACCGTATTGTGCTATTTTGAGACGATATTGTACGATTTTAGGAGTTCAAGGGTAAACGTTTCTGTAATTAAACAAGAAAATCTAGATACAATAATTTAAAATTACAAATGGTAAATTTAAGTTTAAGGCAGCCCGGAGGTCTCCGTTCGTGTGATGATCTCCAATTATTCTAAACATAATATTTAAATTGTGTCACAACGTCTTGTTTTCCATACGTTTTATCAAGCAAGTTCAAGTACCGTCAGCGGGCCGGATGAACTGGCCTCCCTGGGCCGCGGGCCGTAGCTTGGTGACCCCTGTTCTGGTTGATTGGACATGTTCCGGATGACGAAATATTTGTACCAAAATATTATGGCCCAATTTTTGTTGACGCTCTTATTAATGCATCACTATCACACACATTACAAAATACACAGCTCTAACTCTAAAAGATGGTAATGGTTCGCATACGGCACAATGTTTACAATTTGAGCCTACGCCTACCTCTCGCCAATAAGAAAGAAAAAAACAAAAAATTTTGCATTGGTGGGCCTTCTATAATGAAACTTTTAATTTTGCTTATCATTAATTGATGATATTAGTATTAGCAGACTGCAACACAGCCTGGAAGCCATTCCTAATGCCTTCTTACGCCTGGTGCATATATCAAGCTATATCGTTAATTTAGTTCATTTTTGCGCTTGATTACATCGGGATGTTTTTCAGCAACTTGTGCCATACCCGGTACCAGTGTTTCTTTCAGACATTTTTCCCTGGGAAGAGGGGGCTTTTCAAATTTTCGGGGGGGGGGNATGTCCCAGGGCGTCAGACTACCCTGGGGGAAGGGCAAAAATGGATTTTGATTGTATTTAATGGTTGAAAATAATCAGTTTCAGAATTGTGAGGGGGGGGGGGGCATAAAAATAAATCTTGTCCCCTAACGCCAAACACTGTAGATACGCCCCTGCTAGTGTCGTCGAAGTAAGGCGGATGGAGTGGCCCACCCAGGTGTCACTTTTTCTTCATATGCAGCAGTGCCGTTCTTAGGATTTTGGGGGCCCTAGGCATGGAGTGCATGTAGGGGGCCCCGTTCGCCTACTTTGTCTATGTCTAATAACGGCCCTGTATGCAGATATGGCATTTTCGAACAACTGCAGAGTTTGTATCGTGAAAGGGCGGACGACAAAAATATTTGCCCGCCCATGGCGGCACTAAGAGTAGCTGCTTCACTAGGCCGTGTATTTATTTAGTTAGGCTTTTTTTTTTTTATAGCGCTTACCTTACAGCTCTAAGCGCTTTACAATTATTAAAAATATGTTAACTATTTAAACTGATAAAGTAAAATAAAAATGAAAAACCAGAGACACTAGAATAGTAACTACTATATTAAAAATGACTATAGAAACAGTAGCTTAAACATTAAAATGGCTATAAAAACGATTACACTTTGGCACGTTTTGACCTATATTACAGGATCAACCCGAGACATAAAATGAGGCAGGGCAAGGAGGGTGCATCACAGGTCATAGGCGGACCTAAACAGATGGGTTTTAAGGGACTTTTTGACAGTGGACGAGGTTTCACAATGACGGATGTGGAAGGGAGCTGGTTCCAGAACGTGGGCGCATGGAAGTAGAAGGAGCGTTCACCGATGGTCTTAGTTTTGGTTCTTGGGATTGAGAGGGTTCTATTGTCAATTGAAGAACGTAGTTGTCTTGTGGGGATGCAAGGAAGCAACAGTTCAGAGAGATAGACAGGAAAGTGAGGGTCAGTGAACGAGTTGAAGCATAGATTGTCAGACTTGTACTTGATGCGAGAGGATATTAGAAGCCAGTGGAGTTACCGCATGTGTGGTTTAATGTGGTCATGTTTCTTTGATTTAAAAATGTGTCTGCATGCTGAGTTCTGCGCCCTCTGAAGTTTGTCTATGTGGTGTTGAGGAATGCCTGCGAGAAGAGTGTTACAGTAGTCAAATTTTGAAAGAATGAGTGAAGAGACGAGAGTTTTTGTGGCATCAAAGGAGAGGAGGTGTCTAATGGTGCTGATTTTTCTAATTTCGTTGTATGCTGATCTGCATATGTTCGTGACATGTTTGTCCATGGAGAGGGTGTCTGTAAGCGTGACTCCAAGGTTTCTGGCAGAGGGAGAGAGTGTGATGTCAGAGTTACCGATAGATATAGAAGGAGGAGCGGATGGAGGGAGAGGTTTGATTTGAGAGTGGATGAGAAGGATTTCCGTTTTATCATCATTTAGCTTCAGTTTGTTGCAAGTCATCCAACGCTTTACGTCGTCCACGCACTCCTGTATGCGAAGGATTGTGTCATCAAGTTGATCAGGAAAGCAAGAGTCACTGATTTGAGTGTCATCAGCAAAGGATTGACTGGAAACTGAGTGATGGCTAATGAGAGATGATAGAGGTTTAGTGTAGAGGATGAAAAGGATACCAAAATCGGCAATCATTTTCATCGGAAAGTAGGGCAGAAATTGAGGGCGCCGATGAATCTTGATCAGTGGAGGGGTCTGGGGAGTCTGCTCTCCAGAAAATTTTTGATTATTTCAAAATCAAGAGGAGTATTTTTTTAGTATACTTGAATTCAATGTTTCGATTATACTTTTGGAACGGGGAAAGACATTTTTAAGGTTTTGTTTGAGGTGTTATGACGCCCAGTGTCATACATAAACTGAATTCACTCCGTTTGTGACGTGCCCCAGGGTAAGCATTTGTTAAAAGACAGTCGGGCAAACTTAAAACGCTCATACCTGAATTTTGTGTTTCTTTTAGACAATTTTGAGGTTGCATTTCAAACTTTCGAGTGGGAAGTGCCAAAATTAGTCATAATAATGATCAAAGACATCTTAAATTCCGCACTAGTGGGACGTAAACTAAATTATTTCTAGTTGTGTCACCCTCAAGGGTATACTTTTGCCCTAGTTTTTTGTATCGCCCCTTTATAGTCTTTAAATCTTTATAGTCCCCAGAATTGTTTTCTAAATTAAAAAAAAACAAGAATGCTTTTTATCACATATCTGAATTTAGTTTTGCGACCTTTTTCAATTTATTGTAGAGCAACGGAAGAGATCTTTAGTTAAAAAATGCAGGTGTCACTTAACCTTAGAACCATCGTGTGCGTCCAGCAACAGCTACGATGCAGGGTGCCTCGGATATTTTAGTTTAGGGATTTAAATTTAAAGATATTTTCTTAATTATCATCTTTCAATGCAGGTTGGGGGAAAAGGGGTTGGGGGGGGGGGGAGGGGGCAAAACGGAAAAGTGCTTGACCTGCTGGGTTATGCACACAAAAAAAATGTATATTACTAAAAATAGTAACATTGCTTTTATTTTTTATAAAGATATTTTCTTAATTATCATCTTTCAATGCAGGTTGGGGGAAAAGGGGTTGGGGGGGGGAGGGGGCAAAACGGAAAAGTGCTTGACCTGCTGTGTTATGCACACAAAAAAAATGTATATTACTAAAAATAGTAACATTGCTTTTATTTTTTATTTACACTATTTTGGGTAGAGCTACGTAATAAATGAATTTTCAACACACACAAAAATAATAATAAAAAGGTTCCATCACTAAAAAGTATTCCAAACATTATTTTATATTCTGAACGCAAATGAAAAAAAAAAAAAAGAGAACAACTTACTTAAAATAATTGGACTACCTTTTCAAAATGTTTCCAACTTTTACCAGAATCAAAAATAAAAAAAGAACTGTTAATTAAAAAGGTCAATGCATTTTTATGGGTTTTGAAAATTGGTCATTTTTATAAATCGTATATGAACGGTATAACTATTTTAAGAAGACATGATTCATGAGTTGTTTACCAAAGACCTTATATTATATATATTTATTAAAATGTATGCCGCATACTATGCGTGATTTTATCTAAGGAAAATCGTATTCAAATAAAGTGTATATTTCCCATTATTCCGCTGATTGAAATGTTTATTTGTAATTTCATTATACTAATTTTTTTTTTTTAAACCAAATCCACAGCAGAATTTATTATAAATTGAACAAATTAGGAACTAAGATTTTTTTTCTAAAACTAGTAGTTAGTAGGGCTACCAATAAATTATTTTATTTTTTTTTTGGAATTGAGATGGTCATCAAAATGTTGGTTCACAAAAATCTTTGTCTTTGTTTTGTTTAATTTTCAGATAGATTTCTATCTAGATTGAAAATAGATTGCACATGTTTGATACTTAGCAAGAACTATTACTAAATTGTAGACCTTGATTTTGATATAGATCTAAAGGTAAATAAATACAGTGTTATTTTAATATTTAAACTTATGATGTTGATAAAAATAAATGAATTAAAATACCGATATGTGCGAACTACAATAAGTAAGTCTTTGATTTATGATCAGGAGCGGCCAGTACGATATTTATAATCGAATACTATACGCCTTCAACAAGATTAGACTTAAATATACTGATCATCAAATATATCGAGAAAAGCGATATTTCATATATTCCACTAATTGTAATCGGTAAAAGGCACCAGATATTAATATTTTAAAAACTGTTAAAAAAAGAACATTTAGTCGTTTTTAATTTTAAAAAAGTATATAATCTTTATAATGTTGTACACATTTTGCTGGGGGGGGGGGGGGCTTAATTTTCCCNTTTCCCTGAGGGGGGGGGGGGCGGCAGTACCAGTACATGGATGCAGCAACTTACCCTAATAGAAAGAAACCCTGTCCGGTGCTCAGCCGGTAGGCTACTGTAAATACTAAATAAAACTTATTGCAACAGTAAATGGCTTAGGCCTACTGGCTAAGAAAAATGGGCTAGGCAACATCTGATCAGTTCACTCAGGAAACTGTATTTTTTGTATCCACAAATAACATTTCAAGTACTTGGACTTTATTTAAGTTTAAGGCTTCAAAGGTGTAATTACTTATTAATATCACTGGCAGCTGATTTCCATTCTTCAAACAGCACTTTTAACACACTCAGATTAGGTTATTACAATATATTTCATGTTTTGAATTTTAAGTAAAGTTTTGAAATTATTATTTTAATACTTGTTAAAATGTTTGTAAGAAAATATATAATTTAATTGTAACAATTTTTTTACTACTAAATACCCCCCCCCCCTCCCCGGCTCGTCCGCTATTTTTTGGAAGCAGACCTGGCAACCCTAACCATAAACCACGTCACACGTTGGTTTGGGGGAGGGGGGGGGTAGCTCACAACTTTGTAAGTGCAATGATGTATTATTTAAGTGTCTAATTTGTATTACAAAATGGATTGAAGTGTTGGGGGGGGGGGGAATAAGGCAAATTTGCCTGACATTTTTGAATAAATGGCCCCTTATCCCAGATGTTAGGTTGAGGCACAAAAAGCACTTTTAAAAAGCTTTATAGTTAAAAAAAAAAGGACAGAAATTTAAGGTTAAAGACTAAAGAAGGTAAATTTTAACTAATTTTCAAGAAACCTCATTGAGCACCAGTATCATGACTAATCTTCATAGCAGGGCTGGATTATCCATTGGGCCAAGTGTTAAAATATATCGGCTGTCCTTGGCCATAAAAGGCCCTGTACTTTAGCTAGGAAAAAATCATAGGGCTATTTTATGCTGGTATTTCAAAATTAATTGTTATAGTGAGGATTTACTAAAATACAGGCTTTTGCTTTGAGCTGCACATACAAGGGGCAGCTTACAATTAAACACTACACTTTCACACCCCAATTAAGTGTTTTTAAAAATTATTCTGATGACAAACATTCTTTAAACTATCCTTAATTAAATAACATAGCCATATTAACAACTGGAAAATACTGTTTAACTTTATAGTTATGTATTGTTGCATTTAAAGTATTTGATCTAAAAAGAACTTGCTGTGCTCTCACATATTGCTAGTTTATTCTGCAAGCTTCTCTTTTAAAAAATTCTTATGATTTCAGTTTTTACTTATCCACTTTTTCTGTGTTCATGAAAGTAGGCTTGCAGCCAACACATACATTGCAAATTGTAGTTCATCTCTTGTATAATCAAAAGATAACAACATCTCAATTTGCACCCAAACCATCCCTTCCCCCCTCTTTCTATGTCTGCCCCAATAGGAACTTTTTCGGCCTGAGTTGTTTCACTTTTTCTTTTTATCTTAATATCTCTATGAATTTGTTCTGAATGAAAGGCAGTATTTATAATTTAATAAACTATAAACATTATTGCTGCGGCATTGACAGATTTTATAGACAATTCATGGAGAAAACATAATTGTCTATGGTATCTCTTCTCCTTCTATAATAAGGAAAATTACTTTTCAGTACAGTCTCTCCTCCCAAAAATGATCTTTCAGACTAATGCCCTCTCTTAGCCTTCGACAAAGTTAGTTGAAACCTTCCAAATATCTTCAGAACCCAATAAGCCACTGCCACTCTACTCTTAATACAGGTACATAATTTCTTAAGATAAGAAATTACTTTTAAAATATTAATAGGGCCTAATAATTTAAGAAGATTAAATATTGAAATTGAGTTGGCTCCTCTGATTTTCCTTAAGAGTATAAAAATAAGATAAGATTAGAATAAGATGAGAAATTAGTCTTTAATTGATTCAATTAATGGGAAATGTGTTTTATTACCTTGTTCAGGGTTGGGCAAACTTTTTGTGGGAAGGGCAACATTGACAAATGTAAGGCTCTGGAGAAATTTTCAATTTTTTATTATAATAAAAAATTGTTATTGCCCATTCTTGGCTTTTATTTAGACACAAACTGATTACATTGCCACTACTATTGTTGATTTCTAATGTAAAAGACTGTTTACAAAAAATAGAAAATTAGAAAGAAATTCTATTAAAAAATGTTAAAACAATCATAGCGGTATATGAAATTCTGTAAAATCAAAAAAAATAACTTAAAAACAAGGTAAAATTTTTATTTCTAAATGCCCTCAAGAGCCTCATGATATCAGTTGTCAGGCCGCGTGCGGCCCATGGGCCGTAGTTTGCCCACCCATGACCTTGTATATAATCATTTTTTTTCATTTAGATAAACTAAAAATTTTTAAAAAGGACATTTAAACATACTGGTAAGACATTTAATTGAAGTATTTCTAAAGTAATTAAAATAGCCAACATTATTTAAAATATTTTTCAAGAACGGTGGAAGTTATTTTCATTAAACACCAATCCTAATAAAAAAATTATTTACCAAAAAATATGTGAAGCTTTTATGAGGTTTTCCTATTTCTGTATAACATGTACAAAATATAGCCTTAATTTGAGATCCGCATCTTAGATGTTTTTGTTCTGCTCATTTTGTACCCAGCATGTGTTAGTTGTTTTTTTTTTAAACCTTGTTGGGCTTAAATATTGTTGGGCACACTTCTATTGCTGCCCACAGATACTACTTACCAGCTAAGTGCTATTTCTTATTTTTATAATGTTTTTTCTGTTGTTTTGTTCGCTGACGAAGGCTTTCTGCCGACACGTTCGCTGTTTTGTTGCGTTTAATTTTTCAGGTTTAACCATACTCTGTTTTACTCATTTTATTTTGGGCTTAGATAAACTAAAGTAAAGGCCCTACCATTTAGTCATCATGAAAAATGGGTATTTATTTTAAAAAGATAACAATTATAAAGGCTGCAATGTGATAACTAAAAAAATGAGGCCAAAGAATATAACTCTAAATTAGGAAATCATAATTGAAGAATTCACTCTATAAATAAATTATAAACATTACTTAAATTTAAATGTCTTGTGATTTTAGCTTTTTTTATTTTCATTTCAGTTTTACTTTTTTATTTATAAAAACCAATTTTTCTATTATAATTATTTATTAAAAAATAGGTCCACATTTACATTACCTTCACTTACTCAGTTGCTGCACTAATTTTCCCACATGTTTTACACGTTGTTCAGAGTAACTCCTAATACTTTTGAGCTGCAACCTCTTTATCTTATCAGTAAATACCAGTGTACTACTATGATAATATTATGCTTAGGCTGTGTATATTTTACATTAAAGACATTTTTGGAACTTGTAAATTTTGTTAGACCTGTCATTTGCATATATTTCTCACAGAATAATGGCTAAACAAACCATTAGTAGTAATGGAGCAGCACTATCAGAGGAAAAAGATATTTTTCTTGTTCAAGAAGAAACTAACTCTCAAGGAAATAAAAGCAAGGAAAAGCCAACAAACAAAAGCTTAAAAACAAAAGACAGTTCCCTATACAGAAAAAAGGTGTTTTTTTCACTATGGTTGGCAGTTTCACTATTTTCTTTGGTGAGTAATCATTTTTAATAAATCTTTTGAAATTTTTATAATTTTGATCAGATTGAACAAGCAATAATGAGTTATCTATATTTATTTGTCAAAATTTACCCAAGTCAAAATTGTAAATGACTACAAATATATTTTTCAGCAATAAATATAAATGTTTTCCTGATTTGTTATTTATATTTAATAAAGAACTGAAATAAAACATTTACATTAATTAATTGTCATGTTTGAATGTTTCAGGGTGTCACCATAGGACAAATGGGACCAACGTTTTTGGATCTACAAATCATTACTAACACAAATGTAGAAGAAGCATCTGCATTTTTTACTGGGACATCAATTGGTTATTTGACTGGTTCCATAATAAGTGGAGCAATTTATAATAAAGTAAGTGGTTTATTCTTTATCATTATTTGTTTGTCCACTCTATTTTTGTTTTTGTTTTGATAAAATAAACAGAAAATGTTTTATCTCTTGCCAAGAAAAGTAGCCGCTTTTATGATTTAGATGGTTGAAATTGACATTTTACACTGAACTTGCCAAGCTAAACAGGGTTTCTTAATTGGGATCCCAAGATCTGGTATAATTTCATAATTTCAAGGCTAAACAAAAGACTTCCAGGGGATTCTCCCATTCCAGGATTTCCTGGTTACAAACTTTAAGAGTACAATTTTCTTGCTGCTCTAAATTTACGGACTATCACAAATTTTCGTTTTATGCCAGGATCAGTAAAAAAACTAGTCAACTGCGCTGAATTATTGAGCTCACGAGCAGGGTTTTTAAGGGTTATCAAGTCACGATAAAATTTATATAGAAAAAAAGTGACTCTTACCACGATATTTTAAATTAAACAACCCCTAAAAACAATTTTTTTTTTTATACATCCTTTATAAGATGTAATATCCAGCGGCGGGGGGGGGGGGGGGGAAAAAAAGGGGGGGGGCTAAAAATTTGACAACACATGCAATCAAGTAATGCACATTATAAGAATGTACCGGTAACACACGATATAAGGAAACCACTTATCCTATGCTTATCTGTTAAACTACCTTAATATTATGTGGTGGTTTATTTTTACTTCCAAAATCAAATTATAAGACATATACATATAATTTATAGGCCCTATAGATTGCCTCTAACTCGACACAGAAATTATTTCCCTTCATAGGCTTCAGCTATATACTTGGATGCCCCCCACTCCCACTATGGTGTAGAGCAGAGTTCCCCAAATAAGTGTGCCTCACAGTGGACATTCAGCCTGTTAGATTTTAACAGTTGACATATTATGATTAAAAATAAAAACAACCATAACTGAATAAACAATCTCATCCTAACAGAAGATTATACTTATTGTTCTCTGTAGATATTCATATGAATTGACACAATCGTACTTGTGTACTTGTGAATGGGTTTATTTGTAAAGAGACAAATAGATTGGAGGGTAAGAATGAGTGGATCTGAACTAATAGCTATGCAATCCACGAGTATATGTTAATCAAAGCCACGAGTGTTACTCCTCGTGCTATACAAGAGGCTAAATGTGCACTGGAACCAATGTGGATCTGTATCACACTGAATGCCCTTTAGCGTGGACAGATAGAACTCCATGAGTCTGATGATGCATACTTCCTGGTATGCTTTGGTTATCAACAGTACTGAAAACACACGAACCGTGGCGCGTCATTTGGTGAAAAGATGGGGGGGGGGGGGGGGCAAAAAAAGGTTTTTTTCAATACAATAAATACAATGTCTAGTCCTGAAATATCAATCCATCAGGTAGCACATACGGTACTGACTTACGTTTTTGTCAATAGGAATTCATAATACAAATCAACTTGTGGAGCAAATGTACCGGTACAATTCGAGTATGTAATAAGCCACTGTACTTCTATTATAAAAAAGCTTTTTTATCCCTTAGTTACAGATCCAATATTTCAAATTGCTTATTAATTATACAAATATATCCGGTGTTTTTGTGTTTTTTTTATCCGTGGCTTGCACAGGCTGACAATTTGAGATTTTTGTTCCTTTTGGTGTTTGGGGTGATATTTAGCCTCTTCAAAAGGAAATATGCCTATGTTTACTTATCTAAAGAGGGTGCACAGTTGTTAGTGTACGTCCTTAATAGCAAAACAAATATATTCATATTATTAGCTTTATTCTAAAACATTGAATCTTGAGGCCTTAACGGATTTCGAAATTGACTTTCAAGATCAAATCTTACTGGCATCAGCATGAAGACCATTGCCATTATTTTATAGCTCATCTATGTAAAAATTGGGAGGAAGCATTAAACCTTTTTCATGTGCTTTGGTGAGATGTGGGGCAAAATTTCCGTGGGTCAGGGTCACCATCCGTCCACAAATGTATGGGAAGTCCCTTAGAAATCTGACATAAAATAGGATACCTATACCGGGTAGTTAATTTTTATAATCGACACCATATTGACTGCTGTCTTATAATGAAATATATGGTTGCCTTGAAAATGGAAAACATGGACAGAAGATTTTAGGCCACCCGAAACAAAAAAGAAGTGTTTCCAAAATCATGGATTAGATGGACACATAAAAAAATAATATTTTTTTAAAAACATTTTACTGTAAAAATATTTTCAAACGACATAATTAATGGATTCAGTGTTGTTAGGCAATAGCAATATGGCTCTGGCACAGGAGAAGATGTAACATGGAAAAGGGGGAGGTCAGAAAATCTAAGGAGTGGAGCCTGACAGGCAGGGCCGTCTTGACAACATAGGAGGCCCTGGGCACTGCAATGCACTGGGGCCCCCTGGCCCCTAGCAACACAACAAACCTGGGCCGTTGGAAGGGGGGCACTCGCCCGCCCAATGCTCATACTCATACAGTGGGAAGGGGGGTGGGGCAGTTCCTGCTCCCCACCAACTCACCAAGAAGAGTAAAAATGTAAAATAAAAATAAACATTCAATCAATAAAGTTAAGTTCGATGAATTCAATTTATTGATAAAAAAAAACAAAGTCATTTAAAATCAATAATAATAATTTTAAACATTATCTGATAAATTATCATTATTGACAGATAGATAGAATACATTATTTAATATAAATCAACATATTCGTTTGCGTAATTTTTTTGCAGAGAATTGTTTTATTATTGGTTTAAAGTCAATGGTCTTAAGGGTGTCATTTTCCATGAACATAAGTGAAAGCCAGTCCCATTGTACTGCGAAGCTGATTCTTACCTTAATCTTTTTCGATTCATATCTGGGAAAACTAAGACTTGTTGACGAGAGTTATACCCCTTTAAAGGTTTTAAAACTGTCCAACTTTAATTCGCATTTATAATATTAATTTTGGAACGTGCTGATATATATTGTGGGTTAAAATTGGGAAATTAAAAACGTTTAATCCAGTTAAATTGTCAAAATCTTTCAATATTCATTAAAAATATGAAAAGCATGATGCTTCTTTAAGAGTGAGTCTCCTAGAAACGTGGGGCCCCCTACAAGCATGGGGCCCTGGGCCAGTGCCCACTGGGCCCATGCCTTAAGACGGCACTGCTGACAGGTAGCAGTAATTCATGCCCCATCAGCACAGGAACCATTCGGGAACATGAATTGACAAGAAATCTGATACGATCTTCGCCTTTTTTTCCTAGACAGGTAGTCTAGCCAGGTATGTGTGTCCATCCTGTATATTGTGAGGTTGGAAAAAGTCCCCGGTATTCAGATATCGGAGTATGAGATATATGTGAGTAGAGAAAGCAGGATACGAGCTGTGTTTTATATGTAGTGTGTGCCATCCAGTCATGGAGGAAGTTTGAAAGAGAGGAACAATGCTTGAACAGTATACCTAATAATGCGTGGCCAAATTAATTCTGTGTGACGTATGTTTCTTCCGATGATGGAAATATTGTCGCAAAATTTTGACCATGTTCTTGCGGAACCCTACATCAGTCAAGCTGGACTCTCTGTAGTGAGCAGCATCAGCTCCAAAAAAACGTAGCGCTTTTTCTGGTGAACATTTAGAAAATGGGGACAGGAGCTACTGAAAACTATCTCAATTTTTTTTTTTAAATTACAACAATTAAAAGCAAAATATCTCACCAAAGGAGCGCTACAGTTTTTATTGGCTATATTCATGCTCTTGATGAGACGATTATGCTATTGGATATGTGTTTCTTTATTCATAAGGCAACTATTTTTGCAAGTATTAATAATGTTAACAATTTTCCAAGACGTAAAATGAGTTCTTACTTTTGAGATATCATGAGCGACCCTCGGCTTAGGGAAGAAAAAAAAATAGCTGGTCCACGGAGTCAAAAACGTTGGACAGCACTGCTCTAAATTCTATCACTACGGGCATAGCTAAATTGATCTGTGTCTCCATGGCTGCACGTGAGAAGAGCTTTTCACAACAATCTGTAAGACCTGTATGCGACCTAAAAAAATAGTCAAGACTTGAAGATCATACAGTTTTATGAATTGATCGTATCATCATGAAGGGTGTTCGTTTTTAAAATGCGATTGACAAGTTTGCAGCCTTAAAAGCAACGAAGGGAAAGTTGTACCAGTACATTTTAGTGTTAAATTATCAAAATATAAGTAGCAATTTTTGAATGATCTGTGTATGGCTGTTTGAGATCATTTATTATAAATTTCTTGTCTTCAAATTGTTTTATTTATGTGCTGAAGATGTATAATGCAATCAAAAAACATTTCCATTTATTTTGGATCAATAAAAGAATCTTATCTTATCTTATCTTATGGTTTCTCAAGCTAGAGCCTGCATGATTTTAAGGTAACAAATGACTTCCCGGGAAATCCTCACATCCCGGGTGCAAACTTTCATAATGTAATTTCTTTTAATTGTTTTTTATTTCTTTCTTTGTATTTAAGCAAGTCAAGGTGTATCTTTTAGACCTCTCGGGGTCAAGTGCCCCCCCCCCCACCCGAGAAAAATATGTGCAACAAAAAAGCGAAAATACAATATATTTTTTGTAACTTAAACCTAATTTTCCCAAGCTAGATGCCCTGTTTCCCTGACATACCCTGATATACCCACTCCCTGTGTCAATTTTTCTAACAGAAAAACTGCATTCGGGTACACTGCACCCTTTGATTTTGAATTTATCAAAAATTCCCCAGACCCCTCTCCATTTTCGTTTGGTAGCTGTCCGAGTCCTCACTTTCTGCCCGCTTAACCTTATCTAAATAACAGTTTCCTCACTGGATGATTGTGATTAAGATGATTGACTTGAACTGAAGAATATTAATATATTATTTTCCTTTTATTTTGTTTATATTTTTGGGCTATATAGATTCAAGGGATAAAACTTAAACGGAGCCAAATGCATACCAACAACTAAACTGAATTTAGTTAATGTTGGTGGAGGGATGGAGTTATAACTCATCCTGGTCACCGCTTGCCCATTTGCGTAGCTAGGGTAGGTGCCATACTCAGGGCAAACCCTAGTTATTAATTTATTCTTCAGTGCAACAAATGGAAGCCTACTAATAACATCACATTGGAGATGGCGTCAGTGGGTTGTCGAGCGCGAGCTCTTAATAACCCCCCCCCCCGCCTGGGGGACGTCCGGTCGACTGAAAACGCCGCGTTTAAAGCGTTCGCGGTCCACTCTTCTGGGTCTGAACGCCTTTAGTTCCTCTCCGGGGGAAAGGTGTTGCGTTACCTTCCCCAGCGCCCAGAGAGTTGTCCGGTCGAGACCTCAGCGGGGATGAAACGATCGCCTAGGAGCGGCTTTCTCAGGGCCACGAAGCTAAAATCATCGGCAAGGGTTTTGACCGACACCCAGACCTCATATCCATTATCGGCAACAAGTAATCATGTTATTGCGTTCCTCCCGTTGTGTTGGGAGTCATGCAGTGGCCGGGGTTTTTTAGCTTCGGGAGGAAACCTCCCAACTAGTCTGCCACGCCACGAAGAGGTGAAACCCCTTGTGGACGCCCCAAAGTTTACTTGGAGACGCTCCGCTTCCGTGGACAGGGAAGCCTACTACACAACAGTATTACCTACTGAGATGTGGAAATTCATCGCCTGACATCACACCAGTGTTTCGTTCAGAAATTTTTCCCCGGGAGGGCACGTCAGATTTTCGGGGGGGGGGGGGGAAGGAGGGGNTCGATACACACACCAATAAACACCCCGATCCACACACCAGGAACACTTCGACCCACACACCAACGAACACCCCGACCCACACATCAAAAAACACCCCAAACAACACACCAACAAACACCCCGACCCATACACCAATACTCACCTCGACCCACACACCAACGAACACTTCGACCCACACACCAACGAAACCCCCAAGCCAACACACATGAGAACCTTTCAATTCCGCTGGAAAACAGATGATGTATTTGTGTTTCCCCCTCTCCCCCCAGTTTCAAGACGCGACTGTCCGGCAAGACTCCCTTCCAGGTCAAACTCATGTTTGCTGACGAGCGTTACACATCACTTACTAATTATTGTCACTAAGACTAAGGTAGCGGTAGTTATTTTAAATTATTTTTTTTTTTGGTGGCATAATAATATGAATTATGATCGCGGATTTTTACGCTAGATAACGGTTTATACTTTAGATGTCTTGTGTTTAGATTGTTCTGATTGTAAAATGTTGTCTTGATCAAAATATGTATTTATTTATCTGCTGAAAATGAACATGTACATTGTAATCAAAAAGCATTTCCATTTATTTGGATCAATATATCAATAAAAGAATTTTATTTTTAAAGATCTTATCAACGTCGGCGAAACGGCATCAGCGAAATGGCCGTGGTAAATCATTATAGATCCCATGTCGATTATAACTTATAAGGAATTGAATATAAATCAACTGACGATAAGATTATTTATTTGATTTAATTTATATTATGTACATTTAAATTAGTAATAATTTTTGTGTGTATTATTTTCAAGATAATCATATTGATTTATTTATTAGGTAAACAAGCCACTCCTTGAATTCACTACACTACTTTTATTGGGAGTATTCACAACAGCTACTCCTCACTGCAGCAACTATCCGTTAATGATCATTTTACGAACAGCTGTTGGAACTTGTTGCGGCTGTGTAGACACAAGTAAGTTTCTTGAAATTTATTAATCCAATATTTTTTTGTTCAAATTCAATTGTTTAACGTAAAATGTCTAGATTTTGAGAATTAGTACCATTAATCGTTAACCTTAAATTTATAATCAATAAGTAATGTTGAACTTAGTTGTTCAGCCCAGGTTTTCAAACAATTCATGACACACAAATCATAAAATTGTTCAAAAAGCCAAATTGCTTGATTTACAGGAAAAATAAGAAATTCTTACTGGCTAAAATGTTAATGGTTTAGTTTTTAATAATGTATGTAGCCATTGGTGGCATTAATCCAAAATTTCCAGGAAGCAGTTTTAAAAAAAGAAAGTAATGTCTAAGACAAACTGTCACAAACTAGGGGTTCGACCTTGAGTTAAATTATTTTCAAATACCGGTACGGTAATTCAACTAATGTTTGGCCAAACTTTTTAGATTTTTAATAGTATTAATAGCATACCATAAAAATAGTATAATTAAATTAATGGTTATCTTATTCGACTTATCATTAGAGAGTACATTAATGTATAGTTAAGTCACGGTGTTCCTGCGGTAGGTCAATACTTTACCTCCAACCTTAAATAGCAGACTGACTGATGATATTACCCTATTAATTTTTCAGCCAGTATTGCAGAGCATATGAGGATCTGGGGAAATGAAGGTCAAGCCTTAATGCAGCTACTTCATTTTGCATTAGCATTAGGAGGAGTTATTTCCCCTTTGTATTCAGAGCCATTCCTTGCTGAGAAGAGTCTTGAAAATGACACAACTACTGCAATTCTAAATGAGACTCTAAGTTTAAATTACACAAATATGTCAGAAAATACACTTCCTCAAACTACTAATGTGCACTGGGCTTTCCTAATCACAGGAATATGGACACTTCTGTCTTCAATACCATTTCTTGTATTCTGGATTCAAGGTGCCATTAACAAAAAGAAAAATGAATCAAAAAAAGAAAATAAAAAAATAACCCAGAGAGACTTACCTAAGCCAGTTTTGATTTTAGTTTTACTGACATTGTGTTTTATGTATGTCTTGTATTGTTGTGTTGAGGACACTTTTGCATCTTTTCTCATGACATTTTTGGTAAAGGAGTATGACTATGTAACAAAGTCAAAAGGGGCCCATGTTACAGCTCTTTATTGGGCTTCGTTTGCAACATCCCGATTCTTAATGATATTCATTTCCAAATTTATTACCGCTGTTCACTTACTCTTTATATGTTGCACTCTCATGCTAATATCTTTTTTGGGGTTTTTTTCAAGTGCAATCTTTGCTGTTTCAAATCCTGCTGTCATCGACGGTCTCATATTTTTCTCTGTCATGGCTGGATTAAGCATGTCAGCTGTATTTCCCTCTGGCTTTTCATGGACGGAGGCTGAATTGCTGAAAGTGACTGGGCGTGTTTCATCATGTATTCTTGTTTCTGCATCAATAGGCACAATGGTTAATCCGTTGATGTTGGGCTATCTTATGACAGAGTTTAGTAACATATGGTTCTGTTACCTCTTGCTTGGTGAGACCATTGCCTTGTGCTGCGTATTTCTTTTTCTCTGGTCTTTAAATCGATTTATTTTAAACAATCGATATGGTTCTTTAAATGCCCAAAGATCGCTTTCCTTTTCTGTAGAAGTAGAAGCAAATGAACCGGAGCAACCATTGGCTGCAGGTGAAATTTACAGAAAAAATAACAGCAACTCTAGTTTATGATAATTTATTTGGGAAGTCTACTTATTTTAGATAGGGTACTAAATACATGTGGTTGCCTGTGAAAGGAAACACACTACCGGTATTTTACTGGTATGTCAAAAATTACCTCTAAATAGTTTAAAAAGTGTCATTTTATTTTATGCGTATTGATATTTAAAATAATTTTTAAAAGGAAATTTAATCCTAGTCACATCTAAAAAAAACTTACTTTAATTAATTTAATATTTTGTGAGGATCTCTTATCTTTTAGTGTATCACTGTATTTAATTATTATTTTATTTACTATCTTTTTAATTTACTTGTAGTTCTGTACTGGTATACCATTTCTTATGCTATGCTTGGTCTGGGAAATTTTAAAAAGGGTTATTGTAACATTTTTGCGATCGGTGATCAGTTATTTGTTGCAACAAGTATAATATATGACGAGTAGGAATATAAATTAAAAGTAAAGAAATTGAATAGTATTATCAGTATTATTCATTTTAGGACCGGTACCTACCAGGGCATTGGAGCCAGAGCTGCCCGGAGCTAGTGTTTTCACTTGTACTTGTAGTTGTAGCGGAGCCGATATATTTGCTAACATATTTGGCTCCAGCTCCATAGCAAATCTTCTGTTCCAACTACAAATGTTATTATGTGCTCTTTAATTAATTTCTCTTTTAATAATTTAAATGCTGATGATCTTTCTAGTTTACAGTACATGAACAAAAAAATCACCAACAAAAATTGGACTTGAACTTTTAAACAGAATTACATTATAAAATCGAAAGAAGGAGAAATAAAAATTCTCTTTTTTTCCTCGACAATTTCTTTCTGATCCTGTGCATTTCTCCAACAGTTGAAACTGCCAAAAAAAACAACATAAAAATGCCATCTCATATGGGGTCAACCATAAAAGACGTCCACACAAAAGGGGGGAGGGGGGGTTCAGCAAAAAGTGGACTAAAGTGGACAAAGGGGGGGAGGGGGTTTAGGACAAAGTGGATGTCCACATTGTAGTGGTTTTTTTTTTAGTGCAGCAGTTTTGCTTAAATTTACTGCAAATTTACTGCCCGATCACAGTTACAGTAGCATGCCTTTTGATCTCTATTGCCCATCGGTGGCTGGGAGAATATGCTTCTGCGGTAAATATTTCCCATCACAGGCGGCAATGAAAAAACATAAGGTCGTCCATTGCAATATTCCTGCTAGTGAACATAATATGCCAGACGAATCAGACGAAGAGACTGCCACTCAAATTGAATTAGCAATTGAAGACTCAAGAACAGATGTTGTCATTATACGAAACATGTTTGAATGGCTGCAGTCCGAATTTTCCGTTGATTGAAGAATGGTGGATTATTTG